AAAATATCACACAGAATCAGTGCTGAGTTCTTGATAAAAGTCGCATTTGAACATTCATTGAACCATCCAAATTTCACAAATTTCCCTTTTCCCTACCCGTTCCGTAGTTAGGTCAGTTTCCCGTCCTGCAGGACTCTCCTGACAAGTTCAATGATTGAGTGGATGCGTTTACCGTCAAGCGCTCAGTAATCTGACCTGCTCGACCTTTCAGTCGATTATTCGCGCCGATTTGTTTAAGAACGGTTGACAGTGGCTGTGATAGGGATACAGCGGCTGCAGACATGACACATCTTTAAAGCGATCTGTAAAGGATTTTAAAAGCGGGCACAAAAAGTGGACAAAAATCAGACATCACTGCGCAACTTCGCGCAGGCGTATCTTGCCAAATTTAACATACTGGAACATCATTCCACGGGCTTATTCCATTCAGACGTATGTCCGTTCAGGGACACTGTACCCAAGAGCTATAATGACGGGCCGCACGTGGCGACACAAATCAGTCACGGGTCGGTATATAGACTCATACAATGAACGACACCAGACTAATTCGATCAAACCATGGAAATCCCAACCCGTCGACCGCAATTAGATATAGATTTGATACAAACACGCCCCGTTGCATGGACATGCCAGAAATTGGAATAACATGTTTTTGTAGGGACGGTATAACGAGCAAATTCAATTTGGTTTCACTTACACTGCGCGTGTACATGTTTCTTACGCGGTGCGTGGTTGGCTGTTTCGCTTACTGGGACGTCACTGCATGCTTGTTGTTTTTGTGCATTGATCATAATTGTCAGTTAATTGTCGTCGTGGACTTGACGGCACACTTGATTTGCGGTTCGCAAATTGTCGGGTAGGCTTTTCTGTTTAATAATTTGATTTAAATTATTTTTTTTGAAAGAGAACATTTTACTGGGCCTCTTTTGTTTTCTCGCAGGTCAAAGTAATAGTAGGCCGACATTCAAATTATCTTACATTGTAAAGTAAGGTAATTCGAATCTTGCATTCTTAGACACGAACTGGACAACGATGTTACGTCGCTATGATGTGGTTTCTATACTGAATTTAAAAAGAAATAAGTCGACCGACCAACATGCCCAAGCAATGTCAGGTTAGACTTGAAGGTTTGCATGGTGGTCATGATAGCAATAAGGTTAAGTTTACGGGCAGAGCCGCACTGTCCGAAACGTTGAGTTCCCGGGTTCTTTTTTCAGAACGGCACAAAAAAGATATTTGTCACACGACGCTACCGTAATAATACCGGAGTCTTATATAGCGCACGTATTTACCAACAATTAGGTACTCAAGGCGCTGGAAATTATGTCTATTAGTAAAGACAGGTAAACGAAGTTTATGAGAAATAAGAGACCCATTTTGTAGCACTTTATAAGGGTTAACAAGGTGCTGCGGCGCATATTGCAGCCACTGCCAGAAACACTGGGGCAAACTCCTTCTTTTAGCGATAAGTGTTACTGGGTTCTTTAACCCTAAAGGGGCCGGGGGGCGGAATCCGCCCCCCCCCCCTCAACATTTTCCGTGATAGCTTCTAAAAAAAATTTTTTCGCTACTCGAGCTGTTATGACTTTTTAGCCTCGAGCTTTGCGCATCTTTTGATACCAAAAACATAAAAATCGGACAACGGGTTGCCGCGTAGCGAAAATTTTTTCCGGCGCTACGCGCCGTGAAAACTGAATTTTCGCATATACGTCGTGTACACAGAGCAGAATTGCCATTCGTACATATGAATAATTAATTAGCCATAATTCCAAAACCCTTTGACCTATAGTCATGAAATTTCTTGGGTATGTTTAGGAAGAGTTGCTCTATGCATGTGCGAGTTTCAAATTTTTCCGTCACTCGATGGCCGAGATCTTAGGGGGGGGGCGGAATCCGCCCCCCCCCCCCCCCGGCTGAGAGATGGTCAAAATAACCCGGCCCCTTTAGGGTTAACGTGCATTACACAACACACATGACCCACGGCTTTTACGTCCCATCCGAAGGATGAAGCAATAATGGTAAAGTGCCTTGCTCAAGAGCACAAGCACCATGTTCCCACGGTCAGGATTCGAACCAATGTACCACGGCACACGAGTCGAACACCGTAACCATTGGACCACAGCACCCCAAACTTAACCTTATTCCCAAGCAACCTTCTCAATTCTCAACCAAGCAAGCAAAACACAAACTAACAATCACCTTCGCTGAAAACCAACGAACACAAACTCACAGAAAAGACCACAACAGTCGTCTTCAAAGTACTAAACGACTAAGTTGGTAGACTGAGCACATTTTGATGCTCCGGAGGTCGCAGGTTCAAATCCCCACTCCGGTCCGTTGTTCTTAAAGGGGCACTCACGATGTTATTTGGCTGTGTTTGAATGGGGAACGAAAATCGACCGAAAATTTTCGGAGTAATTGAACAATTATTATGAAAACCGGACTGTTACTTACAGCACGATATCACAACGGAGGGAATCTAAATAAGTTAAAATATTTATTTAATTAATTAACCCCTAATTGATTAAAAACACAAATTAAAAAAAAACCACATTGATTGAATCACAGAGCAATGATTGAATTAAAAGTGAACCTAGTAATTTTTCTCACTTCGGTTTGTTGGATGAAAGAGTAACCCCCCCCCCCCAAGAAAAGAAGGTGAAGAAGGAATCACAAAACACTCAGCAGCGGAAACAAAATCAGATTCCAATTTAAAACCCTGCGGCGGTAACTTAGAGGGAGCCAACTTGAGTACAATCTGCGACATCGTGTGCAACATGTGCGCACCAAGACACCGCCGTGGGAGTAGCCCGTGCCTGACGGGAGTCAACATCAATTTTACGCTCACGTAGTCTCTGTAGCGTCTTCACTCTACTTCGGTGTATCTTCTTGGACCGGCGATCTCGAGAAAACAATCCCCTCTCGTCAGTTTGCCACGGGTTTTGCACGGCCTGCGGGCATCGTCTCGCGATCGACGTTGAGCGTGATGACTGAAGGCGAGATGACGGGATGTCGCTGGCAGTGTTCTTGGGTGGTTCTATACGGTGTATTTCTGGTCATGTCCGTGTTAGGCCAATGTCACGGGGCCTCCGAAAGGTTGAAAGAGAGGGGGAACTACCAAGCTACGGCTAGCTGAATGAGTACAGGCCATAATATAGACCATTATGCCTATAGCGGTCGTCTTCAGAGGGCATATTTTGTTATTTTAATTCAGTAACAATGAATGCACAAAAACGTTCACTCATGCGTATCCCAACAAAGGCATTGCCCTTTGAGATGGCTGAAAGGCATGAAGTCTACAGCTTGGCAACAATTGAACTACTCCAAGTTGAGTATAAGATCAGCTTATTTTCTCACACGGCATGGAAAAATTTGAAAGTGCACGTATAGTCATCAAATCGTGCAAGCATAGGGAGGGGTACTACATTATTTGGATATGGCCTAGGTGTTTATTTAAATTCTTCCAACATTTATTCAGCAGAGGACTTTCTATGGCAAGAATAACACTAACGAAGGAAAAGAAATGTAGCTGACGCGCAAAATAAAACACAACGTTGCAAATACGTGCATGCGAAGCTTTCAAGCTAATGACAATACATTTAAGTTGGCAGCCTTTCTGCGCTATACATTTGTCATGTCAGCCTCTGATCTTAGAGCAGCACCTTGGGGTAAATTAATCATGAAGGCATTGTGCATTGCGATGTGAGGTGTGAAGCTAGGTCTAATGTTTGACTAGGTTGGTGGGGGCGGGGCCGCTGAAAACGGGAATCGATGCACAGGTTAGTGCACTAATGCGAGATTACAAATATGAAAGTTGCAAGTTTACTTCGGGGTTGGGCTTGCCTGGCTTTAAATATCACAGTAGCTGCGCTGCATGTATCATTCATGCATAATCCCTACACCTATACTTCTTGATCCACCGTGACACAATAGCTCCCCCTCGCCCGGCGCAAGCGTTCGCGACACGGCGCAGCTCATGAAGAATTTACCGCTGCTCGCGGTTTCATAATATCGTGCGGCGGACTTGGCGGCGCCGACTAATTAATACGTTTGGTTCCAGGAGAGCGCGCGCGGGCCGGTGTCCCGGGGGAGAACTAGCCGGGGTATACCGGGGGAGAGAGCTCGGTTGGGCCTGGTCGGTGCGGTATAATGACCGGAATGGAGTCTCCGAACACGGACGGCGAGTCCGAGGTAAACATGGATTTGTTTTGACAGTAATTGGATGACGAGGTCCGCCAGGAAATGGAATAAGAGAGACGGGGCTGGAAAGGACGTGTGCAGTGGATGCCGAGGGACTCGCGGAGAAATAATTAAAACAATTCGGAAGCAGGGAAGGGTGTTTTAGTTTCTCTTAATTAGTGATGGAATGAGCAGTAGGACTATAGAGATACATGTAGTTGGTACAGAGATGTCAGGATGAAACAGTTCACTGGAGTAGGCGTGTCACAAGACGTACTCGCCAAATCGCGATACACTCAGGATGTTTGCATGCAATGGGGCCAATTTCATAGAGCTGCTTAAGCACAAAATTTGCTTAAGCACAAAAACGTCTTGCTTAATAAAATCAGGTTACCAGCCAAAACTCCATGCGATTGTTATGCTAAGTAAACAACAGCTAAATACCAATCACAAGCAATGTACATCACATGGAGTTTTGGCCGGTAACCTAATTTTACTAAGCAATGTTTTTTCGTGCTTAAGCAAATTCTATGAAAATGGGCCCTGGAAAGTTTTTTCTGCAACGGAAATCCAGTGCGTTCGTCTGAAACAGGCAAGCGTGCTGCAAACACATTCGAATGGTATCCAGCTTTGGCCATGATTCTTGGTAGAATATTAACAGGTAAAATCCGGTCTAAAATGATTCACGGTTGTCAAACTTTAATGAAATTCTTAACAGAATTGAACTGCGAGGAAAAAAATAATCAAATGTATAAGTAAATTAAGTCATATACCAAACCCTATATCAAAACAGATCAGCGAGAAAACCATAAAAAAACCCATTTTTTTTAGATCCAAACCTTTTATTTACACCTTTGCTTTCACGGAAGTTAACAATCCTTAGAATTTCTTTAACATGGACGGCATATGTAGGAAAATAAAACTAAGTACAATTGTTAGTTGAACGTACACAACCTTTTAAGCTTTTCTATGCAACACACATACAAAGCTCCACAGTGGTGTTTTACCATTGGCCGAGGATGAGACATTGTGTTTCCCTTTGTCCCTATAATTTAACACTCTCACATAGACCATGGAGCCATAAAACACATAGCTCCATGCATAAACTGAGCACACAGACTTAGGCCTACATTCGAGGACTTTTCAACAAAAGATGTACGCTCGAGGACAACAAAGAATCTGTTGTTCTCTCTTTATGCTGCTGTCCTCGGGATGTATGTAATACAAAAGCATATTAATGCCCACAGTTCGTGACATATTTCAATTATTCAACATCATATCACTCATCTCAATCAAACCATATCATACAAAATTGACAAACAATTTGAGATCTGACAAACTAATCAGTTCGATTAGTAAGAAACATCAGATTAGAAAAATGTATTTCCAATACCCAAACTAAGCATTTTTAAAATAAAATCTTAATGAGTGCCTAACAAGGCGATAAGCATTCAAAATTGAAGTATTCATTTTCATAATGAAACAATTCGCAATGAAGCTTTTCTAGTGCAGATAAACAAATCCGAACTGTTTTTTGCTCTAAACGTATGACGAATCATTACCGCTCAATATATACAAACTCTAACTTTCGATTCATCAATACAATCTTTGGCAGTGAATGTATAGACCTTATGCGGTACAGCCATCTTAGAGGGCAATGTCTTTGTTTTGCTGCGATATGCGTGTGTGAACCATTTGTGCATTAATTACTACGAAATTGAAATAACAAAAGATGCACTCTAAGATGGCCGCTACGGATAAGGTCTATTACACTATTAAAACTATACATACACACCCAATAACAATTAAAAATCATTTCAATAACAAAACAGATTTGTTGATTTGAATAAATGGACGGAATCCTTTGGAAGAAATCCTTTGGACGGAATGTAGAAAGGCACAATTGGCTGTAAATATCATTTTAGTATTTTACACAATCGTTTTTGATCAGATTATTATAAATCAGTAAAGTTTGTGAATACACAAACAATAACAGTATTTTTGTTACGAAGGTAAAACTTCAAGCTCAAAGGAATGTATATAATACAAAATAACTGTACAAAAATCAACTCCAAGCATGGCAGATAACTACTGTGCTCTGGAACCCTCTCTTTGACTACAACTTCAAACAAAATCGATATTGGCACGGACACCTTTGTGGAATCATAAAAGACAGATGAATGTCATTTAGATGAATAAACATTTGTTTTGTGGCATTAATACTGAGGTTCATCTTTGTTGGCAACTCCAGTCCCAAAGAAATCATCATCATCTGGAATGTTCTCCTTTTCAACGTCTCCATTTACTGGAGGATCTTCCATTGCTCCCTGGGGATCTTGGTTAACGTCTTGATTGGTCTGCTCATCGTCCACACTTCTGCTAGGTTCTGCATTTTCTTCTTTCAGACTCGCTACACTTCCTTTGACTGATGCAGTTTTAATGTCTTGATGAGCCTCTGCTGAAGCGTCCTCTTGGACGGATCTGTGAGAGGTTTGGCTATGGGGACGGCTGCCAAAGGGTTCTTGCGACTCTTCACCTGCATTTTGGTCGTTAAATAATCTGCTCCCTTCCTGATTCGAAGGGTCTGCTTCCACAGATCTTAGAGACGTTTTGCTTTGAGGACGGCTTCTAGTGGCTTCTTTGACATCGACTTTGCTACCTCTGTTGCTCTCTCTGTCCTTCGAAAGATTACTAGGGGACTGTCTAGGAGAGGACCTTTGAAGATCCTTCTCTGTTACGACAGATCTTCGTGAGGAAGGTCTACTGCCTTGTTTAGAGTCTGGTGGAGATGGACTCTCATGGCCATCACCTTGAACAGATCTCTGAGAGTTAACAGACGGACTTCTGGCAGGTTGAGGAGCTGCATCTCTAGTGGAGTTCAGTGTTGGACTTGGCGACTTCTCTCTTTGGGACTTGATGGAGCCAACAGGTGAAGGTTGCTCCCTTGCAACAGATACCCTGGAGGACCTAGAGTTAGCAGCTGGCGATGACGGTTTCTCTCCATGTCCTTGCGAGGACCGGTAGGAGTTTGCAGATGATTTCCGACTTCCTTCTTTATTAGCAGACCCTGCAGACCGAAGGGATGCTTGTGACTGGTTCTGTTGAGGCCGATCGGCTGTTCTGGTTGTACTGTAAAGGGAGTGAGCAGATTTCAAGCTCTGTTGTGAATTCCTAACACTGCTGTTTTTACTAGTTACAGATCTGTTGGATTTTCCAGACTGTAAGCTTGTCCTGGACTGTCCAGTGCCAGTCTTTTGCTTCTTGTCATCGAGGCTTTTATGCAAGGAGCCAAAGCTTGAAGATCTGTAAGCCGTCCCTTGATTTGCAGCAGCTGTTGATTTCTGTGAGGAGGCTGACACTGTGCGGTTAGATCTTGCTGAAACTTGACTCTGTCTGGTGTGACTTGCAGCAGTTGATGTCCTGCTTTTTGCCGAATACTTGGACCTCTCAGAAGCTGCAGAACTTTTCCTTGATGTCTCTTTTAATGGTTGCTCATGCTCCTTATTGTCCATCTCATCCTGATCAGAGAAGCTGTCTGAGTTATACGAATGATGGGAAGCAGAGGAGTGGCTGTGAAGGGAGTCTTGGTCATCATTCTGCTTTATCTTACTTCTTCCATCGTCACTGATCCCACTTCTGCCACCTTCGCTGGCTGCATCATCCTCCTTTCCTTCAGGATCTTGCCTGCCGTTAGCAATGACCAAATCTTGCCGGCTGTCACCAACACTGTAGTCTTCATTCTCGCCTTTCATCGAACCTTCCATGTGTTGGCTAACAGCATCATCCTCTTCCCTGCCTGATGGGTCTGCATTTTGATTGACATTATTGCTGTCTGTCTGTGGCCCAGTCTCAGACAGTTCCCGGTAATCGAAAGCTGAGAGTTGGTGCCTCTCACGCTCAAGATGAGCAGAGCGAGCCGTCATCTTCAACTCCAGATCCTCTTTGGCTTCCTGGCTCCCTTCTTCCTGTCCATTTTGGTCATCCTCACCAGGACCCTGGTCGGAACCATTCTCTTGTTCTGGGAGTTCCAAGAGTTGCTCAGAAGTAGGCAGTAGAGGTGTGTGTTGCTGGTCGGACTTGAATGACTGCCTGGAGCGCAGCGAGCGCTGAGACTGAGACGAGTGTTGGCCTCGGGGGTCTAGGGGATCCTGGCCATGCGCAGCTGCTGAGAGTTTGGAGATGACGGAGGCTGAGCGATCACTCTGAGTGTCATCCTTTATCTGGGGCTGGGATTCCTCGAGTTTGCGTGGGGATGGCTTGGGCCACTTCTTCCCACCATCTTCTGGGGCCCCTGCATAGGAAAACAAAATATTGAAACTTAACTAAATTACACAAAAAGTAAGCACTTCACTCCAGATTCTATTTGTTTTTTTCATTCATAAAAATGTTGCTTTAATAGTCATTTCATTTTAACGGCTCAAGCGAGACAAGTGCTATTTATTTTGAATAAACTAATACAAATAAAAAGGTCATCCATCCATTTTCAACTCTTCAGGAAAAAAAACACTTAAAAATTGTCCACTTTTCTCATGCAGTGGGCTCGTATCAATTGACAGTGTACAGAAAGTGCATAATTATAGCTGGGGGGGGGGGGGAGGGGGGGGGGGGAATGGACCAAGGCAAGCATCTATGTATCTGTTCCTTCATGCAGAAGTCTACCTGAGCTGCTGCCACATTTATTTCTAAGCACACACTGTAAAAAGGGAAAATATTCTGGGCAGGAAACATTGGGGCCACATTGCTTGCCAAAGATGGAGCATAAACATGTACACAAAGGGAACACATTTAGGTATATTATAAAGAAACTGGTGAGCCACAGTCTGTAATCATGCAATTATTTTGCAATGCAGTGCGCCACCAAGAGTTTGCCACAGACAGTTCATTTTTCCTAGTGCACTGTTGGAGATTCGCAGCGCGGCACATTTGAAATTGTTAGTTTTTCCGGTCAGTAGTTTCGTAAGCGTATGATTCTAGTATATGTTTGCCCTTTTTTAAATGATTAAATATGGTGTTTTTGTAAGGCGGCAGAACGCTATGCCCCAATCTATAACAAATTAGCTCAAATTGTCTACTGACACTCATTCAAATGGGCCGATTTTGTCGACCGCAAACTTGAAAAATGGACTCTCCATGGCAAACTCTTAGTGCACACTGCATTGTGAATCCCCCGATTAGGCCATCACAAATTGAATTGGGTTGGAGTTGGGTGCAGTTGGGTGGCAGGACAGTTTTCAGTTATACATACTTAATACCTACCACGCAAATATAGTAGTTTTGTTTTAATCCCAAACTGTGTGCAATGTCAGGACAAACACAGATTATTAACATTAGTATGAAGAGAGGATGATCACGTTATACAGCTAGTATACAATAACAGTTTGAGAGGGACATCAATGTTTAATGAGGGAAAAGTGCCAGGCGTATATCCCCTTCCGCAAACCAAAAAAACTTGGCAATCTGTTTTGTTCAACACAAAAAATTAAACAAAATAGGGGGGGGGGGGGTTCTATGCACGACAGATTCAGCAAGCTGCACTTTCACAGTTTTAATAACAATGACCAGCGTTGTTTTCATGTTTTTCTAGCACCAGTGGACACAAAACATTGAACAGTCAGTGGAACGAAGTCTGCTGTAAAATACAAGCACTAATAAATAGGTCCATTTCGTATCTAGTAAAAGTGGCAGATTTTGGAGGATTCAGGAGAAAAGAAGTTGAGAGAAAAGCATCTTGCAGAGAAAGAGAAGAAAGTAATACATCAAAGAAGAATAACCCACCAGGATCAAGGACGAGTGCTGCACCGGCCATGATCCAGTCCTCCACAGGGGCGGGGCAAGGCAGCTCCAGCGTAAAGGCGGAGATCTGACGGGACCGGTTCATGAACACAGGGCAGGTGAACCTCAGAGACGCTGACGAGTCGGAGCTTGGCTCCTCCCCTGCTGGCTTGGTAGAGCTGCCACTGGCTGGCCGGCTCGGGTCAGAGTTAGGGTCAGGGTTGCTGAGCCGAACCGGCCGGATGTAGATGCTTGGCATCTTGGCAAGACAGGACCTTCAAGTTAATAAAAAAAATAATTGGAAGTGTTGTTATCAGCTGTTGGTACTTGTAATGTTTTTCACTTAGTGCTGGCATTGACTCTATGCATGAACAGTATGGTGCTGTGTGGCAACTCAGGAAGGGCTGTCCATTTTAGAATAATTTACTATTCGATTACTCGAAACTGCGTTGGACTGAATATTTGGATATTCGAAACTGCCAGCTGCAACTGCATGCTGCGCTGGTCAAAAATTGCATGGAGACTATGCCAGTTACAATTTGTGTGCGGTGATTGATATGGGGATTTGATACACGGTGCCCTCTGGAGACATGCACACAATAGGGAACAAAAGATTGTATACGTCTCCACAGGGCAATTTCTATAGATGAATACGTCTCCACAAGATTTTCACGAAATAGATATATGGATTTTACTCAAAAACTAGGAATTTCCAAGGTGGGTTGATCTGTCGCAAATGGAAGAGTTTTAGAAAAGGGATATTAAATAAGTCCAAATTTTAGCCAAGGAAATTAATTCTGGGTAAAATAAAAGCATTTTGAAACTTCACTTTCAAACTTGAAAACTTTACTACACGAGAACAAAGAAATGTCTCTACAAGGATACAAATTTCAGTATGTGTGCGCTGGAGTGTTTTGCAGTAAGTATTTTAAAACTCTTTAGGGCCCTGTCACACTTCTGCGTATCCTAATTCCTTATGAGTTGCGCATTGACATTTTTTTCATACGCAGTCGTACGCACAATACGCACCTCATATGCATCTCTATCGTTTTGTGTATGTGTTATGTACGCAGGCATATGCATGGTACGGCCCAGTACGCTGGATAGTTTTGGGCATGCACAAAACTACGCTGCGTACGCTGTTACGCAGGTCATAAGTTATAAATACGCAGCGCATCGGTCACGCGTCTGTCGAGCGCGGTACGAATATGCTATGTGTTCATGGGGAATAAGCCGTTCATACGCGGTTAAACGCTGACCTCCTATATACATAGCGTACTTGCAGCGCAGATACAACGCACGCTGAACGAACTCATATCAAATGCCGATGTATTGCACAAATTAGTACCACTCGTCCTTCGAGCGGGCAGCGCATTGTACTTATTCGTATCTTATCTTAAGTCAAAGAAATCACAAAATTTCGATGTTTTTTATCATACGGCTGCGTATTGAAAAATTTTGATAAGGAACTCATAAGGAATTGGGATACGCAAAAGTGTGACAGGGGCTTAAAGGGCTTTAATCTGCTAAAAGTTTTTTATCAAAATGCACGTGGAAGATCCAAATGGAATTTTTGTCCGAGCAGTTCATCTCTATCGCATGTCTGAATTACTTGGCTAGAGTTGACGGTAACACACACACCCATGGAAGTCAATTCAACTGCTGTCATATAGCGCCATGGTTCAAGGGTGTTTGATCCACGTGCCATGGTACCTGGGATCGAAACCCTGAAGAGGAACATTGTCCTTGGGCAAGACACTTTACTACAATTGCCCTTCTCTGCCCAGGGGTATAATGGCTACCTGCAGGCATGCAACTGGGAATTTAGAAAAAACGAGGAAATTTAACTCCAAACCACACAAGACTTGGTACACGTGTTTTTCAATTTGTAATGGTATTCATGAGAAGTAAAAATCGAGGAAATCAGCGGATCCGAGGAAAAGTTGCATGCCTGTACCCGTGAGGGTAGAAGCCAGATTTTGCTGATCTCGGCTGCAGAAATATGTGATCCGATCAAGATACATGAATCGTTTGTTGACCCTGGTCAACAATTTTTTTATTGCAGATTTGAAAAGAGCACAATCTCAGCATTACTGCTGTGAAAACCGCATGCTGATGCCATCTTTATCTCCAAATCAAAATTCCCGACAAACGACTCATGTAGCTTGATCGCATCACATATGGTCTCATGGCCTGATGAACAGGATAAACAATTTGGAAGAGCTTTGAGATCTACTTTAGCAAAAAGCGATATGTAAACTCTAGACATTATTATTATCATTATGTGTAATTGCCGTCTGAAGCCAAGTAATTTGAATGTGGCCGAATTTCACCCTCTGGATGTGGTGTGCAAGCAAGTGCTGTAAAAAGCCACTCAAATCTGACGTCAGAAAATGCTGTCTACTGTTTCCAAATTTCAGTTCAGATAAGCAATTTACCCAGCAGGAGCGAGGCAGCCGTTTTCAAGGTCCCAGGATGCACCCTCCAGGAGGATGTCACGGAGGTACATGCCACCCTCATGGGCGATCTCAAAGGTGTCTTCATCCAAGGATGAGGAAATGTCGCAGGCAATGCCGATCTGTAGAGTCAAGACACAAGTAAAGTTGAAGGATTTTTTTAATGTTGATTCTTGCTTTGCCCTGCAGTTCCCAGATTCACAATTTCATTTAATGTATTTTTTGAGTTTCATCCAGAAAATAGATTTCTTTACTAAATTGCTATTTTCCAAGCAATGCAAAGGTTATTCACTTTTGAATGAGACATCGAGCAAACAAATTTGTACCTTATTAGGTATTGAAATAGTACTTTACAATTTCAATTATTAGCTGCCAGACAATAATTCCTTGCAAAGTTAATATCGTGGGAAAGTCTTCAAAATCTTACCTCTGAGATGAGGCATCCTTCCAGCGCCGATTTCTCCTGTCTGAGAGCCGTGATGACGGCTGTGGGATTGGCCAGTCCTCCCATCCACACCGACAGCAGGTTGCCCTTGGGTGGGGAGGGTCTGTCAGGGTCATGGGAGGAGCTGGGCACCTTGCCTTCCTTGATCCAGGCCCGGAGCTGGCTATAACGCTTTAATATATCTGTCAAAATATAAAACAAAAAGCGATAATTTGGTTAGAGTGGTGATCTGTGACAAATTTCATCGAGCTTCTTGGAGCAAAAACTTGCAACGCACTTGAAGTAGGTGCTTAGGCGAGCCCTCAGATTAGAATCCCTCCCCGGACCGTTCGGGGTTGAGCCCGCCCAGTATGTTGAAGGGATTGGGACCTTGCATGGAACCGATCGGCCTGGATTAACTCCACCAGGCTTCTGCACCATGGCTCTGGCTCATCACAAAGGAACCAATTTGCGACGCACTAAACCTCCAGTAGGCAACAATGACTGTGATGAGCTTCATAGAAGTTGCCGCTGGTAATCCCAGCAGGCCGAATAATCCTCCAATAATGGCCAGACTTCAATTTATGTTGCCTATTGTGAAACCCTGAGTCACCAGTTTGGACCGATTGGGGCGTCACGCTTCAGTGACCGGGTGGCTTCTGGCTTCGTACCGATTGGGGTGAAAGAAATTAGCATACCGGACCCGGTACCCGAACGGTCTGTTATCTGATGGCTCGCCTTAAAGAAAAGAAAGATCACCTTTTTTTGTGTTCAGTTCAGTTCAAACATACTGAAATTTGTATCCTTGTGGAGACATTTCTTTGTTCTCGTGTAGTAAAGTTTTCGAGATTGAAAGTGTAGTTTCAAAATGCTTTTATTTTAACCAGAATTAATTTCCTTGGCTGAAATTCGGACTTAATATCCCTTTTCTAAAACTCTTCCATTTGCGACAAATCAACGCACCCTGGAAATTTCTAGTTTTTGAGTAAATTCCATATATCTATTTCGTGAAAACCTTGTGGAGACGTATTCATCTATAGAAATTGCCCTGTGGAGACGGATACAATCTTTTGTTCCCTATTGTGTTCATGTCTCCAGAGGGCACGGTGCATCAGATCAGTTCAGTTCTTTAATAATATTTTCCACACATAACAAATTATACAAAATGAAAATATGCAAGTACAACAATAACCTTATGAGGGTTACATAACAAATAAATGCAAATAAGCAAAGTAATAAGATGGAGAGAAATTAAATGCGTGTGGAAGGAGGCCCTTAAGAAGCAATGCTCGTCTAGGAAGGACCACCCAAATAAATGAAGAAAAAAAATGGTGAATAATTAGGCCTATATATGGAGTTAGATATAAACAAACAAACAAAACATTGTGAATTAACTCCCTAAATAGATCACTGCAAACGATGGTTTTTTTTTTCTACGTGGTTGTCAATATTAAAGTGCTTCTGTTATAAGCCTAATTGCCACTGTGGGCCCAGCGTTGTAAACTGGTTCCTGGTCTTTCATTTAATGTTCTGGCTATTGTCTTTATAATAGTGGGAACCAGTCACCAGAACTGCTAAATAGATTTTGATAAACTTTTTGACATCCAAAGGTAGTTGAGAAGCTTTTTGGTTTAGACAAAATGGACAAAAAGGATGCACTTTCAAGAAATTCAGAAATTTTAAATATTTATTTGGACATAAAATGTGGGACCCAGAGGGAAAGTTCTGTGTTAAGGATTTGACGTTTAAATATTGAAACATTTCAACGGAATGCTTTATAGGCCTAACAATCAGGGGTAATACTTTCCACCCACCCGTGACCCAGGAATGCAGCGTGTGGCCCAGGGGCTGTCGATTGGGATGCACCCAGGAGACTGGCACCAGTTCACTCTGTAACGCCCTGGCGCATTCGGCGAGGCAGGGCACCATACCTCTCTCCCCTCCCAGCAGGTGGGACTGCAGCTCATGTAGGGTCTGACGGACGTGGCACAGGAGGGAGTTGAACCAGTGACACTCCTGTCAGGGGTTACAGAAAAATAATCCACCCTTTCAATTATCATTAAAGGCATAATTCACGCAGCAAAATTGCTCAGATTCGTAAGAAGGGTGCATAACAAGAAACTTGTTGAAGTTTCAGCTCAGTGGATTTTCAGAAAACAGAGAAAACTATTCATATTTTTGGGTTTCATAATGGATTCAGTTGCTAATGTACCTAAAAACTGTGCGCACAGGCACACTTTCTAAACCAGTTCGCGCCGGGATTATTTTTGCTGAAAATTTTTGATTTTCGAAAAAGGCAAACTATAGCAGCAAACTTTTGATATACAGCCAAACGTTTCACATACTGATTCATTTAACAGTATTTGTATGATATTTCTTGCCAAAACCTGATATGTTTCAATACTCTAGGGTGTGGCCATGAAGTGTAAATTGTACCACAACAGGCCGTGCACAGCGGCCTTGTTCAAGTACAACACACGGTCTGCCTCCACAGACTTCTTGTACTTTGTGTGTGTGTGTGTGAGTATGTAAACACCGGCAATCGTGGACGTAGGACAAAAGAATTGGGGCGCAAACAATACGTCCACGATTGACCGAACGTCCACGATCTCAAATCGTGTACAAAACCAATGAGAGCTGTTGCTAAAAAGTTCGAGTACAAACAAAGGAAAGAGGATTAGGGACAATGGGGCGTCCACGATTGCCGGCATTTGCACACGTGGGTGTGCGTGTGCGTGTGTGTGTACAAAACAAATACGGGATTAGAGTGTTTGGACGTCACCCGGAGGCGAGTCGAGGCAATCTTGACGTTTTAACCCGTCAGCCGTGTCTGTGAATAAAAACAGCCAGATCGTGTTAACACGTCATCTGACCAAAACTGGTTTAACCACCTTCAATGATCCTTTTCTTCCAACTTATACCATTTCAGGTGGAATAGGGCATTTTACAGGGTCTTTGGTACCAGTTCTATCTAAACTTGAGCAAGGAGTTTTGATCCAAAGGTTCTAACCTGCAGCAAGACGTATCCGATAGACTGCGGCATCTCCGCACTAGCCGCGCTCAGTAAAGACATCAGCGACGGGGCGTGGTACGGGAACGTGTAGCGTTCCTTCTCGTTGACCACGTGCAGCGGCAGCTCGCCAAGGTCCAGCATCGGGGGCAGCTGCTCTGAGACGCCGTCCATGGCCGACTGGACCTTGGTCATGTTGAGGGCGCCCTTTGTGGACTCGGCGTTGTACGCGACCAGGCCCGTGTGCTGGAGTTCGTAGAGGGTGTCCAGGTGGCGCAGAAACTCATCTCCACTGTCAATGAAAGCAACAAATAATGAAAACTGTCTAGATTTTCAGTATGGTATAAACCCAAGTAGTAAGGTGCGATTTCTGAGTAGGATTTGGTTTCTGAGATTGTTCCTTGGTTGTGTACCTCAGGCAATTCAGAGGAGCCAGCTGAGCTGATCCAGCCAAAATTCAAATTCCCAATCCCTTCAACATGATCATTAGGGCCATCCCCTAACAGTCTTGAAAGGCGTCTAATCTGAGGTCATGCCAAGAGGAAGAGCAATTCCTGTTTTGTCAAAATTACGGTAGCTATAATCACAAAACTAATTACAAGCAAAAGAAGAAACGTTTAACAGCTTAGAACATCATCTAGTCAGTCAGTTTGTCAACAGTAAATCAGTGACTCTCTCAGTCGGAAGATAAAAGGCCAAATTGGAGTGTCATGGCCTAGCGGTTAAGAGCACCGGACTCATGTTCTGGTGTTTCAGAGGCAACAGTGGCGTGGGTTTGAACCCGGGTAGACACTTGTGCCCTTAAGCAAGACACTTAACTATTATTGCTTCGTCCTTCGGATGGGACGTAAAGCCGTAGGTCCTGTGTGCTGTGTAATGATGCACTTAAAAGAACCCAGTAACACTTATCGCTAAGAGAAGGGGTTCACGCCGGTGTTTCTGGCAAGTGCATTTATCCTCATACACATGAGGCTGCACTTTCAGGGAAGGAAGGAAAGAACCAGGCAAAACAAAACTCCCCAGCACCAACCTGATCTTATTGACCACTTTCTGGATCCCCTCGTCCAAGCTCATCGCTGCCACCGTCACCCCACCGTCCTCCCACTTCTCCTCAAACCAGCGGGCGTAGTCCGTGGGGTCCACGTTGGCCGGGGGTGTGGGCAGGGGCACGCCCCCGAGGCTCAGCGTCCCTGATTGGCTGGTGGTGGTCAGGAGGACGTGCCGGACCAGGGTGGCGAGGTAGAGGTGGTCCCAGTCGCTGGTCAGGCTGTTGCCGTATACAACCTGAGCCAGATTGGAAGACAAATATTGTACTTAACCTTTTAGTGACTTTTGCACCAAAAACCGCCCCGCCTATCACTCACTGTAGTGCCAACACCTGCCTGATAAGTCTATGGTTTTATTTAGTCTTCAGTGAATAAACACAATGTAATACAATGCACTACAGTACAGGTGCTAATTGGTTACTGACATGACAAGAAGTACAATCTGTCGCTCGTCGCGTCAGTGCAACAAAGTCGTATCTCGTGCGAAGACGCTCCTAGCAACAAGGTCATATCTCGACGTCCATTGACTTTGCGTGTACATCAGGGTTATTTTAAGCGAGATACAACCTTTTGACACTCTAAAACTCGCGTTTTGCGTTCATGCCATTTTAGGAGATACGACCTTGTTGCATTGAAGCGTCGATATGGCTGATCAGGTCAGCATTTATCTTTGGTTTTCTTGGCATGAAATGACTGAGAACTTTTCCATGCCCCCTGGACGGGATGCCAGTCCATCACAGGACACTCTGCAGCTAATGCTCGAACCCATTCATACTGGGGGGAGGCAAGCATGGTAGAGTGGCTTGCCCAAGGACACATCCTGTAGCAAGTGGCAGGATACAAACCCCTGATCCTTTAATCATGAGTTCCAAACCCTAACCTTTAGCCGACGCTGCCGGGCAATGTCACGAGGAGTCTAAGGAGTCTAACTATCAGTAGTGTGAACTGAAAGTAGTCTGGTTCACAGATCAAAATATTCTGTCTACTCTGAGGAATCTAATGTCAGGCAGGCTTCAGTATCATGCAACCAAAAACAGGCAGGATTCTTCCTTCTTCAAAAATCATTTTGAAGATTCCTTTCACTATTTTAGATCATATTCCATTTTATACTAAAACATTCTGTGCAAATATCTATGCCCTGTAGCGTGTAGAAAGCTTTACAATAACATCAACCAAAACAATCGGACCACAATAAGTTTTAAGCAAACCAAATGGGTTTCAAATTTAGAAGTCGTCAGCATCCTGACAAATCCACTTACCTCTGTCAAGAGAGTGCAAAGTTCATCCACCCCAACCTCCTTGCTTCCTTGACCCTCCACCTTTGACCCCAAGATAACCTCGACAGCATGGTTGGGCTGGACGGCGGAGAACGCGTACCAGCGCGACAGGCCGCGGGTGCCAAACAACTGGCGCGCCGATAGCACACCGTGGACGACGCAAGCACCGAACGCAGCCCCCCGCACGTAGGTGGACATCTCTTGGATTCTCTTCCAGTTTTGAGGAGTGACGGCATTAAGAGCCGATACAATTGCTGTTGGAGAGTACGGTAGGTTTAGAAAATAAGGCTTGCAGAATGATCAATACAAGATGGAAATAAATAGCATGGGCGTCTTAGCCATACTGGCACCACTGCTACTCACTAAAATTTGTCAGTAAATTAAGAACCACAGTTTTTTTCATCAGAGTTGAATATAAAATTACAAAAAACAGAGCAAAATAAACAAAAACAAACAAATAAACACCCCAACAAACACCCCAACAAACACCCAAAACAAACAACAACACCTATACTCTGACACCCCCCAAACCCCCCCCCCCAAAAAAAAAAACCCCACAAAAGCAAAAAAGCAGAAAATTATGTACCAAACTCAGAAAGTCCCTTGGAAATTCCATGATTTTTATGAAAGAGGCTCAGAAGCAGAGACTTTTAGAACACATTTCTCTCAGAAGAATTAGTACCTGCATTTTTATTCTTCTTTCAATTTTGTAAATCATAGTTGGAAGAGACCCGAGAGACTAGAAGTGAATTCAGAGTAACTTAAAGCAGTATGGGGAAAAACAAAAACTAAACTAAAAATTGAACATTATTTTGTTCTGCACGTCTTCTATTAAAACCCTCCTTTTGTTTGATCAGTCACAGACGGTCAAAAATTCAATCCTGTTCCTCCGCCATGTCTTTTTTACACAGGCTAGTCACCAACAGTCAGATCATATTTCGTGTAGGCACTGTGACAGTCAAAATTCCATCAACAGACAAAAGCAGGTGACTGGTAGGCACAGCTGGCTTATCAATCTCCTGCAGTCAAAGCATAGCTATATCTGGTTTCATAACAATCACAGCCAGTCAATCCTGCTTTATGAAGGCAGGGAGCACTCAACTGTTAGAAAACAGTCACTTGATTTAATTTGACTGCTGGGCTGGCCTTGTTGAAATTGCCAGCCAGAGAGGGAGGACTAGACCTACCTGTCTTCAACACATCATCCAGTGAGGCGTCACTAGCAGGCACTTCGGCTCCGGCCGAAGCGTCGTCTGCATTCAGCAGTTGCTCCGTCAGGTTGTCCCATGAGACGACACGCAGCGAGTGCAGCAGGGCGTCCGAGAGCTTGGCGCTGGGCTCGCTGGTCAGCCAGACGCAGAAGCGGGACTCAGAGTCTCGGTTGATGGGGTTGAGTCCCAGGGGTCCTATGTGGATTACAAAATGCGAACAAGACAAAGGTAATGGGCTGGGCCTAGTTTTCTTGCTGCAAGTTGGTAAAGTTTTAGGTTAGAAAAATTTCAGAGGGGTGGAAGGTGGAATTAAGTAATTCTTGAGGAAGTATTTTCTTAAAATAGCTGAAACTATTATTCCCCCCCCCCCAATAAAAACAAACAAACTTGATTTGAGAATTGAGCTTTGGAGAAAAAAAATGGAGACGTTTTTGGTAAATTACGACCAAAGGAATATATTAATGACTGGAAAAGAGCACAAATTTAAGGATCCTTGATAAACGATAGTACATTGAAAGGGGCTCTCCCTCAATCTTATTTACCATCTTTCTTATTTCAAAGTTGAACAAACAATTGACCGTAGCTGGGTTTGAGCCTGCGCTCTCCTAACAATGGTTCCGGTGTTACACTGAACACCTCCACACTTCTAGAAATGCCAACTTGTTTCAGCAGATGTCACAGACAAGTGACCTGGACAAAAGCTCCTATAGTCCCGAAAACCAGTCACAAATACCAATAATTGGTATATTTCTGATATTCACACCTCAAATGATCAGATTTCTGATATACACCTCCAGACAGATCAACTCATATCAACTGGTAATGGAAAGCACCCAGCAGAACAAAACGATAAATGTCTCAGAACCAGTCACACATACTCGTTAACACGTAATTTCTGATACACACCTCCAGTATTGCCGACTCGTATCAGCTGGTGTCGGAGGCCATTCAGCAGGTTATCGGATGCCAGGTGCAGATCTTCGATGACTAGCCATCCGTCGTTGTCAGCGGCCGTGTCGATGGCGATGTTGACTCGTGATTCCGCCCCGTCGCCCAGTGTGATACAGTCAAAGGTGATGTTTTTACTCTGAAAAAAATTACCAGAACAGTAACAAATTGAATAACAACAAAAGTACACAGATAAAAGAATCTTGGTTTCAGGCAATGCCCATTAAATTGATGTTTCAGTTTCTGTGATGGAGTTTCATCGAGTTAGAAGTACACAACCCAGGACCTAAAATCTTGAAGCTGAAGCCTAATGCCAGAATCCAAGCCAAGCTTCCCCCACTCCCCCTGTTGGCACCCCTCCCTACCACCTCTCTCCCCCCATCCACTTTCCACTGCAACATCTCCTTTACTATAATCATTGTCAGGGTATACTAAAGATCTGACATTGCCATCAAGGTCAGTACCTGCGCTATTGCCCTGAGCACGTCCACGGGCCTGGCTTTCATCTTCATCCCGCTGCCCAGCTGCTGGTTCCCAAACGCCGGTGTGGGAGGCAGTAGTACCAGCACTCCCAGCAAGCTTGCCGCACTGCCCAGCAGGCTGCCCACTGAGCTGGCCAGGGGCTTGACTGAGGTCAGGTGTCGCCGGACGTAGCGGGCCACGGCCGCTGGGAAGCGGTCGGGACGGAGCAGGCGCAACAGGATGAGCTGATGGAACTCGGTCAGGCTTCCGAGGTCGGGGCTGGACTGGGCTGAGGTCTGGCCCTCAGCATCCACTGGACGGGGTTGATCTGATGGGAACAGATATGACATACATGTCGATTAAAAATGGTTGCAGAAGTGGGATAACAGTTTAGTTAACACGTCTTGACTAGACTGGCTTACTCTCGGCACTGGGAGAAGATGTGACAAAACGGTTTCAGAAGTGGGATAGAGGTCCAATTGTGGGTTGATTTACAAATTCCCGCAAATTTTGATCTTACTTAATTTAGCTATTTCTTAATCTCATGTGATTGTATTTATTTTGTAAACATTGCCAGAAACGGGTGCTAGAATCAAAATCTAAAGTAACACAATGGTATCGGTAAGGGAAAATTCATTTAGGAAGACTTCAGAATTGTTTGGAGAAAAGCACCGTTCAGATAACTGACCTTCTCCTGAGGTCGCCGGCCTATAAGGCAATGGCTCATCTTCAGGGTTAGCAGTCTTGTACCACGCCTCCCAATCACCAGGCTGCTGAGCGAACTGAACACACAGCCCATCCAGGGGACCGGGCAGGACAGACACGGCCATCAGGTCTTCCCACTTATCATGGGTCAGGAAGGTGGGAGCCGGTGTATCGCACTCAAAGTCGGCCAGGGAAAGCTCCATGTTCCCAAGGCCTGGGTTGCCTGTAGGTAATAAGGATGAAAAGTCATGTTGCACAAAACTTTGATGCACTGTTTAACCCATTAGCCCTCCTATGCAAACATACATTCCGTGCCCTGTGTAAAAGGCATGACAGGTAAGTGGATGGAACTTTTGACTGTATGTGACTGTTAAAACAGTAGGAGGGTTAGTGTTTGTGTTACATTGCACTACACTGTATTTACTCCTTAATGAGCCCAAGAACCCATATAATGCTGGGTGGTTTTCGGTAATCAAGAACGTAACATGAAGGTGGTTTGGGGCAGCACTTTACAAAGGCTGCTGCCTGCACTAATGTGTGCATTTATGGAAACTGAAAAAATCAGAATCAATTTAAATGTCTGTGAACATAGAAAAATTTGTGAACATAGTGTGATTTTAATTCAGTAAAACATTCAACATCTGATCCACAGTGGGGAAAAACGATCTTTGAGAAAATGATTTGCAGCTTTGGAAATGAATTCTTTTCTTAGGACGCCACAGTGCAAATGTTAATCTTTTGAATGGAAAGTCCTATAAAACTCTCCAGAGTATGAGACTTTGCACATCCTTTCAATAGAAATGTGAGATGTTTTATTTCTTCAGTTATTTGGGATGTCCACAAACCTTGGAGGAGCAGCGCCAGTTCTTCCTCGGAGAAGAGCTCGGTGGTTTCATACTGGATGTTGAGACAGAGCAAGGAGGAGAACAGCAGGCGATGCTTCTCATACAGAGACCTGCAAAAGACGTAATCAAAAGATACCACAATAAGATGACATAAAGTAATCATGGCAGCTGGCACAAGTGTTAAAAGGTAATATACTTTTTTTTTTAAATTTTGCTCCAATTTCCAGAAATGGATGGATTTGGGGTTAATATTTTTATAGCAAATATGTAACAATATTTGCTATCAAATACTGACCTGTTTAAAGTTTTGTGTTCATATATGATGGAAAAAAAAAACCAAGAAAAAAATGTTGTTCCCGTGGTCTGGTTCCCTGACCCTATTCTTGATGAAGCGAAGCATTGTCAGGTCAGGGAACCAGACTAGCTGGCTTGCAACCGTTCACGGATTGAACTGATTGCAAACAAAATGTGTACTAACTGAATTTGGTACACTGGGGCAGTATTAGAAAAAAGTCAGTTTATTTTCCAACAATGGTTGGCAATTGATACAAAAATTCCACTTTTCTTGAAAATGACGGCACACCAGGTGCCATGATTTCACAGGATACTTGAGATTATCATTCATTTACAGTCCAGTAAGGTATTTCATAATAATTTGGCAGTGTGGTTTTTTGATGTTTGCAAATGTTGTATATTATCTTTAAGGGATACCAATAACTACTATCCAATGAAAGCAGAAACAAATTTAGGGAGATGGGTATGTGAGTTATGGTACTCACTGCCTAACGTTCTGGAAGATGGTCTGCGTCAGGCAGTCCACCAGCTGCTTGACCTGATTGGCTGACAGATTGGAATATTCCACTCCAGGGGAGGGGAGGTCTGGGAGGTCCGGTACGGCAATCTGTGCCATGATGCGCTGCTGCAGACTGGCTTCTTGTGATGGCGTGGCTGGGTTGGCAGGCTCCTCACCTTAAAAAGAAAAAGACATTCAAGAAATTGTAGGATAAGTCAAATTTGACAATATTTTCTTGTACTGCATGGTTACAATACTCATTTAAAGCTACAGTCGGTTATTTGCAGCTATCCAAAACGTAACTGACGTAATTATTGTTGGATAGCATAGAGGGACTGAACTTCCTGTGAAATGATTCTTTTTGGCAAGCTGTCATTTTCAATAAAACAATGAAAGAAGGCCTTTCCACGATGCATAGATGCATCGTTAGAAATTTCCGTTACTAGGTTGATTATAATTTAGCGAAGCGCGGGCAACCGCTGACACGAAGCACACGTGCGCATGGTTCAATTTCAATTTCAATTTAAATTTTGACTTTATTATCCCTGACGGGAAAATTCCATTGGCCTTTTACATTTAAACACGTTAATGAAAAAAGTTACAAAATTATAAATAATCACAATACAGTACTCCACAAAGAAGAGAGATACAAAAAGTTATTAAAATTCAATACAGATAAAATACTGCACATAGCCTAAAAAAGGCCCGTTTAAAATTCCATGTGGTTACAAATTAAAATCCAGACTACTCGAACAAATGTTCGTGTAATTAAAAAGACCCTTCATATACACTATTTCAATCCCATAAATTGTGTTAAAACATAAAAATACTGCACAAAACCTAAAAAATGCTATTTGTTGGTTCAGTGTGCGACATCGCGTAGTTGCAATTGCCTGGATGAGAACATGTCCCGGACTCTGAATTCGGGCGCAATTCAAAACATGACTTTTGATTTGAAATCAAGATCCTAGAATATTGTGTTCTCGGAATATACAGCATTCACTGAGCTAAGGTTAGTTGTACAGCACCCTTGTTTAGATTTTGAGCACTTTTGTTGCTTCAAAGAACATAATGCACAAATTACAAATGATGGACGCTACCTTTAATCTCAAATCAGGGCCTAAAATTATCTATAAAAACAAAGCTGATGCTTTGAACACCCCCCCCCCCCAGCCAACATGACTCTGCAACTCACCTGTAGAGTTCTGGGTCTCAGTGCCTTCCTGAGTGATACTGCTATCCTGTGCATCTTGGTCCACCTGTTGGGGCGCGGTCTCCTTGAAGCGGGTGCTTGCGCTGGTACCGATGCCACGCAACGGGGAGGTGTGGCTACCTGCCTCGGTGGCGCTATCATCGTCCTTGGATAACAAAAACATCGTCAACAAATAAGCAGCATTGACCGATAGACTCTGTTCATTCAGCTGCCATCTTCGAGGCTTTTGTTATTGTAATTCAGTAACGTTTAATTACCGTAACGCATTGCCAAATGTAGTTATATCCAGAAAGTATTATCCACAGAATGAAAGCCAGAATGTTCTATCTATTACATTATCAACAAAGTATTATAAGAAAGTAAATTGCAAAATGCAGTATTATCACGATATTATTACCCAGATGTTATTTTCCAGAAATAACGATGAAGTCATGAAGACAGTATCATTTTCCAGGGAGCATACATTTAAAGGATCATTTGCATTTGTCATAATTTCATGAAATGGACCGCTATTAATTTACAGCAGACATCGTTCCACTGAGCTGTTCAATGGTCTGTGTCCATTGGTGCTGGAAAAACATGAAAAATGCCGGTTGAATTTCAACTGTCAAAGTGCAGCTCAAGGAATCTGTGGTGCATAGAACCCATAGGCCACAGGGAGTGCCGGAGTGCCAGCTCTGTCATGGCAAAGTAATACATGCATAGACCTACGGTAGCGTACCTGAGCGTACACATGAAGTCAACAGCTGGCTTGTGGCCGTTTTACGGATGTTGTATTTGACAAGACCGTTTGTTCTCAGCGATGGTTAGGTCCTAGTACTGATACAAAATTCCTCTTTTCTTGAGAATGACAGCATACCAGGCTCAACGATTTCACAGGATGTTTTATAGTATTATTTACTTTCAATCAAATGGGCAGTTTGATAATATTTGGGCAGTTTCGTTTTTTTTTTTTTAAGTGTTTGGCAAGTTATCCCATATGCCTTTATAAAAAAATTAATAAAATACACGCATGTCCTACAAATATGAACTCAAAAATCTTTGAGTACCACCCGAGTGATTTTTTCCAACTTTCACTCGGGAGGTTACACACTGAGTATACAGTGTTTATACGTCGGTGAAGGGCAAAACCTAATTTGATTTACATCACCCCGACGCAAAATTCCATCTTATGAATACTAAGTTAAAAATGTCATTGAAAATCTTACAAAATTACTTCATCTGAACAACACAAAGTTAACTTTTAGGAAACAAGGCTGAACACCTATTCCACCATACCTGTATTGAATACCCCCCTCCCCTCAAACCCCCCCCCCCCATTTATTTTACTGACTCACCTGTCCCTCGTCCTCATCTTCTCCATCTTTCTGGTCCTCCCCGACGGCCTGGTCAAACATCCACAGGAAGAACGGCAGTGAGAACTGGTACTCATGCCGGACACCAACCAGGCTGGCTACGATGCTGAACAGCATAGCGCCCCGCTTGGCTACCGGGAGGAGCTCCTCACGAATGTTCTCAAGGGTCTCCAAGATGCGCTCTGCATCCAACAGCTTAGCATACACCTGACAGCGAGAAAAATAAACAATGTGTACATACGGACTCCTTGGACAAGTACCCCTTCAACGGTTACAAGGGGAGAGTTGGGGAGACCACTGGGAGAGACTTGAAAACATGACTTGAAAAAGTCATTTGCTGACCATGTTTCATTCAAAATAAAAGTAAACTTGAAGCTATACCTGTTCCTTGTTGTCTACGATAGCTGAGACGTACTCAGTGTGAGCGGTGATGTCTCCTGACCCATCCTCTCCTTCTAGGGTTTGTAGCAGCTGCTCCTCAAGCACCTAAACACAGACAAATATAGCAGTGCTGTTGTCAAGTCCATCACAAGAAAATCACAAGTCCATCACAAGTCCAACACAAGTCCAACACAAGTCAATCACAAGTCTAGTCACAAGAAAATCACGAGTCAATTACATGTCTGTTCACAAGAAAATCACAAGTCAATCACATGTCTGTTCACAAGAAAATCACAAGTCAATCATATGTCTGTTCACAAGAAAAATCACAAGACCATCACAAGTCCATCACAAGTCTAATCGAAAGAAAATCACGAGTCAATCACATGTCTGTTCACAAGAAAATCACAAGTCAATCACATGTCTGTTCACAAGAAAATCACAAGTCGTTTCACAAGTCCAGTCACAAGTGAATGAAGGAAACGAAATGAACGATAACAAAGGAATGTCACGGTTCATTTGAATAGCTTGTGATATGACTCAGGATTAGATGACTTGTGACTGACTTTTGATAGACTTATGGGGACTTGTGATGGACTAACAACACTGATGTGTAATGGAGGCACGTTCCGGATGATTTCCAGCACAAAATAATTTGCAAGTGCAAACTGTTTACGTTAAAGTTTTGTGCGAAGAGAGGCAGGAGTTTATATTTTGTAGTAGAACCAATTTACAAAAAAATGGAAGGATTAGTGCTCCTTGCTGACTAATAGATTGCGGCGTAATTATAATTAACAAAAATAGGGAGATACATGTAAAAGTGTTATGGAACTTTCATAAACTAGAGGTTTATAATTGTCAATAGGAATCTGGTGCAATGAAATGATTGCATCAAAGATTGACAGACTCTTGACTAATCAGAGTAGTGGACCTGTCTGAGGTATTCACAATGCTCCAGAAAATAAATTGTAACGATTAATAATTTAGGTATATAACTCCTGCATATTTATATTAACTCTTTCAGTGCCAAAATCGTACATGTACGAGGTATTTTTGTTAGTACAAAAGCGCCAACCTCGTACATGTACGAGGTAATGTTCGTAAATGTTCGTACTTAAAATTGCCAAACCTTGTACATGTACGAGGTAGAGTAAATATGTTATCAAAAGCGGGCGCTCTTGCTCTTTCTAATGGTACCATTTTCATGCATGTACGACCTGTATTTATTTTTTCATTTGAGTTCTTGCGAGAGGGCGCAGCACCAAATCTCGTATTTTCTGCAAAAAGTGCGGAATTCCCCTGTGTTCAGGCCAGTGTTTCAGGGTGTATCACTATGTTTGTGACTACTTTTGACTTTCCAATATATCAAGGATATACCAGAGAGCAACAACAACAAATTTAGTGAGTAAAACTTATTTACTTTTTTTTTTACAGAATTTCGAACAATTAACAAATACGCTCGAAGTTGGGCACTTTAGGGTTAAACTTTTCAAATTTCGCGGGCTCTGAAAGAGTTAATGTATAATAATAATAATAATTTATGAATAAGTATTTATGAATATTGCTCCAGAATACAAATAGTAATGAGTAATTAATTATGAATAGTACCAAATATTAATATCAATGAATAATAATGTAATAAAAGTACTCAAATATGAAAGTAATGAACAATTTAAATCTATGATTTGTACTGATGAATATTTATATCGATGAATAATAAATAAGGAATAATAGTATCTACCTGCAGAGTGGCCCTGTGTTGCTGTATGGCCCTAAGCACCTTGCGTCGCTCAGCGTGCAGCTGGGGAACCACCCTCTGGAATGCCCTGGCTAGCAACTCTTCCTTCAGACCCTCGGGGGAGGGGCTGTAGTTGACCAGGGTTGTGGTGGAGGCGATGCGGGGCGAGAACTTGGGATTGGGCAAGGAGGTTGTCATGGAGACGCAGAAGTCCTGGTGGCCCAGGAGTCGGCGGCCGCAGTACTTGATCAGTCTGGCGTCTAATTGGTTGGTTAAGTTGGGGGAGATGAGGAATAGCGTTAGAAATGCAGTGATGACAATAGGACTGAATGCCAATATACATGTATTGATCCACTTTGAGGGCAATAGTATTTTGTGTGTATATTTAGGGAATTCAGGATTGCATAAAACTGCAGTGACAACACAACTACATGTTAGTGACATGTTTTTTAATGTTTCAGGTTTTCCTGAGGTTTTAACATTTCTGAGGTTTGAGGCTTTGCTGCGGTTTGATATTTTCCTGAGATTTCAGGTTTTCCTGGGGTTTGAGGTTTTCCAGACATGAGAGATTTACCCTGGGTTTAAAGTTTTTCTGAGGTTTTAAGTTTTTTTGAGTTTCACTGTATTCCTGAGGTTTGAGGATATTCCTGAGGTTTAATTTTTCCCAAGAATTTAGGTTTTCCTGACATGTGAGGTTTTCCTGAGGTTTGAGGTTTTTACCCTACCTTCAGCCGTACTATGCTCATTGCCGTGGTTGGCGTGGTGGATCAGCGGCATGACCATGCTGTCCAGTCTCTCATCACAGTTGACCAGCAGTAGGGGCAGGCCAGACAGTATGGCCTTCTCTATCTGGACCACAATGGACGGGTCAAACCTACAGAGTGAGAATAGGGTGACAAAATCCACAGAGGTCAATTTCTACAACTAGAAACCTGTCATTGAGAGAGGAGACTGTTTCTATGTACTTGCAAGTAGGGTCTAGTAAGTCTCTGTAAACCTCCAAATCTTATGATTTGAAGATTCATTCGTGAGTAAGTGTGAAGAACTGATTACAACTCTCGCATAGGAGGTCTTTCATTAGGGGTGAATCATGGATAGCGTCAGGTGTGTACTACACCTGTAGTTAAATGGTTTTTCACACTTATGAGTAAAATGTTCATCTTTATCAAAAACTGTCACTCACATTGCTTCAATGCATATCAATGAACAAGGATTTTTACACCACTCAGCTACAGCCTTTCTGTATAAACATTACCTCTTTGTATACACATTCTTCATTGTTTCTAATGTTTTTTTTTTCATTTTGCTGCTGGTGTAAAACACTTCCAGTCCTAAAACTCTGTTTGAGCTGATAGCCATGTACCTGTACTCTAGTGCATTTAACCTGAAAGTCCAGCCCTTTAAGGGGACTGGTGAAGCTGAGTATACCATCATTTAAACCACCTTGCCCTAGATTCCATCATCATTTGTCATGTGTTACAATTAAAAGCAGGTTGAGGTCATGGGCGTCGCCAGGATTTTTTTCGGGGGGGGGGGCAAAGCAAATTTTCCTCCCAAATTCCTTAACTTTTTAGAGATTCTTGAAAAGCACTGAATGCATGTCTCAATTATAACCTTTCGGTGATTTACGGAACCTGCGGGAATCGATTTTACATCAACCAATATTTTTAGCCTAAAAAACAAAACAATGGTGAGCTTGAGAAAAGTATATTAAACCTGTGTACTTATACCGTACACCACCATCACACCTTCTACATACCCTAGTTTATCCTCCATGCGACTGATGTATGAAGCATGCATGCAAACAAATCAATGCAAAATAAGAACAATAAAGGCGGTAAGAAAAGCTGCATTGGGTTGTTTGACATTCTGTGCAAATTCAACAATTCAAATGTTCATCTTTAAAAATGTGTTCCTCTACCCCTCCCCCTCCCCGCCCCTTTCATGAGATGGGGAATAAAAGGCATGAGTAATGACCAGGGATTAGCTCAAAAAGTTTCCAGTCACAACATATACTACACTTTTATATCAGGATGCTTATGAAAGGTTTCACAAATTCTTTTGTTAACTTTCAAAAGCTGCTACATGTATCTTTATTTTGTGTTCAATGTTGCACAGTGCACCCATAAATAGCCTGAAATAGCCTTAAAATGAAATGTCTGGAACTTCCACATTAGTGATCATTTGCGGTGTTGTACAACTGTTGTCTCAAAGACAGACTTTCTGAATGTTTCTGTGATCACAGTGTTTGGGCATGCACTTTGGTCCTTTTTGTAGAATGTCGTCTTTTTAAAGTAACCCAACTCTTTGTTTGGGGACGAAGGAGAGGTTCCCAAAATGATGGCAATGATTACAAGCTGACAATTTGCACAAAATGTATTACATTGAGTCACACATATACCCTGCTGGGCCACACAAAATGATGCAGTGTTAGGCTGTTCACTCTGGCAAGGTTAATGCAAAAAATCTTTTTTAAATAAAAAAAAAAAAATTCCATAATAATAAGAATATCATAAAATATCAACAGAAATGGTAAAACAAGTTTAGATACATCAATATTGGTTTGAGATACATATAATGTGGGTGAAGAATAAGCCTTTGTACTGATGACGTCACACTTTGTTTACATGTGTACTTTCCTATCCTACCCGTTCCGTTCACAAGTACCCCCCTCACCAGCAAAGAAAGTACAGTTGGGGGTGACCGACCGACGCCATCTTGTCTGACTGCAATTTTGCCGCGACGCACAGCCGGGCCGTACCACTGCGAGTACAAATCACCTGATGTACATGTACGTGCATCACACACAAGGAACGGTGCGCGTCAACCAGCTAAATGTCCCGCCCATGGGACGTCATTGCTAGGTAAAAGGGCGCCCTCTTTGGTTGGCACACGGAGCCCATGAAGCCATTGGGGGCCAACGGTCCACTGAGCACCATAGGAAATTGCACATGTAAACAAAGTGTGACGTCATCAGTACAGAGGCTTATTGCAAATATTAACCAAACAGTTTTATAATTATTTTTAAAAGGTGAACAAAGACATTGGCGAGGGCAGGGCTAGAACCTGCGACCTCTGTATTGCCGTTCCAGTGCTCTACCAACTGAGCTATCCAGCCCTATGTTGGCAGTTCCCCAATTTGCCAATGTCACTTTTCAAGGGGCGCTAGATATCTAATAAAATGTCCAATCTGGGTGGGGGAGGAAGGAAGCTGTTATTAAGTGGGTTGCAACACTTCAAAGAAGAAGAAAAACAAGTAAAAGAAGCGTAGTTCTGCAGTCTAAGGATCACTTTTCTAGTCAATTCAAACTGTTATCAAAATGGCAACACAACGTGACTGCATTAAAATGTGCCTGCAAAATACCCCAAAAAAAGCAAGTGATTTGAAGCCCACACGAGACACAGCACACAAAGCACACCACCTTACAATTCAAATGTCTCTTTAGAATACACAGTGATTTGCTGATGGCGCCTGCACAATAAACAAAAGGTCCACGGTATTGAGGTTAATTGCAGATATATTATGCAAATTAATTCAGGAAGCGACATGAATATTCATACATGAATCTGTATTTGAGACATGCAAATTTAAGCAGCCCATCACCAATACGAGATCATTTCATTTTTAAAGACGAGTTTAAAAGCACAAATAAAGCTGCCCCACGGCCCAAAATCATGCCATAAATGAGAAATGCAGTAACTTTCATACATTGTAACCAAAACGAGTAACACAAATTTAAGTAACTAGCTTTCTACGTTTTGAAAATGTCAAATTCTCCTCTTTCATGAAGTTACGTGTACCCTGTACCTGGAAAAAAGGAATACGAAAAGACCCATTGAAAACCCCTTGATGCCCCCTTTTATTAAAAATATAAAAAAAAGCGTATCACTGAACAAAGACTTCAAAATACTTCAAAAAATTGCCAAAGCCAATTGTCAAACCAGTTTACACGATTTGTTCTGTTCACTGAAATTTTCAAAGAATTTTTAAAGGCATAGGATCGTTTGCTTTTCATGCGTTTTGTTCATTTCTAATAATTATTCCACTCAAAATCCAAAGATGAATGTTCAAAGCCTAACCTGTTGAACTTTTCGCTCAGTGGATATTACACTTTTCAAGAACAGTGAAAAATATGCAAAACCCTTTGATCATGAAACACGATTATATCAGTAACACTCTTTATTTCCAATAATTGGTCAATTGACAGATCGTTGGAAATCACCTACATTTCTTGATTTCTCATAAATGACAGCAAGCGAGACGAAATAAATTCACGGGATGTTTAGTACCAGTATGATAATCCAAGTAAGCTTAGTGATAATATTTTGGAAATTTACTTTGGAATAAATGTAAATGATCTTACATGCCTTTAAATATCATAATTGAACTTTATAAGCTGTTCAAGATCACAGAGGTTCAGATTAGTAGCCTCAGCTTTTCACCATAGCGGCAACTCTTTCACCAGCGATATTCCCAAATCAAAACAACAAAATGAAAAAGTCAAAACCCCCAAAATGCTGGGATTCTGAGAAACACTGCAAACAACATACCATCTGTTGTGTTGTGAAAGCATGCAATCCATTCAGGGAAGTGTGTTAGAATGGAGAAAAGAAATAAATAAATAAAGCAATTGTCATTAGTAAAAAAAAAAAAGTTGATTTCAGATCACTGGGAAAAGAAGAGGATGCATTTCAAAGTATAAGTTTTAAAATGCGACAAATTCTCCTCTGTAATAAAGATCCGTATAGAAATCAAACACAGAAAGGGGGAGAAAATACTGTGAAAGTTACAAGGAATTGGGGAATATGGACTCAATCCACAAAAGCAGGCAAAGTGTTTCAGTTTGTACCAAAGACACCACATTCCAAATAAATGACAATATTAACTCGTGAGCCTCTGTACCACCCAAACTGTTCTGCCTGTTACTTTCTCTCCTTCCCACAACTCACCTCCAAGCAATGTATGGTTTTATGAATTCATATGGGAATAAATACAATGTAATACAATGTAATACAAGGTAGTACAATGTAGTACTGGTGCTGAGGATGTAAATTGAATAATTGTGTTTTTTTGCCTTTCACGGACCTAAGGGCAAAAGATCGTAACAAATTTAGACCTCCAAGACAACTATGGTATATATATGGTACCCGCTGCTACGTCAGATTCAAAGCAGCCAGCCGACTCTGGCAAGCTCGGTGTTCCAGTGGTAAGACATCTGCACTAGTAAACAAGAGTCAGCTTGTGAATTCTTTCAGGCAAGTCCTTGGAAAGTGCTTACAAACGTACGTAAGTGAAGTGCAAAAAACCTAAATTGACTATTGGAAGATTTGTTTGGGGTTGCATGCGTCCGAAAAGCAGTGATTGCTTATACCTTGTGTGCATGTCGATGTTGGTCAGCTTGTTCCTATGGATCATACGGCGCAGCCAGCGTACGCCCTCCATGTGGGGGTCAATCAGGAAAGGAGGTCGTTGCCATGACGACTTCTGAATGGCCAGATTCTCCATCTGCTGCAGGCAGAGACCTGAACAACAAAAGAAAAAAAATAGTCAAAACCAACAAAATAAGAAGACAAAAATTGCTAAATATCAATTTTAATTGATGAATTTTGCATCTAGGTGTTAAAAAAATTGTCAAGAACATGAAGCATGTTGTAAAATTTTAAAAGCAAATTTTTTTGGTGTCAGTTAAACTGTCAGTTCTATGGACTGGCCCAACAAAAGTTGGAGTTAAACATTTTCGCGATGTTGTTTACGCTTCTTTGTGACTGTTTCGGCAGCGTTCTCTATGGACAGGCCGAACAAAAGTTGGAGTTTAGCATTTTCGCGATGTTATTAACCCTTCTTTGTGACTGTTTTGACAGCGTTTTCTATGGACAGGATGAATTAAAGTTGGAGTTAAACGGAGGTACCGGTGGGGGCATTTCGAGTTACAGGGGTACTGGCGAGTCAAGTAGTTGCTAAGAAAAATTGTCCCGGAACATGTCCAGGACAAATGCAGAGTTTCTTCCGGACGGAGTGAATGATTCTACCCGCAACTTTTCTAGAATTCGTCCCAGATATGAATCGAGATGGGCTCAAGGCAAATATTATTCTGTACTCATAAAAATCTGTATTTAGTAGCTCGATGAACATGACCCCAGGTCACAATTTAAGGGTCAAGGTTCATGTCTCCTGACCTTTGGTCATCCATTCCTGCAAGGTCCTCTCTCCGACAAGCAGCTTGACCAGCGCCTGGACGTAGCGGTTGAAATCGCTGCTGCTGATCTGGGGGAAGTTGTCCACGGTGTAGTTGTACTGGCTCTCGGTGGCCGTGTGCAGGTCCGGAGACTGGGCACCGGTGTCACCTGCTGGTACTTCATTCCTGGGTGTGTCTTGAACTGGACCTTTAAAATGGTAAATAAATCAGGACGGTATTAACAATTGCCTAAATTGGAATTAGATCTTTTTTAGTCAAGAGGCAAAAGGTCTTTTGCTTAGAAAACAATAAAAAAAAATCCAGCCAAATATTTTGAAATTTGAGATGAATTTGACAGAAGTGAAAAGGGATAGTTTAACTTGCTGTACAGAAAAATACTGGCTTTGAAATAACTTGTAAACATAGCCCCAATAAAATGTTACTTTAAGTTTCATAACTGGTTAAGGCCTTCAAAAGACAAAATGTAATGAAGCAATTTCAACTCCGTGCTTTCCAAGAACTTGTCAATTGTTCTGTGCAAAGCTGTAGTCTCTGTTTTGGGACTCAAAACCCCAAACCGGCAGCTTACTACTGCAGATGTCAAACAGCATTGAGGATACATACAGCTTTCGGTGAAGCCTAAAACCTAATTTTCAAAAAGCAGGCCAAGGTTCCAACAAAAGACATCTCACCTTTGTCTTCAGCAACAGCCACTTGCTGGTCTGCCTCGGTCCCAGTCTCCGCCTCCTCCATGATTGTCTCATTGGCCCCGCCCACTGCTTGCGATTCCTCCGCCCCTTCCTCCTCCCCTCCTCCAACTTCCTCTTCACCTGCCTCCTGATGTGTGTCTTGCTGGGCTTCTTCGTCTTGTGGCTGCTGCTGTGGCTGTGGCTGCTCTGCCGGGGCGTCCCTCGGTGTGAGGCCGACCTCCCCCTCATTGCTGTGGACCGAGCTGGTGACTGTGTTGGAGCGGGTGCGGTTGGTGTGGATGGCCCATTCCACTATCCAGCCTGAGGGGGGGAAGGGGGTTGAAGAGGGTGAGGTGCAGAGGTTAACAAATGTTATTAACATTGATTTTCCATATATTTGTGCCGCACATGACTGCCTGAAAACGATGAGTTATTTCCAAAATGTGATAACTGCCATTTTGTAAGAATCCAGCTCTCTCCTGGCTGCCCAGAGTTAGCTCGACAGGTTTTATATAGTTAAACATAATTTAAGAAGACAACAAAGCAAACAAACGAGTTTTAGAAACAGCTATTATTTTGTTAATATTCTTCAAACTATGATAAACGTGTACATTTTTCACTTGTTTTCAAATGGATATATCACGTTTTGGACATAAACTCTTTTTGGTCTTTAAGTACATTTTCACACACATATTAACTTCAAATAATCATGTTGAACTGAAAGATATTTTGACACATCATGCTGATAGGCCAAAAAAGCCAAAAAAAAAAAAAAAATTCAACAAAATATTTCTCAACTGATTTTCCTCACATTGAACAGCACTACCTGCAGTCAAGTTCCAGACACCACCGTTTACTTTTTTGAAGTTCCGTCCACAAAGTTGAGGCATAGCCGACTTTAATCGAATCCAGACCCAGAATGTCAACACTTTCAAACCACCCATATTTCAAGAGGAATTTACAGTTGAATAGCTTGTATGGTAGAATAGTTGATGAAAGGCAGCATCATGTGACCACAACATCCAACTTTTTAAGCAAGTGTATTAAACATTGTCTTGTTGCCTTTTCCAGCACATATGACAAACCAATAAGAAAATAAAAGCCTTAAGACTGACTTTGTAGGATCTTGTCACAAGCTTGCAAACAACTCTACCTTTCATTGGGTCGACGGCGTCAATCAACAGCGGCACGCCTCGCTCCTGCAGACACATCGGCCACTGGATGGTCAACATGACCCGACGGAACTTGGGGTCGTAAGCCCCGAGGTAGGAGGCAAAGGCCGCTGCCATGGCTATGGCCCCCGGGATAGCAAAGAGACGCTGGGGTAGGGAGCGACAGATCTGGATGCAGTGCTTGTGCTCTGTCTCCAGGATCTAGAGAGGAGAAACAGAAATGGATTGAAAATGAGTAAATTAGCTAGTCAATCCCACGACCTCCTGCTTTCTAGTGCAGATGTCTTACCACTCGACCACCGAGCTAACGGGATCGGCCAACCGATCCCGTTAGCTCGGTGGTCGAGTGGTAAGACATCTGCACTAGAAAGCAGGAGGTCGTGGGTTCGAGTCCCACCCGAGTGATTTTTCCAACTCTCACTCGGGAGGTAACGCACTGAGTATACAGTGTTTAAAAATGTCGGTGAAGGGCAAAACTCATTTGATTTATATCACCCCGGCGCAAAAATTCCATCTTATAATAGTTTATGCGGTACCCGCTGCTATGTACATCAGATTCGAACCGGCCAACCGATCCCGTTAGCTCGGTGGTCGAGTGGTAAGACATCTGCACTAGAAAGCAGGAGGTCGTGGGTTCGAGTCCCACCCGAGTGATTTTTCCAACTCTCACTCGGGAGGTAACGCACTGAGTATACAGTGTTTAAAAACGTCGGTGAAGGGCAAAACTCATTTGATTTATATCACCCCGGCGCAAAAATTCCATCTTATATTAGCTAGTCAATGTCGGAAACGGCTGTGCTCTGAAACATTGGGTGAGTAGAGGTATAATTACAACACCTGTGCTAATCAGCCCACCCTTGGCCAAATGGTTCTTCATTGATCATGATCTGGTGCGAGTCCCTTGTGCGTGCTTTCAGATTACACCATGCACTGCACACACCTCTACCGCACAGCTTTGTTGAGCTTTTAGGGTAGCAACCCCTGTACCCATCATATGTGACCTGTTCTGTCAAAATCAGACTTTACTGGGCATAAGGTCGAAAATCATATTTTTACATATTGTTAACATATGTTCTTTTTCCTTTTAATAGGTGGTTTAATTTTGGAAACCGGTCATTCCTGGGCAGAGTTATGCTATTTTTAAGTTCATTGTGTCGAAAAGTAGAAAAAGTAGAAAACGGAGAAAATGGCCACAAACGTCACAAAACAGTTATTTCTTTAACTGATTTACCTTATCAAAATCATCATAAATAGTATATGTAGAGTTCAAATTAGGGTTTCAAACTTTTATAATATATTTAAGACATGTTCAGGATTACAAATTTGCAAAAATTTGAAAATCAATAAAAATCACCTTTGCGTTTTTTGGCCCTATCTCAATTTCAACCTCTGCCCAGAAGCGTCTGCTTTTGACAGAACAGGTCACATATGTTAACAGCAATTTACTTCGAGTGGTTCCAGCCTTGTAATGAGAGACTGCTATTAAAGAAACAAAACGCCACGTTCCAAACTGAACATGCATTCCAAATTTGGGGTAGTCTGACCCGATACTGAAACATTACTGCGATAGTACACAATATCTTCTCAATACATAGTTTTGAATATTAAATAGTAAAACACAAATATAGGAATTTGATCATGACATGCAGCTATAGCCAGAGTATTGTCTCAACTACTGGTTTATAAAAAAAACTCAACTTTGCATACAACGTCCAAAGAGTTCACTTAAAGGGAATATACAACATTTGCAAACATCGAAAAATTAAACTACCAAGTTTTCACGAAATACCTTTCTACCATGTTGGTAAATGACAGTCTAAAGCATCCTGTAAAAGCATCCTGTGTGAAGTCATTTTCAAGAAAATTGTATTTTTGTATTCATTTCCAACGGTGGTCGGCTATTTTTTCAACTACTGCTCCAAATTTACCTTTTCTTCAGTCCAAATTATGTTAGCTATTGGTTACATGTTCATGAATGGGTGCAGGCCAGCTAGACTGGTTCCCTTACCCTACAATTTTCTGGCATCTATAAATTGATCCATTTTATCTTGAGTGGAGTCAGGGAACCAGACTACTTGAACATTTTTGTTTTTCTTGGTTTTTCCAGCATTTTCAAACACAAGCTTTCAAACATGTCAGCGTAACAATATTTGATCTATTATACTAACCCCTCAAATAGTTCATTTCTGAAAATTACAGCAAAATCCAATGATGTACATTCCCTTTAAAGTGAACTAAAAATGTTCAAACCCTCAAAAAGTAGCCCATAATCAACTGTTCCATATTTGGCCACAAACCCCGCCCACCTTTGGTTTGTTTGACTGAGCTACCATGATCACCTGACCAAATCTCATCATCTGATTGGTCAATGCACGCCATTTGATTGACGGGCAGGGAAAGGTTCATTATGAAATTAAAGACTTTGCTTTCGATTTTACTTTTGCACTTTACCTCTCTGAATTTGTTAGCGGTTTTGAGCTCTCTGCTCATCTTCTTGGATAAGTCTTCCTGGTTGTTCTTGTCCACCGTCGCTTCCTCAAAGCTCTGGGATAAGTCTTGAAGGCGCATCTCTAGAGCCTGGCGGAGAGGACGACAGATTAAAACAACTTTTCAAATAAGACTAAATTCTCTTTTTTTTTCAAGATTACGTATTCCTGGAAAAATTATTTGGAAAAATTATTTGAGTGTTCTGATCAGCAAAACGAACACAAATCTCATAGGGATGTGTGTGAATTGTTTTCGTTTTGCTGAAAGAACGCACACATTTTTGTGATCCGTGGACAGAACTTTAAAACGGTGGTTGTGTTTAACATTACGTAACTTTAAAAGTACAGGAGTGATTTGAATGATTCTTGTACTAAAGGAAAGCTTATAAATTGGGCTTTCACATCCTAGATCATGAAAGTGCTACATGCAGAACGTCACTGAAACAATAGTCCCGACATTTGGGTTTCGCTTTTTTTGACTCACCCTGTATTTTCCTTTCATACGTGAGAATTTCTCTGGGTTTTTTTCTTGTGTTGTGGAATAAAAGTGTATTTAAGGAAAAACAACTGGCATCTTTCATTTTCACGACTACAAAACTCGGAACTTTAACGGCCTTTTTCTCAGCGATGTGTTCTTTGATGTGTCGATAAATGCAAACTTTAAACAGCCATAACTTATCGGCGTTCAATTGTTCAATTGAAGTGCAACAAACTTTACTGCAAAGAGAATTTCACTCTTTCCTAATACCCAGAAACCCTCATCTTGACCTCTGCCCAGTTCTGTCTCATTGTGCCAGAACGCCTCACATTTTTCCTCTATGAACCTGAAAATCAAATCCTCACAAATGTATTTACCATCCTGAAAATGTGAAGAGGTCCACCAAGGTTGTGATTGATCAAAACAAAGTTTCGACATCATGTCTTTTACTGTCACTGCCACTTACCTTCTTTTTGTTCTCCAACGTTGCCAGTCTGTGCTCGGCTTCTTCCATGGCGGCCGTGGTCTCCTCCACCTTGGTGTGTAGAGGCTTGACTTTGGAGATCATCAGACGATGGTACCTAGGTAAAGAGAGAACCATATACTTCTACAGACTTCACGCACTGGGAAAGTTGATTTTATACATTGTTCAGAGAAGTCACCTCTTGTCATGAACACAGAAAACTGATTTTGGTTGAAAACCTTTGGAATAATTTAGTTGCGCACGACTCTCAAACATCAGTCTAAAATGGGTGGAACAGGAAGTATAAAGTTTGGGCTGGAACAAAAACTAAAGAGTTTAGTCAACAAAGAAGCTGCTTGAGTGAGCACGAGACTTTGTAAAGCACTGGGGTTGGGACTGCAAAACTCTTACATACCTGACTACACCCCGGACCCATTTACAGAGCGACGCGGCGGCCAGGTTGTTGGTCTTACGCTGCATGTTCTGTGGCTGAAAGGAGGCTTTCTTGAGGTATGGCTCTACCAGGTTCAGAGTGCTCTCCGGCAGCTCGCTGTCATCAAACTGCATCATCTCCTCAAGAAACCTGAAGAGAGAAAGATAAGAAAGAAGAAGTACATCAAAAATAAGTTTCCATGAGGAAAAACCGCAATGTAAGACCTTCAGCAAGTACTTTCTATAATTTCTTCACAACCCCTCAGCCTAAGGTATTGCCACATTTCCGCAATTGTTCATCTTGTTACAATTACTGCGTCAGGTTCCAGAAGGCAAAGATAAAATTTATTTTTTCATCTTCTGGGATATGTCTTACCTTTCAATGTTGGCCATCTGTCTCTTGGCACCCTTGCTCCAGGTCAGGTCTGATGACGGACTCTTCACTGTAAGGAAAGCAAGGAATGGAAAACAACATTTAACCCTAAAAGGTAACTGAAATGTCAACAACAAAAAAATACTCTTTGAATGGTAATAGGTATAAATAAGTGGCATTACTCATGATTTGCCAGTAATTTTTCCCCCAATTTCAGCTTTTCCTCCCTAAATCTCATTCAGGACATTCATGAAGCAGATCACAGCTACAAATATATCAATTTACTTCATGTTAACATCTTGTTGGGAAAATGTAAAAAAAAAAAAAAAAAAAACATTGGATAAAAAACCCAAACAATCAAAACAAAAACACAATAAAAATATCTGTAAAATGTAATTGCTTGTTTTAGCATTAATGGCAAAATAAAACGCCACATATGGCAACCTATCTACAGGCTGTCAAAGCCAACAGCTAATGAAATGTCAACTTATAATCAAGCAATCATTACAATCCCTTACATATCATGATGATAGAGGCCATCAGATCCTCGATATCCACGTCAGGCTTCTGCATTCCTCTCAGCTCCCCCAGGGAGTTGATGTCCAGCTCTTGAACAATCTTCTTGGTGTCTTGCACCACAGCGACCGTCTTGTAGACGGCACGGGCGTGGGCCAGCGTGTACTGGGGCAGGGCCTATGATATCCAGTAAACGGAACACAAGTTTTAGATATTTTGTGAGAGCAACATGAACATTGTTTCTGCTGCATCTGAAGTGTCATAGCCTATGGGCTCTGTGCACAAGTACCCTCTTAACGATAAGAAAGAGAGAATTGGGGGAGACCACTTGGAGAGACAATTCGAACGCCTGATGCACACACGAAGACGCTATAGGCTTTGTGAACATTCAGAATAAGATTAACCCGCTCTTCTTTTTTTCTGCAAGGAACCCATTCTCACTGACTGACTGACTCACACACTCACCGACTATAACTTATGGTGTAAACTGAGACGTTCTGATACAGCTCGCTTGAGCAACCTAGACTGGATTCGAACCCGAGCCCACTGAAAATGCAGACAAGCACTATTATTTTCTGAATCTTGTATTTGCATATTATTTCCTTGTTTCTAGATGGCATAATATCTATATCTATGAAAACCTAGACCAGATTCAAACCCTAGCCCACTGATAATGAAGTCAAGCACAACCACCATACCTTCTTCAATTTCTGCATACTATTTCTTCACTACTATTGCTTCAAGAAGACATATTATCTACATGTAATGCAAACCTAAACTAGATTCAAATCCATGCCAAATGATAATGTAGTGAAGCACAACCACCATACCTTCTTCAGTTTTTGTATCTTCTCCATCTGCTTGTGCACTATCTTGATCTGTTGCTCAGCGATTGCTTTGTCCTGTCCAATCTGCGACAGAAGCTTGACTGTACCCTGTAAAAAAACACAGAAATACACAAGAATTTATGTTTGATAAACGCTAACCACGTAGCAGGGAAAATTTCAACTCTTTGCACAGCGTCAATTTTCAAAAAACTCTTCTTAGAAAGGAAATGGGACAAGTACAATTTCATGAAAGTTTCATAGTGCGTACGTCTGTGACTTGCGCGACAAATTATTGTATAACTTGCTCAATCATTTTAGGTGGCGTAGGCCGTGGGGTAGTGATTGAAAATTACCTATTTTACCAGCAAATCGTGATCGTCGTGGAGCTTTTATTGCACAACTTATCAACGTTGATACAAGACACTCACAACTTTTTGTTTGAAGTAAAAGAAATACTTTTCTACTCATGAAAGAGTTTTTAGAGTTGCCGCAAGATTCCGAAGAAGGTTGAACAAACGTTTCGCAAAATCTGCTGCTGGTGCTTCATGAGAAATGAGTAGCATCATTCGTTACCTCTTTTCTCTCTTCCAGCACCACCAGTTCATGTTCGAGCTGTTTCTGCAGCTTGCTGGCCAGCTTGTTCTCCTTGTTGATGTGTTTCAGAGCTCTGGTCACCGTCACGTGTTCCTCATTGATCTTCTGTTGCCGCTGATGGTACATCGACAAGAACCTGCATAGCGAACGTCATCAATTTAAGCCGTTCAATATTTCAATTGATAAACATGAGGGAAACGCTCCACTAGAACAAGAGGCCAGATTACCACTGCCTTTTTGCTATTGACATTTCAATACTCTTGCCAGTCTTTTATCTTTGAAATACCTTCATCGAATTCGATGAACAATAGTACACCGCACTAATGACGTCAATTTTTGCTCTGCGCCGTACGTGCGCATGTTGGACAAACTTTGGAACAATCACACACGCACATGCATGCACACCTGGCCACATACATTCGCATAGAAACGGCACTGCAAGCATGCGCGCAATCTTCACACGAGAAGTTTGTACAGCATGCTTGTCTGAGATCCCGGTACTTGCTTCTATTTTGAACAATAGTGTGGAGTGCTATTGCTTGTAATCCTTAACCAACCGGTATCTGTAGGCACTACTTGCAAGAGGGACATTACCGTGTGCGCACAGTGGTTCGTGCGCATAAAGCGAAGTATACACCAGTTTATTCTGAATGTGCACACATCTATAGGGTCTTTGTATAAGCACCAGGTGCCATAGGCAATGCGTTCCTATGCCCCTCTGATTTGGTGTCCCCCAACTCTGTATTTGTAGCCATGAGAGGAACATGTGCACGGAGTCCGTACTTAACCCCAAATCTTTACAATGTAAATTATAGGTCATACTGCAATTGACTGACCTCTCCACAAACTTCTCATAGGTTGTATTGGTCAGGTGGTTGTATTGTCCAGCTCCTTTCTCTTCTCCATCCAGCTGTCTGATGGCCAGGTGCATGGTGGCCAACAGGTGGGCTAGGTTCTCCTTCTGGACGTGGTTTAGTGTTGCTACATCTGTGGGCAGAGAGAGTAGTGGATGAACAAATAGTCAACAAATGTGAAAAGTGGAGATTAAAAGTGAACACAGATAGTCCAGCTGCCTGATGGCCAGGTGCATGGTCGCCAACAGGTGGGCTAGGTTCTCCTTCTGGACGTGGTTCAGTGTTGCTACATCTGTGGTGAGAGAGAGTAGTGGATGAACAAATAGTCAACAAATGTGAAAAGTGGAGATTAAAAGTGAACACAGATAGTCCAGCTGCCTGATGGCCAGGTGCATGGTGGCCAACAGGTGGGCTAGGTTCTCCTTCTGGACGTGGTTTAGTGTTGCTACATCTGTGGGCAGAGAGAGTTGTGGATGAACAAATAGTCAACAAATGTGAAAAGTGGAGATTAAAAGTGAACACAGATAGTCCAGCTGCCTGATGGCCAGGTGCATGGTCGCCAACAGGTGGGCTAGGTTCTCCTTCTGGACGTGGTTCAGTGTTGCTACATCTGTGGGGAGAGAGAGTAGTGGATGAACAAATAGTCAACAAATGTGAAAAGTGGAGATTAAAAGTGAACACAGATAGTCCAGCTGCCTGATGGCCAGGTGCATGGTGGCCAACAGGTGGGCTAGGTTCTCCTTCTGGACGTGGTTCAGTGTTGCTACATCTGTGGGGAGAGAGAGTTGTGGATGAACAAATAGTCAACAAATGTGAGGAGTTGAGCTTTAAAAAATTAAGATGTAAGAAGGTAGCAGTAGCAACTAGCTAAACTACAAGGTTCAGCTAAGTTTTCTGGCTTGTGTATAAGATTATTCAACTAATCAACTAAACTATCAGCTTACTGTTGAGATGGAACAGCGCGTGGTCCACTAATCTCTCCCTGGACCAGTGTTGATACCAATATCAACTTAAACCACAAGGTTTGATTAAGTTTTCTGGCTTGTGTATTAAGGTTATTCAACTAATCAACTAAACTATCAGCTTACTGTTGAGATGGAATAGCGCGTGGTCCACTAATCTCTCCCTGGACCAGTGTTGATACGAGTAGCAACTTAGCTAAACTACCAGGTTTGGCTAAGTTTTCTGGCTTGTGTATAAGGTTATTCAACTAATCAACTAAACTATCAGCTTACTGTTGAGATGAAACAGTGCGTGGTCCACTAATCTCTCCCTGGACCAGTGTTGATACCAGCAGCAGCTCAGGTGGGCAGTCAGTGCTGGATACTGACGGCACCTATCTTGGAATGCTGCACCACTCGAGGAAGACACCAAGACGACTCGGAAATTGCTGCTGACAGCTCTGAGAACAGATAACATAATGATGATAACTTTAATAATTGATGCATGAAAATGCAAATTCTTAGCAAATACTCAGTAAACGAAACTGAATGTGAATGGTCTCAATCTTAAAAGGAGTATATAAATCTCTTAACAATGCTACCGGTTTTTGGACGTACAGTGGAACTCCACTATAACGAATATCGCGGGATCCACAGAAAATGTTCATAATAGTGATCGTTCGGTATAGCGATTTTAAGCTGCCAGTGCTCCGGTACTCACTTTCCAATATATGGCACCCTTCATAACTTCACCCTGCACGCCCTGGTAGTTACTGAAAGACGACTTCGAACACGTCCCGACTACTGAATTATGTAATTACACAGTTTTGAGCTTTCTACCTACATCGATGGGTGGCTTTCCCCTCCTATGCCTTGGGGAAATAATAGCCACTTGTCGCTCTTCTGTTGACGGTTTTCTACAACAATGTTCTGTTGGTTTTGTATACAAAAATCGGGAGCCAAGGACAATGTTCGGTATAGCCGAATGTTCGGTATAGCGGTGTTCGGTATAGCGACGTTCCACTGTAATATTAAAAACCTAATAAGATTCTTTTCGTGATGTTGTAATTAAAAATACTATAGTAAAAGGCGTCTAAAGTTTAGCCCCATTAACAGAAATGAAAATAAAATTACGTTTTTTTTCCTTTTAAACTGTCTTCAAAAGATTGTAATACAGGGTGCATGGAAAAGGGTAATTTAAAAACAATGGGTAAATATGTAAAAGTTATTGTAACTTTTAGACTGTAAAAGTGGCACCATCTTAAAGGGTAGTTCATTAACTTTTCATTGATATCTTATTTGCATCTCTTTAGTCACAGATGACCGAGCAACACTGATTTCAAAACAAAAGCGAAAGAAACCTCTTTTCCAAGTTTTCTGAATAACTGGTGAGTCAAGCTGTCTAAAGAATGTGCTGTCTCTGTGGGCCATTGAGCTAACAGGGTCGTTGCTTAAAATGGTACATCATGTTGTCCATGAATAATTAATCAATCCTGATTTTGTATAAAGGGTAACACTGATTTTTTTTCATATTAAAACAGTCTTTTTTCCACCAAATGGTTTGTTTGCAAACCTGGTGTGTGGCCATTTTGGTCTGAATTCATGAAAACTCATCACATTTGCCACCGAAGTGGAATAAACTGCTGCGGAAAGTAGTGAAAAACTCTTACAAGTCAAGGATTAAGGGAAAAAGAAAATCAGAATGTAAAGTGTCTAGACTCACTTGAGGAAGAACTCCCAAGCGGTTTCTCTAGTGTAGGTCAGACCGGCTGCAGTCACCTCAGTACGAATGGAGTTGATGATCGACGTCTGCTCCTCCGCGGTGAAGAGATGTGTGATTGCACCGGTCACCACAAACTCACCCACGTAGACTAGGAAGTCTTCGTTTAACAACTCCTCGTCAGTCAGGAGCAGAAGGATCTTCTCTCCCTTGGAATGAGAAGGAATTGTTTTTATGAATTAAAATAAATTGGAACTGTAACAGTTCAGGTGGTAAGTTAAGTACTTTGGAGGGGTACAGTAACTGAACGGATTACTAGAAATACAGGGTGAGTAAAAAAAACGAAACCCAACTGTCGGGACTATTGTTTTATTGAAGTTCTGCATGTAGCACTTTCAAAATGTAGGATATGAAAGCCCAATTCATAAGCTTTATTTTAGTACAAGAATCATTCAAATCACTCATGTACTTTTCAAAACGAAACCCAAATGTCGGGACTATTGTTTTATTGAAGTTCTGTATGTAGCACTTTCAAAATGTAGGATATGAAAGCCCAATTCATAAGCTTTATTTTAGTACAAGAATCATTCAAATCACTCATGTACTTTTCAAGTTACGGAATTTTAAACACAACCACCATTTTAAGGTTCTGTCCACGGATCACAAAAAAGGTGTGCGTTCTTTTAGCAAAACAAAAACAATTCACACACATCCCTATGTGATTTGTTTTCGTTCGCTGAAAGAACACTGAACTTTTTTGTGATCCGTGGACAGAACCTTAAAACGGTGGTTGTGTTTAAAATTCCGTAACTTGGAAAGTGCATGAGTGATTTGAATGATTCTTGTACTAAAAGAAAGCTCATGAATTGGGCTTTTATATCCCTGATTTTTGGGTTTCAGTTTTCTTTACTCACTCTGTATTTGGGTACAGAATGACTTCTGCCTTAATTGTTGGCAAAATAACAACACACTAAAATGTTCAGGCCAGAATATTGGCTTGTTATTTCAATATCTTGGCTTCCTGTACACAAAGATCAAACCAATGTTGGGTATTGCAATAAACTAAAGGAATTTGGCTGGGGGGGGGGGAGAGATCAGCAGTATTTTTCAAGGGGGGGGGAGGGGGAGAGTGAGAGTGTTGATGTTACTGTTATTGATGCTAGAGGCGTTGTTAATACATATTACATACAATACGTTGCCACATTTGATCTCCTTTCTGGTAATTTCTTAATGCATCTTATACTGGATAAGGGTCTCCTCTTTGTCACCTTTTTTTTGTATTTTTTGGGGGCTGGGGGGAGGAGGGGGAGGGGGAAATCAAGCCCCGAGGGCCACACCCCCTGCCACTGTATCCCCACTCCCGCGGCACCCCTGGGCACAAATGTAAATGCATTTGAGGTAACTAGACTGCAGTATACCTTGACTCCAGCCTTGGTATACGCAGCCACCAGGTCAGCCTTGAACTGATCCAGCTTGTAAGACACGGAGGCTGACATGGGCGAAGGGTTGACCTCAAAGACGCTGAAGCCACACAGGTGGGCTGCCAAGCGAGCAAAGAGGTTACTCAGGCCCGGGTTGCCCTCAGCGATGAGGGTAGCATGGCCGACGTCGTGGGGGGACATGATGTTACGAGCCAGACGACAGACGCGCTGGATGGTTTCCTGATGAAAGAAAATAATCGCATTTTAGAATTTTTGAGAAAAAAAGTACAGGTTAAACAAAATAAAGTGACTGAAGCAGGGTTCAAACCTTGGACCTTTGGTTTATCGTATCAGTGCGCTACCTGAATCCCAAGCCATATGTTGGCAGTCTCTAAATCTTATATCACTGTTTTTGTTAGAAGGGTACTGGTCAGACATTTTGGCTTCAAATGCTGCTCAGGACTTATTTGTTCAACTGTTTTACATTGATTTAAAAGTGAACCCAGTAGGTTTTCCATTGGTTTATCTGACTTTCCGAGAATCAAATTCTTTTGAGAAGACCTTTCCAAGCATTGAACTAACCTGTAACCTTAATTTGCAGGAGAAAATAAAACGTGGTAGACATGTCTCAGTAGGCAAGTCACGACAGGAGTGAATGCCAAGAGCAGATTGGGTTTATTTATTTATTTTTTTTTTAATTTTTAACATTTCTTTTTTTGGGGGTGCATATTTGTTTCTGTTTACAAAAAAATACCAACATTTTTTATCAATCTTGAATGAAAATGGAAATACAGATGGAAAAGTTGACAGTGCCTATTACCACTGTGTCACATTTGTTCAAGGACCTGCAACTCAAAACTTGCTCCAGCACAATCATGACTCATTTTGTATGGTTTGGCAACAAATTCCTTATCGACTTACTCTGTAGAGAGCCAGCTTGATCTTGGCATGAGACTTGTTGTATTCCTCCACCGCGTCCTGAAGAAGAGTCCTGACTCCCTCCACGTCCTCACAGGGACGGTACTGGTCGGTGGGATCGTCTTCTCCGATACTACTGCCCGTGGACGTGGTGCGGTACCCGCCGGCCGTCACGATGCCGGAATCCTGCTGGACTAGGTTGCTGAAGAGTGGCTGGGAGGGGTTGATGACCAGCTGGAGCTGTTGGAGCGGCAAAAAAAGGTTTTTGGCAGAGCTTACTTGAAGGAACATTTGAGTTGTCTTTTTCTCACCCTGTTTCAACGTGTTCCCATTTTTTTAATTTGATGGTAAAAACGAATGGATTTCATGACCTGTGCTCAGTTCAGTGTATGTTGAGTAGCTATATCCCAAAGAAGAAAAGGAACAGCGGTAAATTCATGAGACCTTGGCAGACAGTGAAAAGGCACTGTTAAGGCAACATTCTAAAGGGTAAATTATACTATAATATCCAATACAAACTAAGCATTTATGTTGTTTTTATAGTTAACGTGTTTTTCCGGCCATGGAGTAAACATTCGAGTGTGAAGACATCTTACCAGTTCCTCACTGGAGAACTCTTTTCTGGCGGCCGTCACAAACGCCTGCTGGTAGCGGTCAAAGTCGACCGGACTGACCAGCCGCTGGCCGTAGATGAACTCGCACTCGTGTCGCCATAGCAACAGCAGGTTCTCCCGGATCGTATTGGGCCGCAGCGACAGACATATGTTCCTGTATCGGTAAAAGATTATATGTTTATAAAAAGTCCTCGTAAAGACGGTTCTGTACAACTTTTACTTAGGTGGAATTACACTGGGGCGCTGGTTGCACGAAATCTTACAGTTGAGGCTAGGGCCCAATTCCATTGCTCTGCTTACCGTTAGCGGGAAATCCCTGCTTACAGTAGAAACAAATTGTGTTTACGGTAAGCGTGTTTCACAGGTTAGCGAGGAATTTAATGTGCAAATTTTTGGCAAGATCTTTTGCCGGCCAATGGTGCTCAAAGCTTACAAACAAAGGAAAGGTCTATATTATTAGTATTATTATTTATTCAACCAGGATAAATCTTACAAACAAATATGACAAATAAAAAACAAGCACATGAACATTAAGGAAAACAAAAAAAGAACCAATAAAGAAGTAAACAAACAAACCATCAAACAAATCAATAAGTAGACAATAAAAAAAATTTAAAAAACCATTAAAGGGAATATACATCATTTGCTTTTGCTGTAATTTTCAGAAATGGATGGAATTGGGGGGTTGGAAATATATAGCAAATATAGTTACACTGACTTTTTTGAAAATGCTATAAAAACCAAGAAAAACAATCATTTTCCTGTAGTCTGGTTCCCTGACTCCATTTAAGAAGAAACAGAGCAGATTACATATATTGGGGAATTGTAAGGTCAGGGAACCAGTCTAGCTGGCTTGTACCCGTTCATAGGTGTGTAATCGATTGCAAACAAGTGCGATGGTCAACTGGGGCCAGTATTTGAAAAAATACGCTGATCGGCCGATCAGCGTTGGAAATTGATACAAAAATACCACTTTTCTTGAAAATGACAGTATACCAGGTGCCATGATTTTACAGGATGCTTTACACTGTCGTTCACTAACAGTCCAGCAAGGTATTTCAAAATGGTTTGATAGTTTTATTTTTTGATGTTTGCAAATGTTGTATTTTCCCTTTAAATAACATATTAAATACCAAAAAAACCCAATAGTACAGAGCAACTAGGGGCCGACTCTGACTGGCTGAATAAATGAATGAACGAATGAATGAACGAATGAGGGTGGTGTATGCAGGAGGGGAGCTAGACCATGAAAGGGGAAAGTATTAACAAACAAAGGACAAAACTAACGAGGAAACATACGGGCCAGGGACAACAAAAGTAAACTGAATTACTGTTGCTCGGAAGCATGCTGCCCCACGTATGATGAACGATGAAAAGCGGACTAAATCAAACACAAAAGACAGGGACTGGGAGCATAACAAGGCCTATATAATCACGACTTGCATACACCAAAACTGAACACCTAGGAAGCAACGGTGTTTAAACAGTCGTCTTTTAGTTATTCAGTGTCGTCCAAGAGCTTGAGAACAAATTTTATCACACAAACTATTCATGTCTTCTTGGTCTACTTTCACCAAGTTCTTCCCAACTACTTCCTCTGTGCACATTTTGAATAACCTTTCCTGATTTTATGGGAACACAAATCAACCAAAAGATAGGTGGTACCTGAATATTTTCCTCATGTCTCGGAGAGTGAAGATGTAGTGGCATCTCTCTGCTGTAGGGAGATACATGGCTCGCATCCTGTCCTGCACTTCGATGGTAACGTTGACTACCATGGACATCAGGGCACGTAGCTGCTCCTCCTCCTTGTCAACGATGTGATGACGCTGCAAGAAAGACAAATACCCACAACTACATATCTCTGTGTTTGTTTTTTTTGTTGAGTATCATGTGATGTAATTGTGACCAAAAAAGGAATCTGGCGTTCGATTGTCTCTCCCAGTGGTCTCTCCCAACTCTCCATTTCTTTTAGTTGAGAGGGTATTTGTGACCTATTCTGTCAAAATCAGACTTTTCTGGGCAAAAGGTCAAAAATGAGATTTTTGCATATTGTTAAAACATGTTCTTTTTCTTTTTAATAGGTGGTTTAATTTTTGAAACCGGTCATTCCTGGGCAGAGTTATGCTATTTTGAAGTTCATTGTGTCGAAAAGTAGAAAACGGAGAAAATTGCCACGAACGTTACAAAACAGTAATTTCTTTAACTGATACACCTTAACAAATCATCAAAAATACTATATTTAGAGTTCAAATTAGGGTTTCAAACTTTAATAGTATATTTTAGACATGTTCAGGATTACAAATATGCAAAAATTTGAAAATCGAACAAAATCACCCCTACAGCATTTTTTGGCCCTATCTTAATTTCAACCTCTGCCCAGAAGCGTCTGCTTTTGACAACACAGGTCACATTTGTGCACGGAGCCCATCCCAGAAAAAAAAATATCCGAATTTTTGAGAACAGATATTAAACTATTGTTATCCCCCATTTTAGTTCTTGATGTCACAAAGGTAGAGGATATTCATAAGATGGAATTTTGCGTCGGGGTGATGTAAATCAATATTAGGTTTTGCCCTTCACCGACGTTTAAACACTGTATACTCAGTGTGTTACCTCCCGAGTGAAAGTTCAAAAAATCATTCGGGGACTCGAACCACCCTTAAGGTAGAGGGGTCGCGCATTTGTTGATCTACTGGGAATACACCTCTAAAAATAACTTTTAAAAACCTTAAGAGGTAAAACTACAGTCTAAACATTTTACAGTATACTTTAGTTGTCTTTAGGATCACAATTAAGGAAACAAACTAAAAAAAAAAAAAATTATAAAATAACCTCCAGAACTGTCTCTATTCCAAGCTCTGCCTAATTGGTTTTGAACATGTCATGTCAAGTGCAATTCCCTGTGCATAAATTGTTTGGTTTGACACCTAAAACATTTGTAACTGTTGTGTTTTTACCAATCCATCCTGTATAAAAACTCAAATCTCACCTTGTCTCTTGCTGAAGTGGAAGAGGTCGTGGCTGGGGTCAGGAAGTGGGTGTTCAGTAAGGTGGTGAAGATGCTGTGAATCTCACTGGACCTGCAAAGATATGGACAGTTCACACAATTCATGCTTTGTAATTGAAGACAGGTGTTGTATGTGTTGACTTCACTTTGACTAAAGGGTACAGGCAATCACATGGGCGTCAATCGGTGGGGGATGGGGGGGAAGTCCAAGTGGGGGGGGGGGGGATATCATATTGTTTGTTCCCCCCCCCCACTTTTTCGTCCCCGAATAAAAGTTGTAGCCTATTATAATGATTCTATAGCTCAGAATAGCTGATTCAATGACTCCAAACTCAAAAATGATGTTTAAAGATGATCTTTTAGTTTAAAAGATGATCACAGTGGTCAGAAATTGCCTCAGATTGCACCACAGAGCGTCTAGAATCCAAAATTTTTCGGGGCCCTTAAGCGGGCCCCGAACCCCACACCGTTAGGGCTTCGCGCTCGCATTAGTACTAATCAAGGTATGTCCCCCCCCCCCACTTTTGAGAAGTGATTGACGCCATTGGGCAATCATGAGTATTCAAAGGATTGACAGGTCAACACCCCTCTAGATCATACGTACTGATGAGATATCGCAAAAGTTTGTTTTATACCAAATTAGATCCAAGGCCCGATTTCATGACACCACTTTAAGGTTTAAATCTTGTGCTAACTACACCTGAAAAGTTGTGCCAATCTTGAAGATAGTGTGCTTGGAGATTTCCATTCTTGTGTCAATGTTAAAATGCTGAAAAACTTGGTTTTGACAATCATGACTTGGACTTGATGTCAAGACTCGTGAGTCACGTATTTTTGTACGATAAGTTACCTTTGAAAACTATAACTCCAATGTTTATTTTCCAAAACTAATGTTACAACAATGCTAAGAACATTAAGCACAAGAACCGTAACAGTGGCTAAAGCTGGAGACAAGGCCTAGATTTCGAAAGAAACCTTACTTGGGGTATGGTACTCCAAAGACCGAGAAGTGTCGGATGAGTCGTGGGCTGGGCCTAGGCACGCTGGCCGGGGAGTTAGGGTTGATGGTGGTGACGTAGGTCACATTCTTGACTTCTCGTAGTCTGTGAGTGTCAGGCTCATACATGCCTCCGGAGTCTAGGTGCTGCCGGATCATCTCACAGGCAGACTGTCGACCGTATTCATCCACCTGATAAACAAAAGCAATTAAACAACAAAGAAAGCGTAGATGAGGATTGATGAAATGAACATCAAATCTAGACCTGCGGCCAGTTTGGCGCATTATGGCAATGCGTGGCATGTGAAATTGGCAGGAGTAAGTTTGAGTTGCGTTCGGAACGTTTGTGAATTCCCTGTGCATTCACTTGTCAGCTCAGAATGCAGATGGTCAATTTTCACCTGATTGGCAAGTGCGTTGTGGCCAAGTCCAACACAAGTCTTCATAAATTCATCGCAGGTCAATCACACTAGTCATCCAGTCCTCAGTGCCAAGTCAATTCACAACTCCATGTGCAATGTGAAAAAGGCATTTCTATGTCTCGGTTTGTGCCCTGTTTCTCGCTGTCTCAAGATGGACCAGTGATTGACTTGTGATGGACTTCAGCATAACACTCATGTGTGCATACCCAGGCTGCTTTGAATAGCAAGACTGCACCAAGGCATTGTCCCCTGTTAACAACAGTATGTTCATTTTTGTCCCTATAAACTCACATGTGCAAGGTTGAGATCGTCCACATGACACATTAGCTTCTTGCTTCCTTTGGGTACGTAGGTGCGGCCATGTTTCCATTCCAAACGCTCCTCAAGTCGCTGCCAGAGCACTCGACTTGTGGTAAACCTGAAAAAAAATGAGGAGTCAAGAAGGATAGAAAATAAGAAATCACCTTATTGAAACATAACACCATTTCTTGCATAAGACAACTTCTCACATACAGACTCAAACAAATAGACACATTCCCAGTTATCAGCATCATCGCGGCGCGCGGAGGGGGGGGGGGGAATTGACGACAAGCACAGTAGTAGCAAGTGCAATTAACGGCGCATAGCAAAGGAGCAAATTGAGCTGATGTGCCGTGGTTGCGCTTGCGTTCACTAGTGCTGCGCGTCAATTTTGCCCCCTGGTCAAGGTGGTGCCGATGACCGTGAACAGGTCTATTCAAGGTTGAAAATGTTTTTGTGTCGGTGCCAACATTGGAGAAATAAGAGAGTCAGGTTGGCGTAGCGGTACTTTCCTCGCCTTCCATCGCTGTGACCCGGGTTCGAATCCTGCCTGGGCCTACATGTAGATTGGGTTTTCAGTCCCTACCTGATTCCGTGGGTTTTTCCCAGAATATTCTTCTGGGGTTTTCCTCCCACCTCTAAAACTGTAATTTTCTTCTCATTGTCTCCTGCTCATGGAGATTTCTATGTTATATCACTAATTTAAGGAACTTTTTCTTCTGAGGTAAGCATAATTTTCGCTGTGCTTAGTGCTTACGGTCTCCATGAAATAGACGGAGGCTCTGTGAGCAGAAAATCGTGTGCTCAGGTGCACCATGAAATTGGGCCCTGTTTTTGCAGATAAAATATTATCTGCGTTTAAAAAACTCCTTGTTTTTGTTTTTGCAGAATGTGTTTTCAACTGACCTGTTGGTTGTAACAGACAAGGATAGCACCTCAGCTACCTCCCCAGAGCAGACGGTTCGAATCCTGTCATTGACGATGGCCGTCTTGCCGCAGCCTCCTTCCCCAGTGAACAGCACTGGCCTGCCGGCGTCGGACAACAGACTCAGCAAGTAGGAGGTTTGCTGTTAACAAAAAAGAAAACTTTATCAGAGATGCCAACTTTACAGACTACAAAATAGTAATGATTCTTCCTGCAAAGAGTAATGCTAATGTAAATACATAAGACAACAGTCAAGTTTAAGAGTAACCACAGTACTTGTCACAGTAACCACAATGTTGGCGTATAGGACAGCTGGAAATTTCAAGAGTAGTAACATGCCTCAAAATCCTAATAATTACTCCACAAGAGTAATGGTTGGCATCTCTGCTTTATGCTTAAAAAGGAAAAAAATTGATTTGTACATTAACAATCAATTTGTCTACTGCACCCCCAAAGTGAGGAATACGATAGTTTTGCAGCACCATGAAACGACAGAGTGTGAATATGCTTTTGTTTGCAGTTTGTCACCGAGTGAAATTTATTGAGTCAAAAGTCACAACCAAACAAAACATGTATGAAACAAACGATGAGATATTGAGTAAAAAATATGCCCACATTAAATTATGGAAGATTAATGCACAAATACTGAATTAAGAGGCTTTGTTCGCCCGCTTCTTGGGGAGTTGGTTTCGCTTGGTGAACACCGGCGCAATCGCGTAAAAAAGAGCGGGATCAACCATGACCGTGGACACACACATACACGCACACACCCTTTGCGCTTTACAGTTTAGTTGTTATTAACGGCCTTGCAATAATTTAGACAGATCTTTTTATGCCCTGAGGCACAATAACAAGCACTAATAGAGGCCCTCTTTTTCAGAGAGTTGCAGTTGCCCCCCAAAAATTATTTTTTTTTTTTTAAATAAAACACTTTGAAAATGTGTGTCGCGATAAAATGTGAATTGGCTCAAGAGCATGAAGAAGCAACCTGGTTTGTCAAAGGGATTGAACAAAGAGTGGACCAACATGGCAAACGAATGAACACGAACCTCCACGCTGACAGTGTGCACAAACGCATCAGGTGGGATGCCCTCGTGTGGCGGCATGCTGTAAGGCGGTACGGCCTCGTTCCAATGCACAAACTGCTGGGTCTCACCGTCTACAAAATACTCAAACACCTGCAAAAGGACAAATTTTTATAAAAATAAGACAGCAAGCAAGGGCAAGCAAAAACAACAAAAGAAATTATTTTTTTTTACATTTTTAGGAAAATTATGGGGACATGACACTTTTAGACAAATTTAAGGAGTTGCTTTATGGTTTGCAGAAAATTTTGCTGACAAACAAAAAATCTTTTCATTTCAGTTTTTATTTTGTTATACTTGGATTTGCATTGAGATTTCTATTGTAGTATCCTTATTTTATTAGAAATTCTGCACATAAAGATCTCTGCAGTGTTAATTGTTGTACTATAATTGCTTACAGTCTAACAGTGACGGTTGAAATTTCTGTTTGTAGGAAATCCCTTGAGTTCTACTACATGACCTAAGTACATGCATATTGTAAATTCTTTGATAAAAAAACACTTGTACAAAGGCTTATTCTGTAATTTGGGGTCCACTTTTTCCTGTCCCTGCTACATCTGACATCTATGAATTTCTAATTCTAATGCACTCCTTAATGCAGTCATCCTCCAAGAGTGATTATGAATAGCAAACTACCTACGTAACAAAAAAAAACTTGTTTGAAGTCATTCTTAATGATACTTGAATGGCAAAGTACCAAGGTAACAGAGACAGGAAAAAAGTCACACTTTGGACACTAAATTTATAGAATGATTCATAAATGATACTGCAAATAAAATTTTTATGACACGTACATCTGCTCCCTCCGGGTAGTCGATGGACTCCCCCCACTGGTTGAGCCACCAGGTGCTGAAGGCAGCCCGGTAACCCTCCTCCAGGGTACCAGCGAAGGCCCAGATACAGGCAAAGTTGACGTAGCGCTCGTACTGGGTCTCCTCCAACTCCGAGCTTTGGGAAATTAGGGCCTTCACAAATGTAAAAAAAACGATAAACAAAAAACGATGAAATGTGGCAATACTGATATTTCTCACAGCACTTCTATTCTCCAAGGCTTATGGGTAATTACAAAGATGAGAGTCTGTAACTAGACTAGTTGAGTGGCCTCGTGGAGCATTGAATTTGTGGTCTGCGGGTAATTCTGCCGGTTGTGGGTTCGAGTCCAGCCTGCGGCTTATGGTGCATGTGCCCTTGGGCAAGGCACTTTGTCACTCATTGATTCTCTCCACCCAGGAGTAAATTGGTACCTGAGAGGGCAGAGATGGTTATTGTGATTGATTTAAGCGGCTTTGTGCCAAAATGGCAGCATGGAGCTGTATACTCCCAGGGAGCTGAGATGGTATATGTGACCGGCTCAACAATTAAAAAAGGGTATTATGTCGCAAAAAACTGAAATTGAGTTATATCTGGTTCGTATTAAAAACGTCATACAAGCGGGCAAGCTGCGCACCACTGATTATTCGCGCCCATTGGATATAAAGTTGCGTTAACTTCCGGTTCCATTCATGCTATGCTACACCATGTGAAGTATGCATGGTTGAATTGAGTTGACGTCAGACTAACGAACCCGATACATGGTTGGAAAGCCCACAATGTAAGCTTTCATTTGGTATATAACAGAGCTCCATGGCCCTCCCGTTCTGGAGATATGACGTATTTGCATATTAATTACTTCGTTGGAGTTGAAATTACACAACTGAGAAAACAGGCTTTGAAATAGCTGGCTTTGTTGTAGAACAACAGAATGATGTACACAAAATGGTTGTTTTTTCCACATTGTTCATCAAAATCGACATTTCTGTGAATGAAACCTGAAACTGTAGGTATTAAAGATGTCATTCATGACAAAAAAGAAAATCACATTTTGACGGAATTTTCACCCTCTCAATGTTGAGCGGGCCATTACACAATGATGCACAGCGCGACTTAATACCTGTTTTTGTGGAGCCGGTCACATATGGAATGTTTCATTGGCCCAATGAGCAGGGTAATAATGATGTAGCGCCTTGAGCACTGATGGTGGATATATGCGCTTTATAAATGCCCATTATTATTATTTTTATTACTAGCCAGTGTTTTGTGCCAAGAGCCTCACAAATTATAAAAATAAATGACTTGCATGTTCTATCGCTCCCAACAAGAGATTCAGACGTGGCCTTATTCTTCTTAAAAACCTACTTATTTACCTCCAGCAGACTACAGAAGGTCATGACCATGCTCATCTCGGACACATCGATCACTCTCCTCATCCGCCCCTTGTTCTTACTAGCCCCGCCCCCTCCTGCCTTCTCCCTGTTCCTTGCCACCATCATCTCTGGCTTGGTGCAGCGGTCCAGGTACTCCAGGGTGGGCCCCACGTAGCGGTCAGTCAGGGCGGTCAGTATCTCCTGGTCTCGCTCGGGACAGCGGTCAAGCCAGGACGCTAGGACCAGACGCCAGGACACGTCCGAGGTGTCCATTGAGAGAAGACCGGCCTGGGAGAGGACTGCTGGACTCAAGTTGGCTGCGGACTCCATCTGCCAAAAAATGGAACGAAATGTTCCTTCATCACAAATTCCTAGGGAAGCTTGCTAGCATTATTTAGAATGTAGCATCAGAGAGTGCATTGTACGAGATGTCCAAAGCCCCTATAGGATTCCAAATTTAACAGAAACAAAACAAAATTCCAAGTTTGTTTTACACTTTCCGTCTTAAACAATCATTTAAATTCACATACACGTACATGTACAAGATTTATTTTTTCAAAAAGGGGTAACACATTTTTGATTCAGGGCTGTATATACAAAAAGTACGACATGAAGGGTTATGGGATGCCATTTTTATTCTAAGAATGAGGTTATTCAAATTGTATTGTCAATGGTGAGAATTGAATTGTCAATAGTGATACTTCGAAAAAATGGTAACTGGGTAAAAAAATCCCACAGTACTACATACACTATACAGACCGAGTCCCCCCCCCCCCCCCCCAAAAAATAGAGTTCAAATCAATAGTTGTCGCAACTCTCTCTATATACAGTTTTGACCAATATTGCAGCGCCCCCTACCTCCCAAAAGATGCGCAGGTTGTCCGGTATATGGATGCGCTCGTTGTTAGCCAGCACGAGGGCGCTATCACTGTGGAAGACGGAGCTAAAGATCTCCATCTGGACCGGATCGATGCGGCCGTCCAGGTGTAAGGTCTTCATGACGGGCTTGCTTTGGGTGAAGTCGGTGTTGTGGACCAGACAGAGCTTGCGGAGCAGCGAGGTGAACAGACCGTCTCTCCATTCCCTGAGGGGGGAGAAATTGAAAATATAATTTGGCTATTATTCATAAACCCTTAATAATAATAATAATATCGGAGTCTTATATAGCGCACGTATCTACCAACTATTAGGTACTCAAGGCGCTGGAGATATGTCTATTATTAAAGACAGGTAAATAAAGTTTATGAGAAACATGAGACTCATTATGTAGCACCTTATAAGGGTTGACAAGGTGCTGCGGCGCATATTGCAGCCACTGCCAGAAACACCGGGGCAAAACCCTTCTCTTAGCGATAAGTGTTACTGGGTTCTTTAACGTGCATTATAGAACACACGGGACCTACGGCTTTACGTCCCATCCGAAGGACGAAGCAATAATGGTAAAGTGCCTTGCTCAAGAGCACAAGCACCATGTTCCCACGGTCAGGATTCGAACCCATGTACCACGGCACACGAGTCGAACACCGTAACCATTGAACCACAGCACCCCGCAGAATTTTGTAACAATGCGGAATTTTGTAACCCATTCGCACCTGTACTTCTTTGTATTACATTGTATCTAATTCTTGATGAAGCCATAAAACTATACCATGCCTGGGGCTGATTTCACGAAACTCATCTCATCTTGCAACTCATCTTAGGACTAAAGACAAGTACCCCCTAGCTAAGACGCATTATAAGCAAGACTCATCAAAAGTGCCAAAGTCTGATGGACTTGACTACAAAAGTCGACTACAACATTAGAGTTGAACATTGCAACGTACTTGGTCTTAGGGTCTGCGTATCCCAGCAGTTCTTGTGACTCCACTGCCTGGGTGAAGACTCGCTGTGCACTGACGACGTTACCCATCTCCCTCTGGGCACCGACTAACGTCTTGATGCACTCGCTCTTGCCGCATCCTGCTGGACCAACGATGACGACCTAGAGACAATATAAAGACAAGGTCCAATTGTCGTGAAACTTGGTGGGTGCATAGTTTGTGAATTACGAAGTGCTGTAATGATGACATCACCACGTGTTTTTATCTATTCTTAAATTGTTTTCCTTAGAAAATCCCTGAAAAACAAACAAATGCAAACGAGTCTCAAAATATACAGGCACAATTTTGAGCACTGAAAAACTATTTTTTTAAATCATGATGACTGTACAGACATATCCGCTGCCCATGGCCAGAAATTATTCTTGAGGTGGCATCACACATATGGATGCATGGAAAATGTGAGGCACACGCCCATTTTGGCAATTTGTTAGGGAGCACATGTCTGGGAGAATGTGGTTTCTTTATAATTTATAATTTATAATTTAGGAGGCTAATCATCCTTACTCGCAGCTCGTATGCTGAATTGCGAAGAACGCGGCTACAACGTGGTCGGGACGCTGGCACGTAAAGGCGCCTATGGCTGCCGGCCACATCGACCCATATATGACCACGGAGCACAGCCTGAGAATGAAAGTGTTTGATTTTTCCGGAGGGAGGAAAACCGGAGGGCCTGGAGAAAAACCCTTGTGGCACAGGAGAGAACCAACGCACAACTCTACTCACATGTGATCCGCGGCCAGAATTTGAACCGTGGTCACCTTGGTGAGAGGCGAGCGCTTTACGCACAAGCCACCCATGCCACCCATGTATGCTGTGCTGGTACTCTGGCGTTAATCCCCTAAGGTAGTTGGCTCATTCTTAATGAGCCCGTAGGCCAGGACGGATGACCACTTGCATATACAAATATTCATGACATGAGGTCAGTCTTTTCAAAATGCTCAGACACTTGAAACCTGTCAAAAACCACCAGGAACTGTCGGTTGGATATATCTGTACTCCGTTAACGCCCTATCAACCAAAGCAGAGTAGAAGTAGTGGCAACAGTGGCGCAAATTCCAAGCAAACCTCACGTGAGGTATGCTGAGGTGTAATTTGTGGGGTCCCAGTGCCAAAGTTCTCAAGACTCCATTTAATCCTGTTGATAGTACCCTCCAGTAAGGGACGGCTTGCAAAAGGTAAAGAAAATCAAAATCCAGTAATTTGAAAAAGACTATAGGTTGGGCTCGACTTTCAATTTTAAATTTTTTTGGGGGGGGGGGGGGTGGTTTAAATAAAATGTAACAAAAGCTATGGAAAATACAGATTAGATCATCCAACATACTGTTTGATGAGTGTCCGTAAGTTGAGCCAGCTGTGCGACACGGGCCTGGAACGCAGTCCCCGGTAGCAACCCAAGCTCGTTGGTTGCCACGGCGATGGCAGAGTGGATATCGTCCAATGGCTGTTTGTCCTGGCCTCCGGCGGGGCTGACGAGCTGGGTGGCGGTGGAGGCTGGGTGGGTGCTGACCACTGGCGTGTTCAGGCTCATCTCAGCTACAAGTGGGAGAAAGAAAAAAATAGCTCAAACTTCTCGTTTCTCATTATAGAGATGTTTTGTACACATCAGGCCATTCGATGCAAATACTCAGACATTCCTAATCAATTCTGCACTGTACTAATTATGTACTAATTCTACTGATAGTCTGAGAAGTGTGTCTTTTCTGTGTAAAAACATCCTTTCCAAACTTCTCTACACTCCTGATACCCCTCCCAACAAATATTCTTTAAACATGACCTAGAATGTCTTAAACCTGAGAAGGGCTGTTGGGCATGTTGGGAGGGGTTGACAGAAGGGGGCCCTCATTCACTAACAGAAGCGTGGAATATTAACCCTCCTACTGTTGAACAGTCAAAGACTGTCAAAAATTCCATCCACTTCCTCTGCCATGCCTTTTACACAGCCTGGTCACCAAAAGTCAGATCATATTTTGCTCAAGTACTCTGACAGTCAAATTCAGTCAACAGACTAGGGCAAGAAACTGGTGGGCACAGCTGGCTTATCAATTCCCTTGAGTCAAAGCCTAGCTGCGTCAAGCTACATAAACAGTCACAGCCAGTCAATCCTGCTTTATGACAGGGAGCAATTTAACCGCTTAAAACGTTTGACTGATTTTGACTGAAAGGACAACTTTGCAAAGAATTAAATGAAACTACAAATTTGCATTTTTACAGAACATGAAGTATTCTGCAAGCCTACCAAATTTCATTAAAAAAAATTGGTCGTTGCACTTCTGAGTTCAGAGGGGAAGGGGGAAGGGGGAGGAGGGAGGGGGAGGGGGCAGAACACCCCCCTCCCCCATTTTCCCATCCATTACATTCAGATAGCAAAAAAACCCAGCAATACGTTTAACAAGATGCCTGTGTCAAATCTCAAACAAGAACCCTCACCTTTGGTGTTTCCTATTTCATCCTGTCCGGCGAATCCCATGGGGACATGGACATCAGGGAAGACGTCTTCCACCATACTGACAAACATCTCGGCATCGCTTCCGTGCAGACGAGGCATGAAGTTATTCCGCAAGGCCGTCACCACGGCCTCCATCTCGTACTTGGTCAGGCTCTCGGGTAGCTCATTGGCACCTGGTAGGGAAAAAGTTAACATGATACATTCTATTTGTTTAAATTGATACTGTTTATTGATCATATGATTATTTTGGGAGATTAAGTTATTGCTAATTGGCAGACTTGTATTCGAGTCACGAAACATGGAGTCCAAGTCCGAGTCCGAGTCACATTTCTCGAGTCCAAGTCCGAGTCCCGAGTCCTCCAGGTCGAGTCCGAGTCCGAGTCACGAGTCACAAAGGTCGAGTCCAAGTCCGAGTCACGAGTCACCTCTAACATTGTATTGGAAAAACGTACGTTTTTGGGAATTCAGAGATTCAGAGTCACCTTTGATATAGTAAAAGGTGGCGGTCGAAGTTTGACGTAGTGCCGGTTTTCTCCTCTATTTTCCTCTTGCAGAACGTGCATTCTGCACTTGATCTTCCATTGGCATTTCTCTTGAAGTTAAGATACCCAAAATTGACAATTTTTGGAGTGGATGCCATCATGATCTACGTTGCAACTTGCATGTAACGTTACCGAAACGGGCAGATCAGCAGACTATTCATATAGCGTTATCGCGATGCGACAGCAATACACGTGTGAACGACAGGACGTCTGACAAGAAAAGTCTGCTACCTTACCCTATCAATCTTGCACCAATGCAGTATTACGTGCGGATGGCGGGGTACAAGTTTCGGTACATTGATTTCTTTAATCAATATATCGGTAACCGGCCACGGCCACGCACGCACCGCATCAAGCGCCCTGTATGTGTATTGCACAGTAAAGAAAACGATCGACTTACGTATGAGCGCGTGTGCAGTGCGGTAATTTCCGTCGAGTCACAAGTCAGTTCGAGTCCGTAGCCCCGAGTCCGAGTTGTAAGTCAAAGTGACTCGAGTCCGAGTCCGAGTCATTAAAAATGTGACTCGAGTCGGACTCGAGTCGGAGTCTGAGTCACACAAGTCTGCTAATTGGTTCCAATCGTATGACATCAAAGTACCAGGTGAGCATCCCCGTGATCGGCCACCGTTGCAGTAGGCAAGCGTTTGGTTGGCAACCACGTCGTGCGATGTAAACCGGACAGTAGTGCTCATTTTCACATAAAATAACCGCAGATTCTTATATCAAATGACATAAAGGCTTGTTCATATCCGGCGCAAAAGTGAACGCAAACACAAATTTCTGACATAACGGCAAGTTTTATCTCAAAAGTTGAACACATTCGAACTCTGACAAATTTCGCTGCGAATGTTTTGTGACGTCAAGTTTGCTTCATATTCGCATTCGCTTGAAGTATGAACCCACCATAATGGTCACAACGTCTGCTGTGTCTGGTTGTCATAAATCGTGCCGACGTAGCATGTGTTGGCTTTCCGTTTCTGGAACAGTTTTTGCCTTTCATCACAGCTGTGAAGTCTTGCCCACTACGTACTGCAGGGTGCGCTACAGCATCTATGACTATAGACCATTATCATGTTGCGGCCATCTTGATTTTTTCCCCATTCAAATCAACGTAACCAAAGCAAGGCTGGAAGGAAAAATAGTCTGGTTCCTTTTTGCACAGAATATAGTATCATTCAGTACTGTTATTGGATACAGGGAACATGACTGAAATGGTGGCAGGATGATAAAGGTCTATTACAATGGTAATGCTGACTTCTGGTATCTGGATATACACCGGTTTGTGAGAGAACACTATGAATTTTTTTCTTGTCAAATGAATGGCGTAGACAACTGAAGTTTCTGAACAACTCACCTTTTTCAGGCATGTTGCTTTCAACTTCCTCAATGTTTTCCAAGGACTCTGCGTTAAGAGCTGAATAAAAAGAAAACAGACATTTATATTTCTCGGTAGGCTGGCCTGAAGTTAAACCATTTGGAAAATGTACCCCTTAATCAACACCTAAATTGGGACCCAATTCCCTAAATTACAGCCTATTACTTCCATCAAGAGACAAAATCCTTGATTGGGAGACAATATCCTGTGTCTCAGTCACTAACCCAATATGGAAGCAAATTCCCTTACTGAGTAACTACCCTTATTCGGGGCATAATAACCATTATACCCCGAGTTGAGCTAACTACCCTTTATTAGGAGACAACATCTTCAATCTTGGTTGTTACCCTTATTAGAAGGCACTATTCTAAAAACGCATAACTACCCTCATCAGGAGACGATACCCTCAATCTTGGTCACTACCTCCATTAGAAAACAATATGCTCATCCAAGGCCACAATCCTTAAATGTGCAACGATACCTTCAATTGAGGTCACTGCTCTCAATCTTGTACAGGAGACAATATAGCTTAAAGTACCATCAATTGGGAGACAATACCCAATGTCACCCAATATAGGTCACTGCCCTTGAACAGAATACGATAGCCTTAAACTAATACCCTCCATGGGGTATTACACCAGCAACCAAGACTAACACCTCCATCAAGAGAAAATATCCCCCAATCCAACCCCTACCTGCTTCGTGATCCTCGGCTAGTTGAAGCACAAGCAACTGATCCAAGATGGCTCCTGCCTCTGTGATGATGCATCGAGTGCTCTGGATGCTCCAACCACGGGAATCCTCACAGAGATCGCTCCCTTGATGATGAAAAAGAAAAGACTGACAGTGTTAGCTTATAGCAGAAAGCTTTGTTTTATCCACAAACGGTAAACAGAAACTACAGTTGGCGAAAACTGTAGAACAACTAGATACGAGTCTGTGCTCAGAAAAGACCGATCTATTTAAGCCCTGCCCCATGACGACCCGTCCCAGCTGTGATAAAGTCTGAAATGTGTGCACGTGCGTGGGACATGCAGTTTTGCATTGAAGAGGCACACGTGTTGTTTGCCATGTGCATAGTGGGTAGGGGCTTAATTGATCGGTCTACTGAAATGGGATTATCCCTTCTGTGCATGAGCTGTAGATGGTACTGGTGACCTACTAATGGGAGCCCAGGAAGGATGAATCATGTATATGCACTAGTTCATGTTATATAAATGACATACAGATCCTTGTCATTTGATTGGTGGAACTCACATCACGTGACATTCGTTATTGCTCCCATTCATGCCACGGCTCAAAAAGTACTATCTACCCATGGGGATATGGGAAATACTATTGAACAGTTAGGATCACGACGCGGTATTTGTGTGCAAATGCATGCTGGTGTGTACGTTCAGCGTTGCACGTAGCGCGTATTGTTCCAAAGAGCCAGCGCTACAACGTTGGGTTCAAACATTTTCGTGAAGGGGTGGTTTGGAAGAGAGAAATACATTTTCCTCCAGTTTTGTGTTGAAATAAAAGTTAAAATATATCAAATGATAAGGATCTATATGTCAGTTATATAAAACAAATATTGAGTGGCTTTAAATTGTGAAATGGGAGGAATATTATCGCTTGGTAAAATCTGGACTTTTCCAGTTCACTCGTCTTCGCCTCGTGAAATGGAAAAGTCCAGATTTTACCTTGCGATAATATTCCTCCCATTCCACGCTGAGCCACTCAATATTTGTATACTGGTATATTTTGCAGAGTACTTGTGACAAAATTTAAACTGAATGCGTATAAAACCGCAAGAGAGCATGACAAAAATGGGCACATTGTAGAATATCTGTGCAAGTGATGTAAGTACAGAATGGCATACATGTAAGCACAAAAATTCCATGGTTAGTAAAGCCGTGAAATTGGACCCAAGTTTATTTTAATACCGAGTTTGACATCCTGCGTTGCGAGGGACGTGTTGGGGATCATCTGAGTGTACATCTCCCTCAGTGACATCACCTTGTGGGATAGCTCAACAGCTTTAGTGAAGCCTGGAGAAAAAAAAGAAATACAAGTCATTCTGTAGAACTAAGATTTGAGTTCCAGCCCATAATGGGAATTAGACTTGTAACACAGTAACTTGAGCTTTACTTTCAAGGTTTTATGTTTTTAGGGTTTTTTTTGGTTTTGTTTTTTTACATGAGATAGCCTTATGAATTTTCATTTTGCACAGCCTTCGTGTGCGTTTTTAATGGCAATGCCTACCTTGACTAAGCAGCAGAGACTCCAGAGCCACTCTGAAGTCCACGTTGACCACCGCCACTGTCCTGAACAGCTTGGTCAGCTCGCTGGGCAGCAAGGCAACGGCCGAGTTCAGCAAGACCCGCCCCTCTACCGCTGCAGGCGACGCGCCCGGGAGGGAGATGGAACTGTCCAGGGTGGCCAGGCATGCCCCGTTGGCGTTGACTGCTACCTCTTCTGTCTGGAAGGGGAAGACGGTGGCCGACTTGCCCTGCCGAAGGGCGTCCAGGTAGTTTTGGAGGAGCTGGGCGAAGATGCTGAGGACCGGGGGCGTGATGTGGGCCAGGTTGTTGAAGCAGACCCAGGCACCTGTGAGAGAATAATAATAATATCGGAGTCCTATATAGCACACGTATCTACCAACAATTAGGTACTCAAGGCGCTGGAGATTATGTCAATTATTAAAGAAAGGCAAATAAAGTTTATGAGAAATATGAGACCCATTATGTAGCATCTTATAATGGTTTACAAGATGCTGCGGTGCATATTGCAGCCACTGCCAGAAACACTGGGGCAAACCCCTTCTCTTAGCGATAAGTGTTACTGGGTTCTTTAACGCGCATTACACAACACACGGGACCTACGGCTTTATGTCCCATTCGAAGGACGAAGCAATAATGGTAAAGTGCCTTGCTCAAGAGCACAAGCACCATGTTCCCACAGTCAGGATTCGAACCCATGTAATCGGGAAAAGAGTGGACCACACCAACAGGTTTGGTTGGTGTTGAACCCTTTACTGCCATTTTACCACTAGATACCCGCAGTTATAAATATGTGGCATCCTTGGGCAAGCCACTTTACCACAATGGCCGCATTTCATTAAGGCGAGTACTGGCAACCGGGGAGCAACCTGCAAAAGACTAGCAACCCATGCATAGGCAATGGAAATATTCTCAATTTTATGCCTTCGGTACCGAAGATAGCCATTGGCCTGGTCAGCAATACTTTGTTTCTTTATATAGTACAAAGTTTTGAGAAGTGCATGTATGTTTTTATCCATATTTTACCAAGGTAAATGGTAGAGTGTCATGGCCTAGCGGTTAAGAGCACCGGACTCATGCTCTGGTATTTAGAGGCAACAGTAGCGTGGGTCCGAGCCCGCCGGCGAACACTTGTGCCCTTAAGCCAGGTACTTAACCATTCTTGCTTCGTCCTTCGGATGGGACGTAAAGCCATAGGTCCCGTGTGTTGTATAAGGCCTAACGCATGTAACAGAACCCAGTAATGCTTATCACTAAGAGAAGGGGTTCGCCCTGGTGTTTCTCCAGCGGAGGTTTCTGCACAGTATAGGAAGATGATGATGATGGTAGTACAGATGAACATTACTTTGGAGGTACGAGCAAATTTCTGGTATGCTGTCAGTAAAGCAGGTCAATTTTAGGTCACACTATCACATGTCCAGGGTTAAATGTATTAATTGTATAAAAGTTGTTGCACTGTTTTGTAGAATTTTATTTGTTTTTTTGGCCACTGGCATTGGAACTGAAGGCCATATGTGACTGGCTCCACAAAAAAGCGTATTAAGTCGCGCTGAGCATTATTGTGTAATGGCCTGCTCAACATTGAGAGGGTGGAAATTTTGTCAAAATGTGATTTTCATTTTTTTTAAATCATGAATGACATCTTTACTACCTACAGTTTCAGGTTTCATTCACAGAATGAAACCTGTATTTTAAAGCCTGTTTTCTCAGTTGTTTAATTTGAACTCCAAGGAAGTATTTAATATGCAGATACATCATATCTCAAGAACAGGAGGGGCTATGAAGCTATATTATATACCAAGTGAAAGCTTACATTGTGGGCTTTCCAACAACGTATATAACTCTCCTGAAGACGGTCAGAGCATACTGACCGGAACGTCGAGTTTATACCTCTGGTTCTTTTCAGAACCATTCTCTTAGTTGAGAAATTATTCGCACATGGTGTTTCCGCAAACCGTTCATTATTTAGTATATAACTCAATTTCACTTTTTTGCAACAAAATACCCTTTTTTGTGGAGCCGGTCACATATGGTCACAGTCATTGAGTTAACTTGTTCAATTCCTGGCATTTGCTGCTGGCTTTTGTCAGTTTCAATTGTATCGAACCATCCTGTATATTTGTGTCTTTTTAATGCCGAACAAATAATAGTAATAATAATAATTCTTTTGACCTAAACATCTTACCTGTTGAGGCAAGTCCTCTGAAGATATCAGCCAACATCTGTGAGTCGGTGGTGTTGGAGCAATTGAAGAGATACAAGGGCTGGCCTAGGGTCCGCGCCATCTCCTGAACAAGCTCCAATCGACCATTCCACTTTAAGGAAAAAAACAACAGGTTTCTGATAACTGATAGAATTCGATCCTGGCAGAACTTTTGACCAAGATTCTGTCAGGATCAAAACGTTAGGATCAAAACATTACACCGTCTAATTTTGTTTGATTTGTAGATTTCGGGTCAATCCCGACAACAAGCAATTTGCAGCAGTTTTATTCATTTTTATTATAAACTGGTAGGATTAAAGGAAAGATACAACATTTGCAAACATCAAAAAACGAAATGATCAAATTATCACGAAATACCTTACTTAATTATTAGGAAATGACAGTCTAAAGCATCCTGTGAAATCGTGTCTCCTGGTGTGCTGGCATTTTTAAGAAAAACTGTATTTTTCCATCGCTGGTCAGCCGACCAGCGTTGGAGAAAACTTGCTTTTTTCAAAAACTGCTCCTAATGTTTCATATTTACTTATTCCACTTTTTCTTTGCAATTGATTACACACCTGTGAAGGGTACAAACCTGCTAGACTGGTTCTCTGACCCTACAATTCCCCAACGTCTATTAATTGCTCCGTTTCATCTTAAGTGGGGTCAGGGAACCAGACTTCAAGAACATAATAGGTTTTCTTGGTTTTTCCAGCATCTACAAGCCCAAACCATGAAACAAGTCAGTTTAACAATATTTGCTAACATATCAATCCTCCAAATCAATTTATTTCTGAAAATTGCAGCAAAAGCAAATGTTGTACATTCCCTTTAAGAGCAAAAGACAACAATTTTGGGGCAGATGAGCACATATTTCTGAGACAAAATGATGAGGCATGTATAAGTTGTTCAGTTCAATTAAAAGGTAATATACAACATTTGCTTTTGCTGTAGTTTTCAGAATTGGATGGATTTGGGGGTTAGCATTTAATAGCAAATATTGTTACACTGACTTTGTGTTCATAGATGCTGGAAAAACATTGTTCTTGTAGTTTGGTTCCCTGACCCTACTTCAAACAAAATGGAGCACTTTATAGACGTCAGGGAATTGTCAGGTCAGGGAACCAGACTAGCTGGCTCTCGTCTGTTCACGGATGTGTAACCGATCGCAAACAAAATGTGAACTAACTAAATTTGGCATTAAAATTGGGAGAAGTATTTGAAAAAAGTCAGGGTTTTTTTTTCAAACGATGGTCGGGTGACCTTCCAAGACTTGTAAAATAAAAAGACAGCTACTGGAAGAGTTCTAATTTGTTTAATAGTCCCATCTGAATAGATTGTTAATCCTGCGCGGAAAGATACAATTAGGGATAAAGTGTCTTGCCCATGGACAAACCCCAATGATGTAAATTCGGGCAATTCACAATGCAGTGCGCCACCAAGAGTTTGCCATGAAGAGTCCACTTTTCAAGTTTACTGTCGACAAACCATGGCCCATTTGAATGAGTGCCAGTAGACAACTTGAGCTAATATGTCATAGATTGGGGCATACCATTCTGCCGCCTTACAAAAAAACACCCTATTGATAAAAGGAAAAGAAAAGGGCAAACATATTCTCGAATCATACGCTTAGGAAACTACTGACCGGAAAAAATAACATTTTCAAACGTCCCGCGCTGCGAATTTGTCGACCATCTCCCACAAGGCAATGGGAAAAATTAACTCTCCATGGCAAACTTTTGGTGGCACACTGCATTGTGAACGTCCAAATTGTCAGTTAGGGAATTATTCAAACTTTAAGCAAGTGATGGTCTTTTCGAAAATTTTTTTTTGTTATCCACGAGAAAGGAAGTGCACATTACTAACCGAAGGTCCGACGCACAACCCTGCCATATGTGCCTTGATGGACTGAGCCATACTCAGGAATACTCTCTCAGTGCCTGGAGTCAAGACTAGTCGACTGGCAGAGCCCATGTACTCAAAGCCGTAGTCAAAGGTCGTATCCAGCAACTGCCAGGAGGGAAGAATATCAAACTTTGTGAATAATTCCGCTATGAAAGAGATTGAATCACCAGTTTATGCTTGAGTGAATGTGAGTACCAAGCAACTTTGATGCCATGAACAGGGTGAGTAAAAAAAAAAAACCAAATGTCGGGACCACTGTTTTAGTGAAGTTCTGCATGTAGCACTTTCAAAATCTAGGAAATGAAAGCCGAATTCATAAGCTTTCTTTAAGTACAAGAATCATTGAAATCACTCATTTAAATTTCAAGTTACGGAGTTTTAAACACAACCACCGTTTTAAGGTTCTGTCCACGGATCACAAAAAAGTTCAGTGTTCTTGAGGCTAGACGGAAACAAATCACATAAGGATGTGTGTGCATTGTTTTCGTTTTGCTGAAAGAACGCACACTTTTTTGTGATCCGTGGAAAGAACTTTAAACCGGTGGTTGTGTTTAAAACTTCCTAACTTGAAAAGTACATGAGCGATTTGAATGATATTTGCACTAAAAGAAAGCTTATGAATTGGGCTTTCATATCCTAGATTTTGAAAGTGCAACATGCAGAAATTTACTAAAACAATGGTCCCGACATTTGGGTTTCGTTTTTTTTAACTCACCCTGTATTATTAAACACACGTGGCAAACATTTGCCAGATTGGATGTGTTCAACCATTGTGTGGATTTCTAGTGTGCTTATAAAGACCTGTTTTCATACACTGCGGAGGGTAACAGGATTCAACATGGGGGAAAACCATGAGAACAGGATGGTGTCGATAGGCAAGTTACAATGTGGCTTACATGCTGAATGGTAGAGCGAAAAACTGCAATTCTTTAGAACCCTGATTGATTTTTTTCAAAATATCGCACAGTGTTTCCCTTGAAACCTTTCACTAATTTGCATACATTAGCATAACACCATGTAGTTTCTGACCATGTGTACATTTTTATTACTGCATACATTCTGGAATTTGTATCCTTGTGGAGTCATTTCTTTGTTCTCGTGTACTAAAGTTTTCGAGTTTGAAAGTGTACTTTCAAAATGCTCCTATTTTAACCAGAATTAATTTCCTGGGTTGAAATTTGGACTTAATACCCCTTACATAAAATACTTCAATTTGCGATGGATCAACACACCTTGGAAATACCTAATTTTTGAGTAAAATCCATGTATCTATTTCGTGATAACCTTGGTGAGACGTATTCATCTATAGAAATTGCTCTGTGGAGACATATACAATCTTCTGGTCCCTACAGTTTACATGTCTTCCAGAGGGTATCGTGTACTAGATCAAAAGAGTTGTTACTTTTCGTTTCCGCTTTCCATTACCACCCATCCTGTGACAAGGATTGTACAAATTCAAACCAATGCCACTGTCTAAAGTTGAGGCATGAACAAAATACATCAGTAGATGAATACCTTGATGGAGAGGCTGCTGGAGGTCTCATTCCAGACGTAGCGGAGATGAGAACGCCAATCAAAGGACTCCAGCAGAGATCCCTTGATCTCATCTTGCCTGTCAATCAGTCTATACACAAGTTTTTTGGGGGAAAAAAGAAGAAAACATTATCATTTTTGAATGGGGGAAATTTGAACATTACAGACGGTTCAAAATTAGCAATAAAACCTTAGATAATAGCTGAAGGCTGTGATCACGAGGCACTGTCACTAAACCTGACCTGATTTGACCTGATATGACCCGACCTGGCCTGCCGTAGACACAATTGTCAGAGTTCATACTGCAATTACAGCAGCAGGAGCAGTGTGATTATCTGCAGGATCTGGTGTCAGCAGTGTAAAGGTCTTATCTGACATGGCATGACCGGACTTGGCCTGGTCTGGTCTGATCTGACCCGACCCCGCAGTGAGTGAGGAAGACAACCAATCCCTACCTTAGCAAGAGGTACCTCTGATAAGTCAACGGCGTGATCAGGTTACTGATTTTCTGGAACTGTCCTGATCCAATACGACCAGACCAGACCTGACCTGATCTGACCCGACCTGACCCTGCAGTGTCTGAGGATGTCAACCAATCACTGACTCTGCAAGAGGTCCCTCTGGAGTGCTAGCAGCATGATCAGGTTACTGATTTTCTGATTCTTTCCTGACCTGACCTGACCTGACCTGACCTGACGGTGACCTGACCTGATGACCCTTCCCAAACTCTACCTTTGCAAGAGGTCCCTTTTGGTGTGCCACAACGTGATCAGGTTGCTGATTTTCTGAGTCTTTCCTAACCGGACTGGACCTGACTTGACCTGACCCGAATTTGACCTGACCTGACCCAACCTAGCAGTGAGTGAGGAAGTCAACCGATCCCTACCTTTGCAAGAGGTCTCTCTGGTGTGCAAGCAGCGTGATCAGGTTGCTGGTTTTCTGAATCTTGCCTGACCTGACCTGACCTAGCTGACCTGACCTGACCTGACCCGACCCGACCTAGCAGTGAGTGAGGAAGTCAACCGATCCCTACCTTTGCAAGAGGTCCCTCTGGTGTGCCAGCAGTGTGATCAGGTTGCTGATGTTCTGAATCTTGCCTGACCTGACCTGGCCTGACCTGACCTGACCTGACCTGACCCAACCTGACCTGACTTGACCCGACCTAGCAATGAGTGAGGAAGTCAACCGATGATCCCTACCTTTGCAAGAGGTCCCTCTGGTGTGCCAGCAGCGTGATCAGGTTGCTGATTTTCTGGATCTGTCCAGGGAACAGCATCAGCTGCAACTCGCTCTTGTCAATCTTCTCCTCAACTTTGACCTTGACCTTTGGCCTCTCGGGAGGCAGCACCACCTTCATGGTGTCCATGGGTTTATCAGCTACAAAAGGTGGGGAAAAAAATAGCTTTAATATGGCTCCCTTGATGAAACAGATTAGATTTATAGTTTTGTTTTCCATATGAAGACTTGTATAAAGGGGAATAACAAAGTGGAAAAAAACCCAAATAGGTGGACATTATGACTCCCAATAGCTTTTTTTGGGGGGGGGGAATTTTGTACAATTCCCATTTTTTGGACATTCGCTTAGCTTCATTTGTGAGAGGTTCTAGCACAATGAGACAAAACTGGGCAGAGGTCAAAATGAGGGTATGCAGGTATTAGAAAAGAGAATAAAATTTCCTTACAACACTGTTTGTTGCACTTCAATCGGACATTCCATTGACAAGTTATGGCTGTTTATAGTTAGCATTTATTGACACGTCAATAAAACACTGAGAAAAAGGCCTTTCAAGTTTCGAATTTTGTAGTCTGAAATGAAAGATTCCCATTTTTATTACACGATTTTTATACTTAAACATATGTGTGGTAGACATATCAATGATTACAAACATCAATAAATCTGGAAATCAAAACAATTTCACCCCCTTCTTTTTTGTTGTTAATTTTCCCAGCTACGGCCTACAACCAGTTCCCTCTCATTCTGCCTAAACGCCTCACATTTACTGCACATACCTGGTTCCGTAGCTTCCCCGTTCTCCCCCTGCTGTCCAGACAGCGTGCTGCCCTCCTCAGCGATGGTAGGCTGGTTGACTGGGGCCGCGTTGTTCTCATTGTTCAGAGACCAGTGGGAGCCCTTGTGGGATTGGGAGCTCTGGCGTCCTGTGTGGGAGATGACGGTGCCGGTGTCCATGACGCTGGTCTGCTCTGATTCCCTCATCGCTGCCGCTGAATGGATGCAAAGATAGATGAGGCATTAATCATTAGCACCATTTTTCTCACGATCACTCGGGACAACGCTGAGTATACAATATTTATAAAACATAAGTCGGTGAAGTGCAAAAGCCAATATTGAATTTCCATCTTATGAATAGTTTGGTTGCAGTACCCGCTGCCATATCAAATTCGAACCAGCCAGCCTACACCGAAAAACTTGGTGGTCGAGTGGTAAGACGTCTGCAGCAGCAAGCAAGTCGTGGGTTTGAGTCCCACCCGAGAAGTATGTGAATTTTTTTCTCGCAATCATCCCCACGCAATTTCCATCTTATGAATAAGTTTGGTTGCGGTACCCGCTGCTATATCAGATTTGAACCAGCCAAACAACCCGGTAAGCTCGGTGGTCGAGTGGTTTGACGTCATCCTGACACCAACTCCATCTTATGAATTATTACCACCTGATTACATTGTCTTACATTGTATTTATTTCCTGATGAATCCATACAACCATACACAGGCATGCAACTGGGAATTTAGAAAAAAAACAAGGAAACTCCAAGCCACACAAGACTTTGTTCGGTGTTTTTCAATTTGTAATGGCATTCATGAGAAGTAAAAAACGCGGAAATCAACAGATCCAAGGAAAAGTTGCATGCCTGCCATACAGTGCTGGCTGGGGGTGCTTTGGGGTGATACAGGGAGTAACAAGCAGGGCAGTTTTGGGCAGCACAGGGCCTAATGTATGAAATTGGTTTACTGAGTTCTATGGACTTGTCTTTACTACAGTAAAAAAGAAAACAGTTTAGGCAGACTCATGGCGTCATATGCCAGCTGCCGACCTCAGTTTGTATAGACTGTCTATAAAAGTACAAGGATTTTTGTTTAACCTTCTTTCTTTTTCTTTTCTTTCTCCAGGCGTGCTCGTCTCTCGTTCTCATCCTCCACGCCCTTCAGCATCACCACGGCTGCCTGGATGCTGGCCTTCACCTTCTCAAGAGTCTCCTGCAATCAAAAAAAAGAAAACTAAATATTGCTTAGTCCATCACATACTCAGTGGCAATTCGAAATGGAAGGGATGAGAGCAAGTGTGCTTGCCATCAGGGCCAAATAGAAATTGTGTCGCCGACTTTTCTGTGTAAAAACAGACTGCTCCATTTTTTAAAGAAATAGTCCATCATTTGTAATTTGTGCATTTTGTTCGTTTAAAGCAACAAAAGTGCTCAAAATCTAAAGAAGGGTACTTAACAACTAACCTGATGAAGTTTCAGCTCAGCTTCAGCTGTATATTCCGAGAAAAACAGCATTCTAGGATCTCAATTTCAATCAAAAGTTGCTGAATCATGTTTTGAATTGGGCCTGAATTCAGCGTCCGAGATACATTCTCACTGAGCCGATTGCATTTACGCGATGTCGCGCACTGATCCGACGAATTATAGCAACCGCGCATGCGTGTGCGTCGTGCCAATGCATGCGCGCTTCGCCTAATAACAAAACGAACTCCTAATTTAAATTTCCTACGGTGCGTCTGAAGAAGCACCGTTGGAAAGGCCTTCTTTTGTTGATTACTTCAAAATGACAGCTTGCCAGAAAGAATAATTTCACAGGGAGTTTAGTCCCCTTACTATCTTTCAACCAAGTATGTTTTTCAACAATAATTACGCCAGTTACTTTTCGGATGGCTGCAAATGATGGACTGTAGCTTTAATGTGGACATGAGCAACAACAAGTGTGCTTCTCTATTGCCACACCAATAATGCATGTTTTGGACGCATTCGTCATTTGCAAGTGGACGCATGTCAGACTACTGTTGAACATTAAACCTCCTGGTGGGAAGTCCATTTTCAGCGCAATATGTAAAACCCTATAAAACCCTGCAGGTCAGTTTCAAGTGAAGGGATACGAAGTGTTAAAGTAACTATGTCACACAGAGAAACACTGCACACAAAAAAACAGCACTGATATGGAGATTGTTACATGGTACCCTGTGGAGACATGTGCACAATAGGGAACAAAAGATTGTATACGTCTCCACAGGGCAAATTTTATAGGTGAATACGTCTCCACAAGGTTATCACGAAATAGATATATGGATTTTACTCAAAAACTAGGAATTTCCAAGGTGTGTTGATCCGTCGCAAATTGAAGTATTTTATGTAAAGGGGTATTAAGTCCAAATTTCAGCCCAGGAAATTTATTCTGGTTAAAAAAGGAGCATTTTGAAGGTACACTTTCAAACTCGATAACTTTAGTACACAAGAACAAAGAAATGACCCTACAAGGATACAAATTTCAGTTTGCGTGAGCAGTAAAGTGTGACCAAATCTAATTCCTTTTTGCACTGAGCTTAACCACATACATGTACAATAATTGTCCAGGGACTTAAAGTGTTATTCATACTCCACAGAAGATTACCTCAAAGGAATTTTGAAGTGTGCTTGCTTACTTTCTGGACAAAAGTGGTTTGGCAAAACTGAAGGGGTGTGAAGTGCAGAAGACTTCAGAAGGGTTAAAGGGGCACAAGGTCCTGAAATCCTCAAAAATTTCATGTTTTGGATTGTTTACTTATCCTATTTCAAACATCTGGTTGAAAGGAAACCAACCTAATGTCTTACCATTCCCGAGAAAAGAAAAAAAAAACCTGCTTGTTTACATCGGACACGACGCAGCACGAATACGTTTTTCATGTCGTTCTCAGTGTACAATATACATGTTGTGTGTCTCGGGAACAGTGGTGACCAATCACCAATGCAAAAATAGTGGTTTCTTCAACGTCCGCAAAAGACGAACACTTCACGAATGAAATCACAACAAAGTGGACCCCGAAATTCGTTCTCGCACGCATAATACAGGAATTACACAGTAAAGTTCAGTTTTGAAAGGATAGTTGTGTGGATGTTTATATCCTACTTTTAAATGTTATTTCCGATTAAAATCATTTCGTTCGAAGCGCGTTTTGTAGCCCAATTGGGCTGTTCCAGGACCTAGTGTCCCTTTAAGTATCGCTGTGTTTGGTCAAAATAACACGGAGCAGGTTTTAATAGCTCAGTCTATTTCTCGCATACCTTCATTGCGTTCTTGTCACCACCTTCCAGTAGCTTGAGGCACTTCTCCGTCTGCTCAGTGATCTGTATCTGAGTGGCTAAGTGGACCACCTCTGTCACATGATCCAGCATCCATGACGAGGGGCCGTGCCTGCCGTCGTAACCATGACCACGGCTGTCCTGGGAGTCCCTGGTACCCGGCCGGTGGGTGCGGCTACCGGTGCGACTGCCTGCACGGCTACGTGCTGTGCCTACAACATTACGCAATCAAGTGTAAATGTTTCGGGTTTTCCTGAGGTTTTAAGTTTTCTGAGGTTTGAGGTTTTGCTGCGGTTTGAGGTTTTCCAGAGATGAGAGATTTACCCTGGGTGTAAAGTTTTTCTGAGGTTTTTTTTTTTTTGAGTTTCTATGTTTTCCCGAGGTGTGAGGTTTTTCTGAGGTTCAATATTTCCCGAGAATTAAGGTTTTCCTGAGATTTGAGGTTTTCTTGAGATTTCACATTTTCCTGAGATTTGAGGTTTCCCTGCGGTTTGAGCGAGTTTTCCTGAGGTTTGAGGTTTTTCCGAGGTTTTACCCTACCTTCATCAGCTTGAAATAGTGCCCATTAGATATGAGGAGTTGACACATCGACTCAACATAAACTTAATGTTAATCATATTCTAAAAGTTTCCCCTCACACCCAAAAAGAGAAATGTGTTTCTGATCTCATCGGTCTTCTATCGGTCTATACAAAGTTCTAAGATTCCCATGGGTCTGATTTAAGACGAAAGTGTAATTTGGGGGGGGGGGGAGAGAAGGTTTGTGACTCATGATCAGAGGATTGGGGGTTCGAATATTTTGTGTCCTTGGGCAAGCCACTTTACTCTACTCAGGAGTAAAAATAGCTCCTGGCTTTAGCTGGGGAGTAACTCTCAATGGACTGGCATCCAATTCAGGGGGAATAGATATAAATGTATTGCATTCTCAATCAGGCAAGTCATTGGATCATACGAAGATCTCCTGACCACAGTGAAAAAGCGCAAGCTGAAGTGGTATGGGCACATTTAACGATCATCAGGACTTGCGAAGACGATCCTGCAAGGCACTGTACGAGGAGGAAGAAAGAGAGGCAGGCAGAGAAAGAAGTGGGAGGACAACATCTCGGAGTGGACAGGCCTGACGCTGAGTGACTCCCTGAGAAAGTCTGAGGATCGAGAGGGATGGAGGAAGCTGGTGGACAGGTCTTCAAGGGGTGCCCCCACGGTCAGACGACTACGGGATAGGTAACAGGTAACAGGTAACAGGTAATCTCATTCATTTCTTGCCAACGGGAGTGAAACAGTTTGAGGAGGAAGAAAGAGAGGCAGATAGAGAAAGAGGTGGGAGGACAACATCTCGGAGTGGACAGGCCTGACGCTGAGCGACTCCCTGAGAAAGTCTGAGGATCGAGAGGGATGGAGGAAGCTGGTGGACAGGTCTTCAAGGGGTGCCCCCACGGTCAGACGACTACGGGATAGGTAACAGGTAACAGGTAACAGGTAATCTCATTCATTTCTTGCCAACGGGAGTGAAACAGTTTGAGGAGGAAGAAAGAGAGGCAGATAGAGAAAGAGGTGGGAGGACAACATCTCGGAGTGGACAGGCCTGACGCTGAGCGACTCCCTTAGAAAGTCTGAGGATCGAGGAATGGAGTAAGCTGGTTGACAGGTCTTCTAGGGGTGCCCCAACGGTCAGACGACTACGGGATAGGTAACAGGTAACAGGTATTCTCATTCATTTCTTGCCAACGGGAGTTAAACACCGGCCTGATGAGCCGTATTGGCCGGGAAACCGAATCTACTTACCTTTTCTCTCCTCTTTGCCTACAGTGACCCGCCGGGCCCCAGCGCTGTGTATCTCTCTCTCCGTCCTGCGCGGTGTGCCGGGGGGTTCCAGGGTCTCGTTGCCCAGGGCAGAGGACAGCTGGGTCTGTAAGGACAGCTTGATCATGGGAAGGAGGTTGCACAGCCAGTTCTCAATAGGGCCGTCACACGAGACAATCTGAAAAATGGAAATGGAGGTGAGATACTCATGGTGATACTTTGATATGCAAAACGCTGAAAAGACTATTAACAAAGCCTATTACAAAATGTAGCTTTCATAGCAAAACAGAAATCAGCATATTTCAGTGAAGATGTCAAGTCTAGAGTGGATTTGTATACTACAAAAGTCAACCTACATTGTGTAATACAGTAGAACTTCTTCAAAAGGAATACAAAGGAATCTAAAAAGATATTTGTTGGTATAGGAGTCATTCGTTACACTGCTTTTTTGGCCACCAATAAAAATCAGTGTCAAATGACCTGAGAGGCATAATGGAAAAGTTGACATCTGGTCGTGGAAATTACTGGTTGATGCTAAATAAATAGCCACGTGTACTGCATGCTTTTTGCACAATAATTTGAAAATAAAGGCCATGTAGCAATAAACTTCACACATAAGCCTTTCAGTTCCCACATGTATCCCATAAGGCTGCTAGTTTAGAACTCTGTTGTGCGTCACTTGCACTTTGTAGGGTAATAAATTTGCTTAAAGAGGTTGTGGAATGCTGAAAGTCGTTTTGTTTTTTATATTTTTTTAATTGTAGAGTAGTCCCATATATATCATGACAAAGTCCCATTCTTTTGTAATGTGCGTTTATATGTTTATAAAACTGAAATTCATCGAGTAATTTGTTGGTCGGCGAGCGCATAATTGAAATCAACAGTCGTCGGGTTCTTCGTATAATGAGTAAAATCGTGACGTAATAAACAGGACTCATTTATACTACGCCGCATAGGGAGTCCTGTTTATTACGACACGATTTACTATGCTTTGTCGCCCCCAACGACGACTTTTACACAAATTGCACGTTCGGGTCGAAACAGGACCTGAAAAAAAGCTCTCAAAAGTACCTTTTGTACTCATTTCATGACAGACACAATAGTCGTTTTTATTTCATCAAACCTTGGGCTACATATACCCGAAAAATGACGAAAATGTCTTCGAGCATTCCACAACCTCTTTAATATTTACCTGCTTGAGAGGCATCTTCTCCCCCATGTTGCTGATGAGCCCTGTGATGTTGAAGGTACACTCCGCAGCCTCCGATTGGTTCTCCTCGTACTCCAGACGGCCAAGGTTCTCAAACAGCTTGGGGAGGTACAGGTTGGCCTGATTCAGGTCATAACCTACAGATCAACATGACATTTATATTTTAGATAAGTGGGTGATTGGTAGTCTATCACAAATCCTCACAAGTCCTCACAAGTCATTGCATGTCCTTAAAAATCTTTAAAGGTCCACTGAAAGTCATTCAATCTCAATCCAAGACAGAGAATTTCAACAAGGTGCGATGACTTGTGACTTGACTTGCAATACTAGATGATTTGAGATGGACTCAGGAAATGTCAGGACTTGTGAGGATTTAATTATGATTTACTCGAATAGACTACTGTTGCATCATTGTACACATGGAAAGCAGCAAAATATGAAGCCCACATTAATGATGTGCAAACCCGACCCGAAACTGAACGGGTCGGGTCAGTTTGTCCATCTTTTCAGTCGGGTCAGGTCGGTTTCGGTTTTGCATTTTCATTTTCGGGTCAGGTCGGGTCGGTTTAGCCATCTTTTGAAAAAAATGAAATAAACCGAAATTAACCGAAATAAACCAAAATAAACCGAAACAGTTGTGATGCAATATTATTGACAGTCACTGTGACCGCAGCCCATTGTGTGGTGTGGCCACCGAGTGCACTATCGAGTTCCCATGGTATCAATTTCTCCAGTCGGATGGGACTGACAGTGAAATAGATACATTGTAACAGTTTTCATGATACCGCGTGATGATACCAAGCGTTTGTTCAATTAGTGGAGTTACTCTCGATGAACCCACTGAGTTTGACAGAGAGAGACGATTGTTTTGCAAAAGAATTCTTGCCACGTGGGTAAGGGCAGGCACCAAAAAGTGATCACTTTGTCCAACCAAGGTATTCGGTTTGTTCCCGTTTTTTCGGGTTGGTTTTACCTTATTTTTTGTCGGGTCGGTTTGAGGGAGTTAAGATCAGTTTCGGTTCGGATTTGGTTTATACCTCTAATGTTTCGGGTCGGTTTGGCCTGGTCAACCCGACCCGATGCACATCATTAGCCCACATGTACCAGTCTTTATACTCAGTAATAATTTTTTTTTTCCAGATTTGTACGCTTTTAAGAAAACAGTCCAAAAGAAACAAGAAGTCGAGGGCAAACTGACCGTTGCAGACAATGTGCAGCACATCCTCCATGGACAGGAAGTAGAACCGAGGAAATCTCTGTCGTCTCTTCTCCAGGTACTGAATCAGCGACCGTCGACACATCTCCAGATTACTGTTCATCTTTTCTAGGATGTTCAAGATGCCTGGGGGAGAGGGAAAAAGAAGCGGCTGGTGTGAAAGACTAGTTTTTGAAAAAAAATAAACATAGTATTTGCCGAACATATTTCACATTGTCACTCTTGGTACATTGCAATTTGAGGATTGGACATTTTTTAAAAGGACACTACGATTTCTTTTTAGAACACTCTTCATATTAAAGACAGCTCAAATTGATTGCAGTAGTTCACTCTGTCCCAGCAGTACCCACCTCTTCGCTGGCAGCACTGCAGGACATTAGGGTTCTTCTCTGAGGCTCTCATCAAGAGACGGAAGTCTCGATTGGCTGAGTTGAAGAGACCTGCCTCGTGGCTCAGGGATGCCTTGACATCTGTCCCACTGAAGATCTGTTGAAGACAAAAGTAGCACAAACAACGTTAACGTCTTCACAATGGCAGTGTTTACTTTTCCTCACCGTTTAGTTCAAGGTTCGTTTATTTTCCACAGTATCAAATCAATAAATGACATGAAATAGTTACATAACAGAAAAAGAATTACAAATAATACAACAAAAGTGATATTTTAAGGACACTGCAGAGGGGCCCATTGAGAAGCAGAGCTTTTAAGCATGGGCCCCAGACAGGCATGCTCATTGAGCCCAATCCAAGAGAAGGGAATTAACTTACAATGGACACTATTGACTGGTCAGTCACACGAGGCTCAATGAGCATGCTGTATTTAAAGTAATTACATGTACGTAGAAAAGCAACATACCTAAACACAATACACATTGAGACGTAAACAACGGACAAACAAACAATACAATACAGATCATTTAAACTTGTCAGGTCAGCAAAGAGCAATACAATCATGGATATTTTACAATCTACATGTAACTACATGTACATATTATATCTACTGGCATGAATTAATGATAAGTTTGAATTAATAATAGTTGTTTGTTTGTCTTCTTTAAATGTGATGCGATCAAGCTACATGAGTCGTTTGTCGACCCTGGTCAAAAAAAAAAATTATTACAGATTTGAAAAGAGCTCATTTTCGGCATTACTGCTGTGAAAACCGCATGCTATGGAAGTTGGAACACCAAGAGATGTGATGAAGTGATGTGATGAAGTGGCCCTATTTTGGCCTGTATCTCCAAATAAAAATTCCCGACAAACGACTCATTTAGCTTGATCGCATCACAAATATTTTTGCTTTTAGGTCAATTGCCTGTCCACTGGTATGCATGCAATGTGTATTTCATGATCATCTTCGTGATAAATTTTTGTTGTTGTAATTGACAAGAATTGACACGGGGACAGACACTATTGTTTTTTACCAACGCATCAATGGGTTTTTAATGCCGAGTCCCAATAATCCGGGTTTAAATCTGTAAAAATGGAGAATAAAGTCGGGACTTGAGTGTAATTCAACATTTGTGTCAGGGCATGTGACCTTTTCTGTCCTATTTAGACCTTCCAGGTCCACCCATTTCTTCTGCACTACCAGTCACATTGACAGCAATGTTGTGATCATTTGGTGTCTCAAGTCAAACTGTCTTTTAGCATGTTTCTTTACCAATGTGTCAACGTATGTGCCTGGGTATTTTTTACCCAATCTGTCCTGTTCAGAGCTACCTTTTCCAGATCACCGATTTTTTGACAAGACGGCTTCAACAGTCGAATGTCTCATGTCAACTCTGTAACATGTTCCCCCACCCATGTGTCAACCTATATGTCAGGGTCTCTATTGCCCCATCTGTCAAGACCTATTTCTTCAATTTCCACCCATTTGTCATGCACCTCCATCCTCGTTGACAGCATGACTTCAATTGACGAATCGCCGTTTGCGAGTTAGCCATGCCCCTTGGAACAACCCAATGGAATTTTGTACATTCAGTTTTGTTTGTCTCAGATTTTGCACGTTCCGCGTCCATTTGTATATCATGTTATTGGACAATATTTTACAAGCTGCGTTGACGCAATTCTACTATAGGTCGATAGTATGGCTTCTCTTGTCAATTTGTCAACATCTTTCCCCACCCACGGGCAAACCTGTGTGTCAGGGTATTCGTCACCCCATCTGTCCAGACCTACTAGTAAATTTTTCAATTCTACCCATTTCTCCTGCACTTCCATCCATGTTTCCTACACAGCTTCATGAAAATTGTCAATATGTTTCCCACCCCCCTTCCCCGGCCATGTGACAACCTATGTGTAAGGGTATTCGTCAACCTTACCTCTCCCAGTTACACCCATTTCTCCTGCGCCTTCAGCCAAATTAACAAAAATAATGTTTTCGCTCTGAAATGTTATATCCATCTGTCTATCAGCATGTTCCCTACCCATCAATCAACCTGTGTATCAGGGTATCTGTCACACAATCTGTCCTGTCTAGACCAACCTCTTCCAGCTCCACCCATTTCTCCTGCACCTCCAGCCACGTTGACAGCACGGCCTCGATGGTCTGCAGTCTCTTCTGCCACTTGGTGACTTCGTCCAGGAAGGATCCAGCGGCACTGCTTCCCTGCATGCTCTGCAGGGCTACCTGGTGGGATTCTAGCTCCGTGAAGATGGGGTCGGTCTCGTGAAGGAGAAAGATGGCTCCGGAATCCTGCAGAGAAGTTATCCAAAATAAGCTGGTGTGCTATGTTAACTGTGCACAGTGTTGTAGTCAGTCCACAAGTCCTGGCAAATCCATTACAAGTCATCACAGTCTCAAGTCGAGTCACGTGAATTCTTGACGCATTCCTTTGTTGTTGTTCATCCAATACTCGTGACATAGCTGCCAACATTTGCATCTTGCGATCAGGGAGATTTTGTGCAACAATCAGGGAGATATTTTAATAGAATTACATTCAACATAATAGGGAAAAGGTTTCCACAATCAGGGTTATTTTCAAATTTGTTCATCAGAACATGGAAAGATTGGTTTATTTTCAGGGAATTTTCTGCAGAATCAGGGAGAGTTGGCAGGTCTGTCTGTGACCTTACTTGTGAATCAGACTACTAGTGACTCGCTTTATTTGATGGACTTGATTTTAACACCAATGGTGCAAAACGGTTGACGATTTTTGAGTTCAGGATAAACACAACAGATCAATGTACACAAGTCTATGGTAGACATAATTTGTTTTTTATGGGTTTTTTTCACGTCTGCTTTATTATACCTCTTACCAAAATTATGCCGAGTTACGAATCAGTTATCTCAGCAAAACATTGCTGTGTGTGTTTGCCAACATCTTTTTTATGTAGATAGGGCAATATTTGTACATGCTCACGACCCTTCCATGATTGCTTAATAGTAATTGCATGCATAGTATACCATTGCATGGGATGGTCAACTGTGAATCAATGCGTGATCCTCGCCTGCACGCTTGGTAAACAGAAAAACTAGCAGCTGACATGTGACGGTGAAGTTTGTTATGGACTGTAAGAATTCGGCTCTCACTGGTGGACATGCACGAAGTAAAGTAATACATTTGTAGTTTTTCATGCAATTAGAATCATGCTACAAAAGTAGTTCATACACACGCTACAGCATACAACACTGAAGAAAAAAGGACATCATCATGCAATTTTAGAGCTTGTAGAATTAAGTGCTGAACAAAAAAAGGTTCCTTCAATTTTGTCGGCACCCTTTTGCCTGCAAAATGCAGATTGCATATTTTCACCAAAAGAAAGTTTTGCACGCATACATTTCTGTACATTTCAACATCAATTGAAAGTATAGTTTGGGTACATGCACACTTCTTGCTCAACCCATTTTTCCAGTATACATATGGACTATTATAAGTTCAATTTTGGACCATGTAAAATTCTGTACCATGCAACAGAGTAAAGAGTATTGCAAACATAACACGCGTTAAATGTAAAAAATTTCACTTGGTTTTTTTGTAATGTTTGTAGAATCACTCAGTCCAGAAATACCCTCTTGACCTCATCATCCAAAAAAATCCACTAAATATTCATATTCCCGACTCTGCATGCAAGAATAACACAAAAAACGCCCAGTTTTTAAAGGATGGTTGTGTGGACGTTTATATCCTACATTTTAATGCTCTTTCCAATTAACATGATTTGGTTTAAAATGCGTTTTGTAGCCCAATTGGGTGTATTTCAGGACATAATGTCCCTTTGAAAGCACAACTGCTATGGTGCATTTGTGAAAAGAATATGTACAGCATACTTTTTAGTGTTTTGTGGAAGCAAGTTCTGCAGGTAATTGAAGCAGGCATTCACAGTAAAGGCAGGTTGCAGTGGTGTGTTGGCATGCAGTAGAAATGAAAGAGTTTTTGCGGTGATTTTTTTTTGGCAAGCAAAGGGAAACGGAAGCAATGGAAAAGACTACCCTGTTCTGTACTTACAAAGAGCTCAAAAAGCGCTTCGGTGTCCTTGCAGATGAATGGAGTGAAAATGAAAAGATCCAGAAATTACTTTCATATTAATTTCAAGAAAATTCTTGAGCCTGAATTTACAAGTAATCAGGTAAAATATTACAAAGTTTTCAAAATAGGAGCTTTTACCACCCTAGCGTAAAACAAAAATCAATTTGTTCATCAATTCTCACATGAAAAATAATTTTTTTAGCACCACATACTTTCATAATGAGTCAGAAAAGTTCACTCTTTGAAAGAGAATTTCACCACTGCATGAAAACGAAATGTAACCAAATAGTTAAACAAATAAACACCTTGGTTGGCAGATACCCGAGACAGATGTTCTCAGCATGATGTTGCTTCAAAGGCCGATTTAGTTATTTTGTTTTGGTCGATCTTAATACACTAACTCCTAGTCACAGTGACCCTTTATGGGCTCTGTGCGCCAACAAAAGAGGGCGCGTTTTTACCCCTTCACAGGTATGTAATCAACTGCAAAGAGTTTTTGCAGTTTCTGCAGCAAAGAGTTTGCAAGCAGTTTTTGAAAAAAGCCAGTTTTCTCCCAACGCTGGTCAGCCGACCAGCGTTGGAAAAATACCATTTTGCTTGAAAATGTCAGTACACCAGGACCCACGATTTTCCAGGATGCTTTAGACTGTCATTCCCTAACAATCCAGTAAGGTATTTTGTGGTAATTTGACCACATTACTAGACCAACCCCAGTCTAATGTGGCTTTCTTAGCTGTAGGTAGCTTTCCAGCACCTAACTGGCTCATCACTCGTTACTCAAATTCTGATGGGAGGCAGGCTGGCTCTAAACAACAGACGCACATACATTGGGGATAGCCTGACTGTTTATCAAGGACAAACCACTGCACTCCCACCTGTTTTATTAGTATGTGCGAACATATTTATGGTCGTCAACTGATTAAATTGCCATTATCTTAGTAGGGGGCTCATGAATACGAACCCGGGAATCCCGGGTTCGCGAAAGCCACATTAGACTGGGCTTGGTCCAGTAATGATTTCGTTTTGTGATGTTTGCAAATGTTGTATCTTCCCTTTAACGATATGTAACAATTACAAGTGCTCTGAGTTGCGCCTTACCTCTCCCAGGTTGAGCAGGGATGCTGGGAGTGACGACACGCTAGCTCTCTTGGTCCTACCCCCAGTCCCGATGGTGAACGATGACATCCTACTGTGAGCTCGACGGCCACCGGGCGGGACCCCACCCTTGACTGTCCCGGCATCACTCTGAGAATACTCACTCTTGGTGTCTGTCTCCTAAAAGAGCATTTGTTTTCATCGATGAATGAAAGAAAACCTGTGGTGCGGTCATCTCTCACAATCAGTGAGAAGTATTGGAGCCATTCACATTTATAACAAGATAGGGGTGTGCATCGGAACCCGGTACCCAACACCCGACCGCTGATGTCAGGAACCGGTTCCAGATTATGGGATCGGGTTCCCATCACCAACTCAACAAATGGGACCTGCCATTTCATGAGGAATAACCCCCACCTTTGACTTTTCAAGTTACGTACATCATGTCAAAGCGCAAATCATTGGCTTTCCAATGATACCAAATTTATTTATGTTGCTTAACTTATCCCAAAGATATGATGCAGGAACTTCAACAGTGTCCCATCGAGCTTTGCCAACCTCATTTTGAGAAAAACGGCTTTGATAAACGAAATACACATTGCGCTGCCAACTGCAGTGGAAAACGTTCTTCAGTTTCCAACTTTTGGGGATATTGTTTTCCCAACAAAAATGCATGGTGTGAATCTTGGATACCTTGGCTACTCAAAAATATGTAAAAAACGATATTGATTTTGACATGATTTTTCTAGTGTATCCAACTTCAGGCGTTGATTACTCAAAACATGGTTTTGGGGGACATTCCTCATTTTGCCACAGTAGGTCACAAATTACTTAGCAACTTCTAAGGCAATGTAACAGAAAGATTTGAATGCCATGTGTAGGGAATTTTCAAAATGAAAACCAGCCTACATGGAAACCAAATATTTCACGTTTACTTGCATTTTAGGGCGCAACAGATGACGCTCGCAAAAGTTGCAGTTTACACTGTAAAGCTATAAATTCATTCAGACAACTCCCGGGATTTGAATTTTTGGGTTGGGTTTCTATGACGGGTACCTGGGTAGCTGTGTTTTACTTCAATAGGGTACCCCGTTCCTGTACTACTCTTAAATGCACACCACTAATACAAGTGCAATCATTCAACATTGATATTGTTTCAAACATTCATGTGCACATAGCAATGGGTTGATTTACAAAAAATACGAGTGCATTTGTGTTTGTTATGGGTGCTGTATGAAAACAATGAAAGGCAAGTGAATAACTACAGGAAAACGCACGCAAGATGTCTACCCTGAAGGTGAAAGTTCCATCTTTACAATGTGCCATGACTGGTGGTGTGCTGCACTATGAACGTTTTATATACTGAGAAACTGTCGGTGACCATCAGAGGACCCTACGTTCCATGGCTTTGATTTTCAGAAAGCAAACAATCCACTGTGTGGTAATCTTGGTCAAGACTAGGGTTTTAAATAATGTTCCCCTAACGCAGCTGCTCCCTCCATTGCAATCGCAGTCAAGCCGAAGCATTGGTGGATAGCACTTCAACAAGACTAATCAAATCCAGTCTTAACACTCGACCTGAGAAATTCTGAGCAACATTCATACATTCAGGATATGCATGCGACACAGAAAGATTTGTCAATTTAATCTCCACTTTGTGTGATAATTTTACCAGACCCACGTATCTACCTGTACATCTCAATATATTAGCGTGAAATCCACATTGCTGATAATATACCAGATAAAAAAACAACCCAAAATGGTGATTTAACAGAGGACTTTTTTCCAATCCTTAATACATCATTTCTAATTGTCTCTAATTTCTCGGGTCGAAGTGCCAAGATTCCCAAGATTGGATGTGATACATCTTATTGACAGGGTCCTCCACCACCATGGTGCCTTGGCCTAGCTTGCCATATGCATTAGGGGAAATTAATCTTATTGCAGTCTTGGACCAAGACTAACTTGCAGTCACTTGGGATGTACAGATATGCACCACTGTCCTCAATGCTGTTTATAAAAGTTTAGAATGATTTTAAGTCTCTTGCGGAAAGGGAGGTGTACCTCTTTGTCTGGTTTTTCGCTGCCTGCCCCGCTGATTATCCTGACGTGAGGTCTCAGCTCAAAGATCTTGCTCAGCCAGATCTCTTCGTAGGTCTTCAGGGCGCTCTCGATGGTGACGTCCTTGACGGCCCGCTGGACGATGGCCCGTACCTCGTCCACATGGTCTGAGAAAAAGAAACGACGCAAAAAGGAATTGTCTGGTGATACAATGGGGGAGAAGTTTTTTGATGGCTTACAGTCATTCTAAATCCGGGCACGGCCTCCGTGCGCCAACAAGAGAGGGGACCTTTTGACCACTTTTGAGGGTCCCGTGGACCGGACATACCATGTGCCCGTGCTGGTCCATGCGCTAAGTACACACGACTAATTGCATTCTGAGTGATTGTAGCATAGATAGTCGGCAAAGCATCCCGGGGGTAACATTAACCAACTTGATGTATACACATCCTTCCTGCCAGAAACATCGGGGCGAACCCCTTCTCTTAGCGATAAGCGTTACTGGTGCGTTAGGCCTTATACAACACACGGGACCTACGGCTTTGCACCCCATCCAAAGGACGAAGCAATAATGGTTAAGTGCCTTGCTTAAGGGCACAAGTGTCCGTGCCCGGGCTCGAACCCACGCCACTGTTGCCTCTGAAACACCAGAACATGAGTCCAGTGCTCTTAACCGCTAGGCCATGACACTCCACCAGTGTGTATAAGCCTGTAGCGCCTTCGTGAATGCGTCAATATCTCTCCCAGTGGTCTTCCCTAACTCTCCATTTGTAACCGTAGAGGGGGCTCTTGTGCATGGCGCCCAAGCCCACCAAGAGACCATTTTGCATCTGACTTGGTTACGCTTCAAGGTCTGTGTTTGTCCTTATTCTGATCTCACTGTTGAACAGGCACTCGGGAGTGGGGAAACAAACTTGGTCTTGAATAAAGGCCATCCCCTGGCAGCCATTATTTCAAGACTAAAGGCGTCATGTCAATAATTATGAGAAACCAAAAGAAGCTTGAATGAAGAAACTGAGAATAAAGTAGAAACAAAACAGGACGAAACAAAACAAGACGAGGCAAAACCTAGCATAGCTGACTTCATAGCACACACAATTCCATTTGATATATTGAAAATGGCTATTCACTGGAAGTCTTTTTATGCATCTGGTCTACGCAATGGAACTGATTTAGCCCATTCATTGGCATTACGTGGTAATCCTATACAATAGCACTGCCTGGTTCACAAGTGAGACTCGGTCAGTGAATCAGTCAGCGAGATACAGAGAGGGGTACAGGGAGGACTTAAAGCAGGCACCCTCTGGGACCACAACAAACTGCCCCAATCTTCTCATATTTTTCACTACATGTATTTTTTAAAAGCGCCACTTGAAAGCGTTATTTATAGAATGCTCGAGCAAAGTTTAGACTACAGGGTCACTCACTCTGTAGACCCAGCTGCAGGAGCTGTCCTAGAGTCATTCTCTTCAGGTTCTCGTTGTCGATGAGTAGAGCGCCCCCAGTCACACGCACCAACTGCTTCCAGTGTCTGGTGCGCATCGCAGGGTTGCTGAGATCTTCAATCAGTGGTAGGCATGCCTGAAACATATAAAACAAAATATCAAGAAAGTGATTTTATTTCACCTTCAAGCTCTGATCAAGTATTTAGTAACTGGGAAACCTTTGGAGGCCCGAAATATTCTCAAATTCTCTGCGTCCACCGACCCTCGTCTCATCCATCTGTCGTCCTTCAATCCATCCTCAGCAAACTAGGCTATCCTCCTACCATGCTTTGACATCCTGAAATGTGCTAGCAAGTCTTGATCCACTTTTGTGACCAGTGACAGATCTTTACTCTCCATCCCCCAAAATACTACTACCACCCTCTTTTCCTTCAGTAAACACTACCTTCTTCCATGAAATGTATGATCAGAATGATTCCTGGCGTTGATCTTCCTCTGGTAACCACCTGACCTTCTCAAGCTTGTTGTTGACAACCTCTCAGAGAAACCATCTCTATCTCTGAAACTAACCTTCAAGTACGTACCTACCCTACCCCCCTTCCATCCCCTTACCTGTATGATCAAAATGCTGTTCTCGAACCCCAGGTAGACATCCCAGTAGTGAAACCTCTGACCTTCTCAAGCTTGTTGTTGGTGACCTCTCTAAGATATCTTAACCTCACCCTATACCATCTACCCAACCCCTTTCCATCCACTCCACCTGAATGATCAAGATGCTGTCTTCGAGTCCCAAGTAGACATCCCAGTAGTGAGCTGGGAACCCCCTGAGCTACCTCCGGTAACCCCCTGACCTTCTCAAGCTTGTTGTTGGTGACCTCTCTAAGATATCTTAACCTTACCCTATACCATCTACCCAACCTCTTTCCACCCACCCTACCTGAATGATCAAGATGCTGTCCTCGAGTCCCAAGTAGACATCCCAGTAGTGAGCCTAGTCCGGTAGCCCCCTGACCTTCTCCAGCTGGTCGTTGGTGACCTCTCTCAGATACCTTAATCTTACCCTTTACCGTCTACCCAACCTCTTTCCATCCACCCTACCTGAATGATCAAGATGCTATCCTCGAGTCCCAAGTAGACATCCCAGTAGTGAGCCTCCTCCGGTAACCCCCTGACCTTCTCCAGCTGGTCGTTGGTGACCTCTCTCAGATACTTGGTGTTCATCTTCTGCCAGGACTCCTGCTTCCACTCCTCCTGCTGGCCGTGGATTGTCTCCACCGTGTCCCAGACCTGCTTCAGATTTCGCAGCTCATGTCGACATCTGAAAGAGTAATGCAATCAAATGACATAATTTTTTTTTTGGCTAGTGTATACATTCCATACAAATATTTAACATTACAGTAATCTTTAGATGACTTGTTTTAGTGCTTTTCTTACTTTTTGTTTTACTTCTCTTTGTTATCAATATGTTCTCCCTATGCACTCCCTACACAAGTACCCCATGAGTGGTTACAAAGGGACAGTTAGAGGAGACCACTTTGAACTCTTTAAAGGGAATATACAACAATTGCAAACATCGAAAAATACATCTCCAAGTTTTAACAAAATACCTCACTAGGATGTTGGTAAATGACAGTCTAAAGCACCCTGTAAAATTATGGCACCTGGTGTGAAGTCATTTTCAAGAAAATGGTATTTTTGTATAAATTTCCAACGGTGGTCGGCCAACCACTGTTGGAAAAACCTAACTATTTTTCAACTACTGCTCCAAATTCACCATTTTTTCATTCCAAATTTTATTTGCTATTGGTTACATGTTCATGAACGGGTGCAGGCCAGCTAGACTATTTCTGAAAATTACAGCAAAAGCCAATGATGTATATTCCCTTTAACACATTGCAATATATACAAAGGTGCTGTCATGAGGACGATACAGGATTGTGCAGATTAGAAATAAAATAAATTGAGCAAACTTCCCGCCATACCTTATTTGTGGAATTACCAGAGATGGCTTACTACTACTACTAATAATAATAATGTACAACGCCATAGTCCAGTGGTTACGGTGTTTGACTCATGTACGATGGTGTGTGGGTTCGAACCCTGCCAGGAACATTGTGTTTGTGCCCTTGGGCAAGACACTTTACTACAATTGCCTCTCTCCACCCAGGAGTATAAATGGGTACCTGTGAGGGTAGAGGACCGAATGTGTTCTGATATTGGATGCTGCATGGTCTCTCATGGCCTGATGAATGGGGTACTAGTTGTAAAGCACTTTGAGATTGTTAGTAAGGCCAAAAGCACTACATAAACACTACAATTTACTTTTCAATAACCTCACTGAGTTGAATAACGCATCTCTGCAACAACACCTGGTGATTAGTGGATCACTAGATCTGAGCTTTAAGTTTAAAAACGACAAAGATTGAGAGATATCTCTTGACTTACTCTGGCAGCACAGTAAAGTTGACAACTGCTGTTTCAAGAAGCTCTTGCAACTCAATTAGATCCTAGAAGAAATAAACAATCAGTAAGCATTAGGGACATCTCCAAGCAATTACATCTCACAGCTGAACACGATCACAAAACAAACTCAACCTTTTGAGATTAAAGTTAGCGGCTTTTAGAGGTTGAAGTCTTTACAGAAAAGACAAATTTGGGAAACATTTCCTATATAGTGATGGAGAGTTTTCATTTTCTTCCATGTGTACAAGGCAGTTCTAAAAGTGATACAAGGAAGAAAGTTTCTTCAAAGGTGCTTTATAATAAAAATCAATAAGACATGCAGAAGTCTTTAACTACAATTGCATAATTTACCAACCATTTCTCATCAAACCATGCATTTTTTTTAAATGCAAAGAAAGCATGTACAAGCAAACTAAAATATACAAACTGAAAAAAGGCCAAGAATACAATGTAGATTACTACTCTCTGAAGCAGCGAAAATTAACAAACTTTCAAATGTTCACTTGTTAGCCATGCAGATTATCATCAGACCAGTACAACGCTACAGTACATAACGGTACGTGCAAAGCCAGCTAAACATTCAGCAAGTTTAGGGTCAGAGGGATTGTTTTTGGTATAAATGGAGACTTGCTAGTTCAATATTACTGAAAATGGCCTTCAGACATTAATATTTCATGAAGATGAAGGTGTAGCAATTATTGCTCTTGATTTCTTCTTTTCAAGTTAACAATTTGAGCAAGAACTAATGAAGTAGTGCAGAGCAAATTAGAGCGTACATGCAGACTTTAGTTCAAGACAAAAGCGACCGACATACATGACATAGTCTACGGTGCTACACAGACGGCTATTTGAATGGATACAAAACAGCTCAAACCTACAGACTAAATGACAAACAGTATTTTTCTTTTGCGAATGAAAACTTCCCACTATTTTCCAAAATATAGCAATTCCATGCAAATTGGGAATTCTACAGCTACCGGTAAGGCCACCATATTTTAGTTTAACAATAAACAAGAAAAGGCAAGACGAGTAAAGCTAGTCCCAGAGAGCCCAAAATTTCATTCAATTGATTCAGAATGGCTATTCACTGTTAGTCTTTTCATTGCAGCTGGCCTACACAACGGGCAGCCCATTCATTGACCTTATGGGGTAATCCTATACAACAGCACTGCCCAGCTCACAAGTGACTGTAGACTCAGTGAGATACGTACAATAGGACACTGGGTTGGCCCTCTGAGACCAGCAAATTAGAGGCAACGTGGGCGTGTCTACAAGATTCTGTACTTAATTCTAGAAGCAACGTCACCCCACGCCATTCAATGCAATGCTCGATTCTGTACTTAATTCTAGAAGCAACGTCACCCCACGCCATGCAATGCAATGCTCACCCGCCCTCCTAGAAAGCTATTCATGACCTGCTTGGGGTGAGTGGATGAATATTAATCATGACATCATTAGTATTTCTGAATTATTCATGAGTTCCTTCATGGATATGCATGACCGTGTGGAAACTGCATCTGTGCTTTTGTCACCTATAAAGCTATTCATGACCTGCTTCGGGTTGGGAATGAATATTAATCATGACATCATTAGGACCTCAATTATTTATGAGTTCACTATGAATATGTATGAGCATGTGAAAACTTTATAAATACCTGGTCATTATAAGCTAGGCATTATTACGGGTCATTATGAAAATGTTGTAAGTTGTTATTTAATTTTAATAAGCATAATTATTATCTAAACACATGCTTAAAAATTGAAATGATTGTAGGGGAGAGAAGGTGTTTATGGAGAAGTGTGGAACAAACAAATAATATCATGAGTAGATGAAAACTGAAATAATATAACACTTGTTGGAACACATTGCACACTTCATAAATTCAGGGGGAAAATGCTGTTTTTGTAAAGAAGATATCAGTTCCTCAACTTTTATACATCTTGACTTTACAACGACAATCAAATTAAGACTATCAGTAGTTATTAATTAATTATTGCCTTCAAATTGTAGAATCTCAAAAACAGAGAGTTTCATAATTAGTTTTTGATTGGCAATGTTTTTGCTCACAATTCAATAGCATTTTACAGACATCAAAAACAATCCATTTTTCAACCTATGAAACATCCATAATCCTGAACCTATAGAATTATGCACACATTAGCATATTTGAATTATTAATAAGTGTGATAGCGAGTCACCTGTGCTTCACTGTCCAGTTGTTTAATGTATACATTATGCACAAATTAGCATTAGCATATTTGAATTATTCATGAGGTGTGATGAAAACAGTCACCTGTGCTTCACTGTCCAGCTGCTTAATGTATCATTATGCATAAATTAGCATATTTGAATTATTCATTAGTTGTAATAAAGACAGTCACCTGTGCTTCATTGTCCAGTTTCTCCAGCAGCTGCATGAACCTGCTGATCTCTTTGAAGGCGGCGTTAATCAGGCAGTCGTATGTGTAGATCTCTGAGGAGGACAGCGCCCTCTGGAGGGTCTCCACGCGCTCACCGAAAGACGCAAGGTCCTGGTGGTCGGAAATAGGAATTTGTGAGACAATGTTTCAAATGTCAGGATAGGTGGAACATTCAAAAGAGCCTTTTTCTATGAATAAACATCACAATTGCTCTAGTGGTGCTCGAACCCAAAACCTCCTGCTTTTCAGCGCAGTCATCTTAATAACCACTTAATGTGGAATAACAGAATGGTTCGGCTGAACCGTAGTTGGAAAAAAGGGCTTCTTCTCAAATACTGGCCCAAGTGACTAAATTTGGTAAGTCCACATTTTGTTTGCAATCTGTTTCATATCCTTGAATAGGTGCAAGCCACAGACTGGTTTCTTGACCTGATGTCTATAAATTGTGCCGTTTCGTCTGCAGTGTCAAGTCAGGGAACCAGACTACAAGAACAGCTTTTTTTTCCGGCGTCCAAGAAAACAAAACTTTAAACAGGTCTGTGGAATGATATTTGCTATAAAATTCTAACACCCGAATCTGTCATTTCTGAAAATGACGGCAAAAGCAAATGTTGTATGTTACCTTTGTAATGCTGGCAGATTCTTCTTGTATCCTGGGCCCCAGCCTCTGTTTTGCCAGCGACACTTTGGTCTTGAGGTTATTCCAGCGTCCCGGCGCGGCATCGTAGAGCGCCTTGGTCCGGTCCGGCAGGGCCTGGGCGTACTTCTTGAGCAGCAGGACGGTACGATTCATGGCCGTAAACTGGCCGTCCATCTCTTGCTGCTTGGCGGAGACCTCATTGAAGATGCGCATCATCTTCATGAAGGAGGCCGTGTCGCGCTCCTCGCCCGAGATGCTCTCAATCTCCGGCTCGATGCGTTTTAGGAAGGAGTCTAGGTCAGTCAGCAGCTCGGTAACCTACAAGAGTGAGGAATCAAATTTGAAATACATGATTTTTGAGGCTGGAAATTCAACCAAAATTTGATGCAATGCCCTGTGACTGTTCAATCCTAACTCCTATCAGGAGAGGTTTTTTTTTTTAAACATATTTCTATATACGGCATATCGTCGCGTCAGTGCAACAAGGTCGTAACTCCATTCTGCAACAAAGTCGTATCTTGCGCAAATACGCTCCGTGCAACAAGGTCGTATCTCGGTGTCCATTGACTTTGCGTGTACAGGCCGGGTTATTTTGAGTGACATACGACCTTTTGACATTCTAAAACTCGCATTTTGCGTTCATAACTCCATTTTGCAACAAAGTCGTATCTCGCGTGAATACGCTCCGTGCAACAAGGTCGTATCTCGACGTCCATTGACTTTGTGTGTACATCTGGGTTATTTTAAGCAAGACACGACCTTTTGACATTCTAAAACTCGCGTTTTGCATCGTGAGATACGACCTTGTTGGACTGACACGAAAAAAGCAGAATTATGGCTTATGACTAGTGTCCCTTGAACAAACACAATTGACAAACTGGGGAACTCCAAACATATAAAGACGGATAGCTCAGTTGGTAGAGCACCGGAACGGCAATACAGGGGTCCCAGGTCCAAACCCCGGTCCGGTCAATTTCTTTGTTCAACTGTGAAAATGTCGCTGTGTTTGTTGATTTGTTTTTGTTTACCTGATCAGTGAGGTATTTAGTGAATGTCCACATCCAGCGGCTTGCGTAGGTGGTCAGCACCTGTTTGATAGGCTGCAGGTCCACGCGTATCCAGCCCACGTCTTTGTAGTCAAAGATACTGGCGATCTCGTCCCTTGCCGTCTGTAGAGCAAAATCATTTTTTTTTTCCAATATTACTTTATGGAGACTAAGAACACTATTCTTATGCAAGTTAGTGTTTGTAACAACACATGGAACTCGAAAGTGTTCATGTTCATAAGTTGGGCCCAATTTCACGGCGCTGCTTAACAGTTAGCAGAAAAGTTGTGCTTAGCATAGCAGAAAAATGTGCTAACCTTAAGCACTATTTCACGGCGTGGACGTGCTAACTGTCGCGCGTGCATGGAGATTTCTATTGTTACGTCACTAAGTTAAGCAAATTTTTCCTCTGAGCTTAGCGTGCCTTTTGCTGTGCTTATGCTTACGGTCTCCATGAAATAGACGGAGGCTCTGTAAGCATAAAATTGTGTGCTTAGCAGCGCCGTGAAATTGGGCCCTGCATGGTAGGTTTACAGCCTTCTAAAAAGTTCTTAGTTTATAGTACCAGTATGTTGTTTTGTATGACATGTCAACTCAACAAATAATTCAACAATGATAATGCTCTTATGGAGCGCCTATGTCCAGCAATTAGGGTATTTGACTAGTGTGCCGCGGTCCATAGGTTAGTACCCTGACAGGGAACTTGTGCCCTTGGGCAAGACACTTGCTACAATTGCCTCTCTCCACCCAGGAGTACAAAGGAGTGTGAGGGTAGAGACCAGATTGTGCTGATCTCGGCTGCAGAAAAGTGGTCTCATTACCTGACGAGCAGGGGTAATAACTGTGAAACACTTTTACCAGTACCATATTGCAAAGGCATGAACTGTTTTAACGTCAGCTCTTTCTCCAATGTCAAATTACTCAACATTCATGATTTTTGCAATGTACGATTTACAGCAGATTTGTGTCTTACCCTGTACACGTCAATCTCAGCATCAAACAGGTCCAGCGGCGGCACGTTGTCATACTCATTGGTGTCTTTGGGAGTCAGGAAGTACTTCTCTGCTGTACCCATGGCCCCCTTGGCTCCGATGCTGTACTGGGATGCTGAACTGGCCCTGTGGACAACAGATTATTGTTGTAAGGATCCTCAGCAAAATGTACTCAAGTTCAAATGTGGTCATCTTTTGAGAATTCACAGCACAAATACTTGCTCAGACATCACACATTTGTATTGGGCATTTGCTCCTGCAACAAGTGTGACTAGCCCTTAATTTGTCTTTCGAAGTTGATTATTGACTCAAAAATAACATCACTATTTTTTTTTCTTAAATAATGACACAGAATCGGTTCATTTATATTGAACTTCTTGTGTCTGAAAACTTAAACGTAGAGTAGATCATTTGTCATTTATGCATTTTTTTTTCGTTTGAAGCAACAAAAGTGCTCAAAATCTAAAGAAGGGTGCTGAACAACTAACCTGATGAAGTTTTACCTCACTGAATGCTGTATATTCTGAGAAAACAATATTCTTGGATTTCAATGTCAATTCAAAAGTTGCCGAGTCGTGTTCTGAATTGCGCCCGAAATCAGCGTCTGGGACACGTTCTCATTCAGCTGATTGCAGCTACGCAATGTCACGCACTAAACCGATAAATTATAGCAACCCCACACGCGTGTGCATTGTGTCAACGCTTGTGCGCACCAATTCACGGCTTCGCCGAATTAAAAATGAACATCTAACAGAAATTTCCAAAAATGCTTCTTTAGACGCATCTTTGGAAACGACCTTCTTTTGTTTTCTGACAGCATGCCAGAAAGAATAATTTCACAGGGCGTTTAGTGCTAGTTATTATCTTTAAACCAAGTATGTTTTTTAACAATAATTTCGTCAGTTACTTTTTGGATTGCTGCAAATGATATACTCTACTTTTAAAACGACTGATACAAAATAATGAATTCCCAAAAGTTTTTGACGCAACACTGATTTGTATACTAGTAGCATGGGTCGTTTAAGCGCACAGGCATTTGTGCAAGTTGTAACTGTTTCATTGATGGAATTAATATGTGCATGTGACATGCGCACCACCTCAATTTTGTCTCTTATTGTGGCTGTCAGATATATTCCAATATCTCACCGTCCACTCTGAGCAGACCGCAGGGAGCGTTCCGAAGCAGCCGATCGCATCCCGGCCGAGGGGCCCAGTTTCTCCAAGTCCCTCATGGGGTTGGAGCTCAGCCGACCCTGGAGGAACTCATCAAACGTCTCGTTGATGTTGTGCATCCACAGGAAGGTGTAGTTCTTGAACAACTCCAGTAGCGTCTTTTGGAAAGAAAGGGGGAAAAGAAATGTGTAGTTTCTAATGCTTCGCATGTTGCACAAGTACACGGTGATGTGTTCTGGTAACCCCATGGAAAGCTGTCTCTTCTGGAATAGTAGTAATAACAATAATAATAATAATTTGGGAGGCTAATCATCCTTACTCGCAGCTGGTATGCTGAATTGCGAAGGACGCGGCTACAACGTGGTCGGGCCGCTGGCACGTAAAGGCGCCTATGGCTGCCGGCCACATCGACCCATATATGACCACCGAGCACAGCCTGAGATCGAAAGTGTTTGATTTTTTCGGAGGGAGGAAAACCAGAGGGCCCGGAGAAAAACCTCGTGGCACGGGAGAGAACCAACGCACAACTCTACTCACATGTGATCCGCGGCCAGGATTCGAACCGTGGTCACCTTGGTGAGAGGCGAGCGCTTTACGCACAAGCCACCCATACCACCCAATAACAATAATGATTTCAAGTAATAAGACTGGCTGTAAGACTGTGTACTGATTGTATGGGAATAGAACAATACAGCCTGTCTAAAAAAAATGGTACAATCGAAAACGATTTTTTTTTTTTTACGTTAAATCTCAACATAAGTAAGTCGTTTTGAGCATCACATTAAAGAAAAAAGACCAGGCTTTCCGATACTTTTTGTTTCATCTCATTTGCTTTTGTCAATCCAGAGATAACTCCAGTTTACTGTGGAACACAAAAATCGAGTTTGTGCCACTTTCTGGTTGAGTGAGAACGGTGAAAGAATTAGTTAAACAAAACGTTATTCACACTTGAACAGATTTGAAATTCAAAGAAGGGATTAACTTCATAAAGAAACTATTTATCATTGAACTTATTATGTTGACTATTAAAGCTTGTATCGAGAAAACCAGACTTCCTTTGTGTACTTTAATCTGTGTTTTGTTTCTTTTGCCAAGTTGCAATCTTTTGTGAGCTTCAAGACAGCATGGCACAGTACTCGAAACAACTCTGCCCATGCATGAAAGTGGCACAAAATCGATTTTGGTGTATCGCACTAAATTGATTATATCTCTGAATTGACAAAAGCAAATAAGATAAAACAAACACTATTGGAAAGCCCAGTCTTTGTTCTTTAATATTATGCCAAGTAAGAATGACTTATTTTGAAATTTCATATTTAACCAATTTTTTTTCTGATTGTACCATTTTTTTTTAAACAGGCTGTACAGTGGAACGCCGCTATAACGAACATCGTAGGATCTACAGAACATGTTCGTAATAACGATCGTTCGGTAAAGCGATTTTGAACCGCCGGCCCCCTTTTGACCAATAGTGAACTGGCATTTCTCACATCCCGAAGCCCCACAAGGAGACGCCACGAAACTTTAGCAACGGGTGGTTTTCCCTTTTATTCCCTTTGGAAATAATAGCCATCTATCGCCGTTCAACATTCAAACACGATGTAACTATGGGACGTTTGATGTTCGGGAATTAATAGTGGCCCAAATAGCATTAAATACAAGCGGTAGTTTTTTTGTGAATCTGTTGACTCTTTTCAACAACAATGTTCGGAACGTTTTGTACATTAAAACCGGGAGCCAAGGATGATGTTCGGTATATCCGAGTGTTCGGTATAGCGGTGTTTGGAATAGCAGCGTTCCACTGTACCAGTAGGCTTACCAACACGGTGGGATTTTATGGAATATCCGACTTTTGTGACTAGACTAGTCAGTGTTTGGCACCAAGACTGCCATATAGAAAGTACAGGTGAACTTGCAAGACTTGCACCTTCTACAGAAACATCCAATTTGCCATTACCATGCATTCATCACCGTTCTCCTTGACTAGTTCCACAATCTGCTCACATAGTTGCTGCACCTCGTCATCCAAGCTGATGTAACGCTGATAACCACCCTGGTATAAGGAATCAAAGCAATTTTTTTATTATTCTATTTAAAATTTCCTGATCCCAACGAGTTTTTAATATAAAAATACAAATATATAAAAATATTCTTATATTACTTTACTTTTTATTTCGTTTAATTGAAAGCAATTTTTATTTAGGTTAGGTAGAGTCAAATTGTAGGGTTTTTTGGGCTTGATTGTTACATTTTTTAAGCTCTGGCACCGGCAGGAGCTTCTACATTTCACTTGGTGGTCGGTCGGTCGGTCTGTCTGTCTGTCCCAGAAAATTTACCAAAAGCATGGTGTTCCATATGTGCCATCGGCGTCGCATTTTTCGGCATCGCATTTCTAAGCTCTGGCAGGGATCATTTTGATCGATTTCATACAAGACTCCTTGCAACACCGCTATAGCTTATTGACACTCATACTTTTTCCATCCCTTAGGGAGTACCAATTGCCACTACCCATTTTCTACCAGCTTAGGGGTTCTTAATAACTATTTTTTATCTTCCTAAGGGGTTTCATGATGCCTATTTTTCATTCTCCTAGGGGTTTTTCTCCACAGATTTCATGGATTTCTATTCCTATTTTTAAGCTCTGGCAGGGATCATTTTGATCGATCTCATGCAAGACTTCTTGCAACACGACCAGAGCTTATTGTGCACTCGAACTTGTTTTATGTCAGTTTGCCTTTGAAAACAGATTCAGCTAGGATCTTTAGTGAGTGGCCATCTTAACTTTAAAAAATAATAATTAGTGTAATTTTGATGGAATTTAAAGCAATTTTTATGTTTTGAGGTAATTTTTCTGTCTGAAAAAAAAAGTTAAGGTAAAGCTTGAGTCAACATATATCTGCTGTTTGTTTCTAACACTTATTATCCTTCCCTCCTTCCAGAGAAATCTGAACGAAAATCCCTCAAACCTTAAGAATTTTAGAAATTTTAGAATTTTAGAAATTTAAGAAATTTAAGAAATTTAAGAAATTTTAGAAATTTTAGAAATTTTAGAAATTTTAGAAATTTTAGAAATTTTAAAAAATACTTTTAGAAATTTTAGAAATTTTAGAAATTTTAGAAATTTTAGAATGTTTAGAATGTTTAGAATGTTTTTTGTTTTATCTCTGCTGACCTCTGCGTCATGGTTGAGCATCTTGACCAGCGAGCCTCGGTTCTTGAATTCCTCCAGCCACTGATGGACATTCTCCAGGACGCTAGTGACCGCCGTGCTCTGGTCAAGCGGCGGAGTGACCGAGACAACGTTCTCTATCAGCTCCATGCGGATGGTCAGGATGGGCACCACGGTTCCCTGGGCCTACGGTAAGAAATAAAAAAAATATATTTTCAGATTTTGCATGCCAATTTCTCAATGTTCATGAGACATAAACACAAAATATGAGCCTGATACTGATTGACTTTTAAACGGTGCCACTAACCACTAAGAAGCAGTGCTTTTGATCTGCTAAGAAAGATTTTTTGTGCATGAAATGTCCAAAATGCTCTCTAAGAGGGCCACTCTGTATAACTTCACTGTATTTCATGCCTTCAGACACTGCTCATGTAGTCACAGACTGAAGCCACAATGAAGCCAAGGTTTGTGAAATGGCAACAATGACTTCACTATCTTTTGGCTTCATTTACAGGACCTTGTTTCCTCAGCCTGAAGCTATAGCTACGAATGAAGCCACGGCTTGAGAAATGGCAACAATGACTTCTCTATCTGTTGGCTTCAGTTACAGGATCATGTAGCCTTAGCCTGAAGCCACAAACGAAGCCAAGGTTTGAGAAATGGCAACAATGACTTCACTATCTTTTGGCTTCATTTACAGGATCTTGTAGCCTCAGCCTGAAGCTATAGCTATGAATGAAGCCACGGCTTGAGAAATGGCAACAGTGATCTCAACATCTTATGGCTTCATTCTCAGACTCGTGTAGTCATAGCCTGAAGCCACAAATGAACTCTAGGTTTGAGAAATGGCAACAATGACTTCTCTATCTGTTGCCTTCAGTTAGAGGATCATGTAGCCTTAGCCTGAAGCCACAAATGAAGCCAAGGTTTGAGAAATGGTAACAAAGACATTACTTTCTCATTGCCTCCGTTTCAGCTCATGTAGCCGTAGACTGAAGCCACAAATGGAGCCAAGGTTTGTGAAACGGCAACATAGATTCCAGTTTCTTTAACATGTTGAGGCACTGTCTCATGTAGCCACAACCTGAAGCCATAGTGACACCAAACTTTGAAACATGGCATGATTTAATCCATCTCACCTCCGCCACATTGGAGTGTACCAGCGTATTGAGCATAGATCTGAGACTCTTGAGTGCAGACTGCTTCAGACCGTCCAACACCAAGGCATCGATGTGATCCACATAGTCCTCCCAGGCTGGGGAAGCCCTGCTGATCTGAACAGCCTGGAGGAGCAAAGAAGATGACAGAGGGATGTTAAAGTTTTCCAATTATACAGGGCGAGTCAAAATTATACAGGGTATGTGATCCACATAGTCCTCCCAGGCTGGGGAAGCCCTGCTGATCTGAACAGCCTGGAAGAGCAAAGAAGATGAAAGAGGGATGTTAAAGTTTTCCAATTATACAGGGTGAGTCAAAATTATACAGGGTATGTGATCCACATAGTCCTCCCAGGCTGGGGAAGCCCTGCTGATCTGAACAGCCTGGAAGAGCAAAGAAGATGAAAGAGGGATGTTAAAGTTTTCCAATTATACAGGGCGAGTCAAAATTATACAGGGTATGTGATCCACATAGTCCTCCCAGGCTGGGGAAGCCCTGCTGATCTGAACAGCCTGGAGGAGGAAAAAAGATGAAAGAGGGATGTTAAAGCTATAGTCCATCATTTGCAGCCATCCGAAAAGTAACCGGCGTAAATACTGTTGAAAAACACACTTGGTTGAAAGATAGTAAGTGGACTAAACTCCCTGTGAAATTAATCTTTCTGGCAAGCTGTCATTTTGAAGTAATCAACGAAAGAAGGCCTTTCCAACGGTGCATTCTTAAGACGCACCGTAGGAAAATTTAAATTAGTAGTTCGTTTTGTTATTCGGCGAAGCGCGCGCAAGCATTGGCACGACGCACACGGGGTTGCTATAATTTGTCGGATCAGTGCGGAACGTCGCGTATAGCTGCAATTCAGAACAATTCAAAACATGATTCAGTAACTTTTGATTTGAAATTGAGATCCTAAAATGCTGCTTTTCTCGGAATATACAGCTGAGGCTGAGCTGAAACTTCATCAGGTTAGTTGCTCAGTATCCTTCATTAGATTTTGAACACTTTTGTTGCTTCAAACGAACAAAATGCACACATTACAAATGATGGACTATATCTTTAAAGTTTTTCAATTATACAGGGTGAGTCAAAAAAGCGAAACCAAAATGTCAGGGCTATTGTTTTAGTGACGTTCTGCATGAAGCACTTTCAAAATCTAGGATATGAAAGCCCAATTCATAAGCTTTCTTTTAGTACAGGAATCATTCAAATCACTCATGTACTTTCCAAGTTACGGAATTTTAAACACAACCACCGTTTTAAAGTTCTGTCCACGGATCACAAAAAAGTGTGCGTTCTTTCAGCAAAACAAAAACAATTTGCACACATCCGTATGTGAATTGTTTTCGTTTTGCTGAAAGAATACTTACCTTCTTGTGATCCGTGGACAGAACTTTAAAATGGTGGTTGTGTTTAAAACTCTGTAACTTGAAAAGTACACGAGTGGTTTGAATTATTCTTGTACTAAAAGAAAGCTTATGAATTGGGCTTTCATATCCTAGATTTTGAAAGTGCTACATGCAGAACTTCATTGAAACAATGGTCCCGACATTGTGGTTTGGGTTTTTTTTTACTCACCCTGTATTATGCTGTCAGGGACTTCTTCCTTTTTTTTCTTTTGAAAAGGGATGGGGTTGGCTTTGGGTATGTTGAATTAAGAGTATGGATTTTGTTTTTATTTGGGGATTTAAACTTTGAGGTTGGATGTTAGGGGATCTGAAGTTTGGGATTTGGTTTCAGGTTTCGAGGTTTTAGTTTTTTGTTTTAGTTTGCACTTGAAGTTTGGCTTTGCATTTTTTTGGTTTAGGTTTTGGATTTTGGTTCAGATTAATTCCAGATTTGGGTTTTGGTTTTTTGATTTTGGAATATGGTTGCATTTGGAATTTTGGGTTAACGGTCTGAATATGAGTTTTGGGCTTAGGTTTGGGCTTTGGGTTTTTTCTCGGTTTTGGGATTCAGGTTTGGGTTTAGGATGGGCATTGGAGTTTAGAACTAAGGGTTTAGGTTTGGGGTTTGATTTTTGGTTTGTTTTGGGTCTGGAATTTGAATGAAACGGGTGCAGATAAAGTAAACAGATGACTCATATTGCCATTTATATAAATTTACGAGACAAGTTACTTCAAACGGCTACCAGAGCTATTACAGTTGTGTCCAGACAGTAAAACCTAGTAAGAGCCAGCGGCCAATTTCACGGCGCTGCTAAGCACAACAATTTGCTTAGCACAAAAAAGCAGGTTACCAGCCAAAACTCCACATGATGTATATTGCTCCTGATTAGTATTCAGCTGTTGTTGGCTTCGCATGAAAATCACATGGAGTTTTGGTTGATAACCTGCTTTTTTAAACCAGACTTTTTTGTGTTAAGCAAATTTTTTGCTTAGCAGCGCCGTGAAATTGGGCCCAGGTCGCAATGGTACCGTAGCTCTGGAGATGGCCATCTTTTTTGTTTTTACCTCAAATGAGATTCCCAGTAGGTGGTGGATCCGTTGTCCAGAGGGCTTGACCAGTCGCTCAAGATCCTCATTCAGTTCACTGTTGCAAAAACAGGATCATGGATTGAATGTTTAAAATGAAAAACAATTCTGCACAAAGGGTTTTTTTAGATGGAGTTTGCGTCGAGGAGATATAAGTTTTACATTGGGTTTAACCCTCTGCCCACATTTTGACGAACATGGAAATTGCCATAGGTATATAAAACCAAAAAGGCTCCAAAATGCCTTTAAAAAAAGCAATTTGAAAATACAGTTAAATGGGACACAAAGGTACATTTCAAGGATTGCATTAACACAATTCCATAACATGGGCCCTTCAATTGACTTCACATATGCAACTGCATGCAATATTTAACAGACTTTAGAAAACATGTTATACAACACAGACCTCTGCCAGGCCAGCAGCTTGACCATGTGGTAGCTAGCGTCCGGGTCCCGGCAGGCGAAGACGTCCAGTGAGCCGCTTGACCAGGACTGGGCAATGTCCACCATCTCCTGGCAGTTGCTCTGGACGATGGCCAGAGTCCGGTGCAGGTCAGCCCCAACCAGGGCCGAGGCCAGCTCAATGAAGTCTGCGCTCTCCGTGGTCTTCCAGGTGTAGTGGTTCAGGCCTTGGTCCAGAAGCTGGAGCGAGGAGACACAAAGCATGTCAAATGTCAATCTAAGAGCTAGGCCTGAATTACTTTTGCTCCGGCTGGCAGTTACACACGAGTGCACGAGTACCCCTGCTTCGTCCTTCGGATGGGACGTTAAGCCGGAGGTCCCGTGTGTTGTATAAGGCTTAAACGCACGTAAAAGAACCCAGTAACACTTATCGCTAAAGAGAAGGGGTTTGCCCCGGTGTTTCTGGCCTCCTAGTTATACTCCCTTGTGGAAGTCCTTACAAGAAGAACCAATTAAGTACCCCCTCAACGGTAAGGAAGAGAGAGTTGGGGGAGACCACTGGGAGAGACATTCGAATGCACTGTCGACAACACCTGACGCTCACACAAATACGCTACGGCTACGGTAATTCAGAATAAAATACGTCGTACTCGCATGCTGCGTCCTGTCGACGGGGCTCCCGAAAGTTGGCATTCAGCCCGTGCCCTTGCACACCAAATGATACGTATACTTCGTAACACTCACTATGACGTTGTTATATAATGTCATTCACATTCCATCTTGTGGTAAAAATCTCATCTTGTAGCATGCGATGAATATCAAAAAAAAATTGGAAAAACTACTACGCATGTGTATTTAACCTGTGTGTGAAACCTCGTGTGCGGGCTTGGTAAACAGCAAAACTAGCGGCTGAATCATGATTGTGAATGGACCAATGAGAACTCGGCTCTCGATCATGAATATGTATGAGGTATAGTAATAGTTAGTTATCCCCTGTCACTTCTGAATGGAATTGTGAATTGACTTGTGATATACTTTTGACCAAACTTGTGATGGACTGAACAACACCAAAAGAGTAACAGGTTAATATTTGCAAAAAATTAACTCACGTGATCAATCTTGCCCAGTTTCCTCTCAAACAGCGGCTGCTCAAAGTCCACCAGGGAGCGCATGGCCGAGTTGTACTTGGAGACGATGGTCTCCAAGCGTGCCGCTGTGGTGCGTAACGTCGCGCCGTCCGTGTTACGCAGCAGGTCCCGTACCGTGTCCTGCAGTTTGATGGTGAACGGGGGCTGCTGGAGGTAGTGTACCTCCCTGAGGAGGAGGAGGAGGTCGGGGTCAAGGTTGACGTGGATCACCTGGGGACGATACTCGATTTCTTGGTCGTAGTCATCTGCAACCTGCAGGGGTGGGAAGAAATTAAAATTAAAGTCTAAACATGAGACTTTCAAAAATTTATTGAAGCAGTCTTACCAAAATTATAATAATAATAATTACCCTGGATTGGACATTTGGGAGACATTCCCATAGACTTGTGCACAAAAAATTTCAAACTTAAATGTGCCCTAACCTGATATTCCCTTGGCGTTTTTCCATGAATTTCAGTATGTTTACTAATTAGACCACGCGCAACAAAAATAACCTAATTGTGACAATAAAATTTTGCCTCTAAAGGGGGGCTGTGACATTAGGGAGACATGAAAATGTCTTCCTAATGACCAGTGTCTCCCACACGTATATGGTGCTTATATAAGCACTTTATATCTAAGGTCTCAAAGCGCTTCACGATTATTACCCCTGTTCATCAGGCCATGAGACCAGTTTTTGCAGCAGCTCGAGACCAGCGCATTCTGGTCTCTACCTTCACAGGTACCCAATTACACTCCTTGGTGGAGAGAGGCAATTGGAGTAGAGTGTCTTGCCCAAGAACACAAGCATTATGTTCCCTGTCAGGGTTCGAACCTAGATACCATGGCACATGAGTCAAACACCGTCGAACCATCGACCATTATCATGTTGCAGCCATTTGATTTTTTCCCATTAAAATCAATGTAATCAAAGCAAGGCTGGAAGGATAAATAGGCTGGTTCCTTTTTTCACAAAACAATTATCATTCAGTACTGTTACTGGATACAGGGAACATGACTGAAATGGTGGCAGCATGATAAAGGCCTATTGGACCACCGTGCTCCACATCATGCAGTTGGCTTAAATACTTGTGCATCTTCAAACTTGCATTTTTACACATTTAGGCCTGCTTGTTTTGTGTAAGGTTTAACTGTGTGTTTAATTTACCAGTAGCGGTTGTTTTAGCCGGTCCCTGAGCTCATCATGCAGTTGGCCCTGCCATTTGGCAATGGTGGTCTGCTGGTAGCCGTCAAAGTCTTTCAGGGTGTCGGCGAAGACGTCTCGCAGGTGCCAGCCAGCGTCGCCCTCTAGAGAGTGGGGGCTGATGCGCTTCAATTTCTCCATTGGTTGCTGAAAATCAAACCACAGTTAAAATGAAATATACTTTATAAGATCTTTGAAGAACGGCTTTTTTTTTCCCCCTTGAATCGGAAGCCGAAAATAGAGTCGATGGGAAATGAGAACCAAAGAATAAAAAAGGGATGCCATTACCTGGATCCGCTTCTTGAGAGCCCCCACCCATGTCAGCCGGCTGACCACAGGCGGCAGATTGACATGGTTCGGCGGATCATTGCGCTTGTCTAGGAACATGGAGCGGACGGCGATCAGCTCCTTAGTGAAGGAGCTGATGAGCTGCTGGTCCTTGTCTCGCAGGTACTCCTGGACCATCTCCCGGCCGCTGACTCCCTCGAAGACTTCCAGGAGGCGCAGCTGGGCACCGATGGTGGGACACTGCTGGAAGCTCTGGCGTAGAACGGTGGCTAGTCGCCTCTCCAAGTCCTTGAAAGGTTTTTTTTTAAAAGAAGAAAATTGTATGATGGAATGTTTGGATGGAACCATGAATGGAAATTTGTTGTGGAGCCAACTGCTATATCAGATTTCAACCAAACCAGTCGACCCCGGCAATCTCACTGGTCAAGATGTCCAATTATAAGTAGTTTGTGAATTTTTTTACATAAATATAAATGAAAAATGACCTTTCGCGAGGTCAGCGAAGTTCGCGAACTAAATTTGGTCCTTAATATACCAGCCAACAGCGAGCTCGGCAGGCTCATTTGCATCACATTGTCGTGTCAGTGCAACAAGGTTGTAACTCAATTCTGCAACAAAGTCATTTCTCGCACGAATACGCTCCGTGCAACAAGGTTGTATCTCAACGTCCATTGACTTTATGTGTACATCCGGGTTATTTTAAGTGAGATACAACCTTTCGAAATTCTGAAACTCGCGTTTCACATACGGCCCATTTTAGGAGATACAACCTTGTTGCACGGACACGACGACATTACAATGCACCTTTGTTATGCTACTTCAACGCTAATTTGCTTCAGTTGCTTGAGTTCATTGAGTACGCGTACCTACCGTATGCAGAGTATGGCAGCTATGGGCTCAGTGCGATGACAAAGAGGGCGCCCTTTCACCTAGCAACGACGTCCCATGGGCGGGACATTTCACTGGTTGACGCGCACCGTTCCTTGTGTGTGACGCACGTACACCATGGGATTCGTACTATGTACACGCAGTGGTCACGCTTCGCGGCAAATGAATTGCAGTCAGGCAAGATGGCGTCGAGCGGTGAGGGGGTACTTGTGAACAGAGCGATTGGCGCTCCAGTAATAATGTTCAGACGTGAATTGTGGCTGCAAGGTGGCTGCATTCCAAAATATTTTCCCGAGGTTTGTTGTTTCATAGGTTTCACGTAAATTTTCCGACACAGCGTTTGTTAAATTTTGACAAGTGGAAATCAAGTTGCTGAAATCGGAAAGACGATTCCTTACTGCAAGTTTCTTGGCCCTTGGGAAATATATTTAACTTGATCAAAAGACACACTGCAGTATTTATAAATATTTGTAAATTATTGTGGGGAACTAAAGCACTATTAACAGTAAGCAGAGTCTTGAAATTGGGCCCCTAGGTCCTTTCAATATTACATTCAAAGCAAAATTGGTGTCCATATTTGATCCTATTAAGTTTGTACCTTGACAATGGACCTGAAGTTAAAGAACGCCCTCTCAAACGCCTGGCTCTCTGTGATGTCCAAGATGTCCATGACGTTGCCTCCGAAGCGTTCCATGGCGTTGGAGAATTCATCATGGATCTCTCGGACCAGGGCGTCTAGGCTCTTGGTGCCGGCCCCGCCCACCTCTGCAGCCATCTGCAGCAGGTTGAAGTGCCTGGTGGTCTGGACCAGCTCCAAGAGATCGTTACATCTGCGCAGACAAAATGGGTCAAATGAATGACTCACCGGATTCTACACAGACTCTGACTAAACGCATTCCAAAAGGATTCTGAATGGATTCCGACCAGATTCTGACCAGATTCTGACTAGATTTTGACTGGATTCTGACCAGATTCTGACCGGATTCCAACCAGATTCCAATCAGATTCGGACCAGATTCTGACAAGATTCTGACTGGATTCCAATCAGATTCTGACCAGATTCTGACTGGGTTTTGACTGGATTCTGACCGGATTTTGCCTGGATTCTGACCAGATTCCAATCAGATTCTGCCCGGATTCCGATCAGATTCCAATCAGATTCTGACTGGATTCTGACTAGATTCTGACCAGATTCTAATCAGATTCTGACTGGATTCTGACTGGATTCTGACCGGATTCTGACCAGATTCCAATCAGATTCCAATCAGATTCTGACCGGATTTCGATAGATTCCAATCAGATTCTGACCAGATTCTGACTGGATTCTCACCGGATTCTGATCAGACTCCAGTCAGATTATGACTGGATTCCAATCAGATTCTGACTGGATTTTCACCAGATTCTAATCAGACTCCAAACAGACTCCAATCAGATTCTGACTGGATTCCAATCAGATTTTCACTGGATTCTCACTGGATTCTGACTGGATTCTAACCGGATTCTGATAAGACTCCAATCAGATTCTGACTGGATTCCAATCAGATTCTGACTGGATTCTGACTGGATTCTCACCGGATTCTGATCAGACTCCAATCAGATTCTGACTGGATTCTGACTGGATTCTCACCGGATTCTGATCAGACTCCAATCAGATTCTGACTGGATTCTGACTGGATTCTCACCGGATTCTGATCAGACTCCAATCAGATTCTGACTGGATTCTGACTGGATTCTGACCGGATTACACTAATGGTGGAAAAAAGTTCAGAAGTGCCCTGTGCCAACCTGAATCCTAAAAAAACTGAATTTGAGACAGCCACTAACCTTTCCATGAATCCATTCATGAGATTGAAGCAGGGAGCGTTGCGCGGTGGCCACTGCGAGTCCGTCCATTCATCCTCTTGTATCACACCCACATCCGAGGAGCTTGTATCGCGCCATATGCCGTGGGACGACCGCACCCTGCGACGCTGGCTGGTGTTGTACAACTTGCTGCTATACAGGACGCCCTTGGGTGGATGCAGGGTCCTGTCGAGAAAAAAGAAAGAAACAACATCAAGAGTGGTTAAAGATATAGCTTCACTGTGTCTGTCTATCTGTGGATGGGCAATAGAAGAGTGTTTGATCATAAATATGAATGAGGTATAATGGCACGAGTACCCTCAAAGAAACAGGAGGACCCCAAAACAAATGTGTAAACAAGTAAAGTCTGTCACGAGCCAATGTGGCCCATTAGGCCGGGTTTATCTCCGGTTTCAGTAGCATGAAACGACTGAGAATATTTCTACTCCCCCTGGATGGGATGCCAGTCCATCACAGGTTATTCACCAGCTAAATGCCGGTACCCATTTATACTCCTGGGTGGAGAGAGGCAAGTGGGAGTGAAGTGGCTTGCCCACGGACACAAAATATGACCAGCAGCTGGATTTGAACCCCTGACACTCTGATCAGGAGACACGAAGCCTAACCACTAGGCCACACTCCCCCTAAAACAAATATGCCCAATTACAAAAGACTGGACGACCTATCATGGAATAGACTACAATACTTCGATTGTCTTCGTGCAATACGTACATTGCTTCTGCTGTCTCGGATACTTTCTCTGCGTTGATATCGTCCGCTTTGTCTTTCATGTCTAGGTAGGTTCCCCGGTAGGCAGCACAGACCTTCAGTGCGTCCTTCAAGCCAGCATAAGACTGCAACATTAAAAAAGACAAAATGTTGAATAAAAATAGCACAACTGACATGCAATTGTTTTATTTTTCTGGAGTAAAAAATGCCCATAGAGTATGCACAAAAAAAGATTTATGATATTCAACATTTTATGATTGAAACAGAATTTGTGACCTACTGTGGCAAAATGAGGAGAGTCCCCGAAAACCTTGTTTTGAGTAATCATCGCCTCAAGTCGGACATACTAGAAAAATCATGTCAAAATCAATTTTGACTTTTTGGGGTTTTTGAGTAGCCAAGGTATCCAAGATTCACACTATGCATTTAAGTTCGGAAAAAAAATCCCCAAAAGCAGAAAAACTGAAGAATTTTTCACTGCCGTTGGCAGCACAATGCGTATCTTTTTTTTTCAAAGCTGTTTTTCTCGAAATGAAGTCGGCGAAGTTTGGCGGAACACTGATGACATTCCTACGGCGTATCTTTGGAATAAATGAAGCTACAGAAATAAACTTGGTTACATTGGAAAGCCAATGATTTGCGCCTTAACAAGATATACTTGAAAAGTCGAAGGTGAGGGTTATTCCTTATTATGCCATGGCAGGTCACATTCTTAAAATGGAAAATCGGTGACCCTGAAAATTCATACCTGTAGTGTGTTCTTGAGGATGTTTTCTCCCACCAGACTCTGTGCTCTCAGCACTACCTCGTTGGATACCAGTTCCAGGAGATTCTGAAACTTGTCCGTATTGTGGTAATACCTGCGACCAAAAATAAATATAAAATGTTATTCTCAGTATAGTTGAACAAAGAAATTGACTTGAGCGGGGTTTGAACCTGTGACCTCCGGATTGCCGTTCCGGTGCTCTACCAACTGAGCTATCCAGCCCTATGATGGGGGTTCCCCATTTTGTCAATGTCTTTGTTCAAGGGGCACTACAGTAAACTCCAGCTAAGTCGGCACTCTCTGGACCCGAGAATTTGTGACGACTTACGCGAATGCCGACATCTGCTATTAGTCGTCATTTTGCCGGCTTACATCATGTACATGAATGGTCTTTTGCACACATGCTTCATTGCACTAATTGGTTTCAATTTACCCTGGATTATCTCCTTGAATGCTCGAGTTGAATCCAGCAAATTAATCCTCGAATTGTATCATCACGTTTGGGGTATTGATAGTGGAGACCACGATACATATGAACGTGCACAGTAACAAATTAAATGCGTGCGTGGTACGGTCCGGTATATACCACGCACGCATTGACTGCAGCTAGCTAGCACTAGTCATTCATTAAGACTACCCCAAAAATGGACAGAGCGCATGCATACAGACTAGAGGGGGTACTGGTATTGATATGCTCATGATGCATATGCGATGTATGCAGTAGGACACCCTTTTTCGACACCGATACACTTTTCACTCGACACTTTGCCAACAGCAGTACAGGAAGTCGATGCCAATGCGTGATTTGTTGAATGCCGACTTACACAAAGGATTTTGTAATGCTTTTTATGGAAAGGGGACCGAGAGTAACACGACGACTTGAGCGAAATGGCGATTTATAAAAGCCGACTTAGAAATAAACAAGTCAGGTGTGTTTACAAACACAAATGCCCCGCAACCGTGACTGTTCCCATGACATAACACCACTCTTTTAACATCAACTTACATGTACCTTGGTCACATGGAACGTTCATTAATTGACAGCATTAGTGTCTTCTGTAGGTTTTATATGAATTAATCCCTAATCCCTATGATCTCAGAATAAATACAAGATTTCTATTGTTTTAGCCACTGTGACCTTGACCCTTGACCTTTCGGCCCCAAATGCAATAGGCTTCTTAGGACTGCCAAGGACAATCCACAAACCAAATTTGAAGTTCATATGTAAAGTATATCTCAAGTTATCACGCTGACAAAATTTCTATTGTTTCAGCCACTGTGACCTTGACCCTTGACCTTTCGGCCCCAAATGCAATAGGCTTCTTAGGATTACCAAGAACAATACACAAACCAAATTTGAAGTTCATATGTAAAGTATTTCTCAAGTTATCGCGCTGACAAAATTTCTTTTGTTTTAGCCACTGTGAACTTGACCCTTGACCTTTTGGCCCCAAATGCAATAGGCTTCTTAGGATTACCAAGAACAATCCACAAACCAAATTTGAAGTTCATATGTTAAGTATTTCTCAAGTTATCGCGCTGACAAGATTTCTATTGTTTTAGCCACTGTGAACTTGACCCTTGACCTTTTGGCCCCAAATGCAATAGGCTTCTTAGGATTACCAAGAACAATCCACAAACCAAATTTGAAGTTCATATGTTAAGTATTTCTCAAGTTATCGCGCTGACAAGATTTCTATTGTTTTAGCCACTGTGAACTTGACCCTTGACCTTTCGGCCCCAAATGCAATAGGCTTCTTAGGATTACCAAGAACAATCCACAAACCAAATTTGAAGTTCATATGTTAAGTATTTCTCAAGTTATCGCGCTGACACGATTTATCCGGACACACACACCCACACACCCACCCACACACCCATTCCAAAATTTGTATCCTTGTGGAGACATTTCTTTGTTCCCGTGTAGTAAAGTGTTCAATTTTGAAGGTGAATTTTCAAAATGCTCTTATTTTAACCAGAATAAGTTTCCTGGGCTGAAATTTGGAATTAATATCCCTTTTCTAAAACTCTTCCATTTGCGACAAATAAACATACCTTGGAAATTCCTAGTTTTTGAGTAAAACCCATATATCTATTTCGTGAAAACCTTGTGGAGACCTATTCATCTATAGAAATTGCCCTGTGGAGACCTTTACAATGTTTTGTTCACTATTGTGTGTGAGTCTCCACAAGGCAGCGAATTTGTGGTCACCCACACACCCACCCACACACCCACCCACCCACCCACCCACGGAAAGACAAGGCGGAAACAGTATGCCCCTTCGGCTTCACCGCGGGGCATAAAAATTCAATTGAAATGCATTACGGACAATCGGGACTTTAGTCAGACGGCCGACTTCAGCGATTTGACGAGTTGTACGATGTCGATTTAGCCGGAGTTTATATTGTAGTTAGAAGTCGTAAACTGTATGCTATGTAGCCAGGGATCACGCCCAAAGTCACGATACTAGCAACATTAGCAATGCTGCAAACCCGGGAAATAGCAAATGAGGATCCACAAGCTGGACGGGCACAAATAATGCCAAAATCAAATACCGTCTCAGAAGTACTTTAGTAATCATAACTTTCATGAATACCTCTATTTTTCTTTTTTCTTTTCTGTTTACCTTGAGTGTGACCAGACCAGCAGCATGGTATGTATGAGCGGAGCAAACAACCTCAGCATGTCTTTGGTCGTGTAGGAGTTGTGAAGTTTCTCAAACCAGGGAAGCAGGGTACCGAGGAAGCGAAGATTCTCGTTGGTTTCGGCCAAGGCCTAAAAAGAGAAGACAGCATTTGAACATATATGAGTAGAAAATAGATGACTACTGAATATATCAAAATGTGAGAAATTCCATTGTCATATGTAATATATTCCCACATTGCTTAGAATTAATAGAGACACAAAACCGCTCGGCAAGATAAATGAAAAATGAACCAGCCCGTCATTTTGTTAGTTGGGCTCACAAACATGATTATTTCTTGGCAAAATTAGTTCCAATTAAAAAGCGTTGCCATTATTTGAAACATAGCAGAAATTTTGTTCAGGGTTGATACAAGAGTTAGAAATTGTTTTGCTCAATTTTCTGATCTTTCAAAATTCCACTTTCCCAGTTAACCCATTTAGCCCTGTACCGCCCCAAACCGCCCTGCCTGGGACTCCCTGTGCTGCCCAAAACGGCCCAAGTGCCCTATGGTTTTATGGCTTCATCGGTGAATAAATACAATGTAATACAATGTAGTACATGAGCTAATTGGTTAAAGGAAATGTACATCATTGGCTTTTGCTGTAATTTTCAGAAATGAACTAGTTGAAGGGTTAGTATAATAGCTCAAAAAACACTGACATGTTTGAAGTTTTGTGTTCGAAAGTGCTGGAAAAACTAAGAAAAACAAAAATGTTCAAGTAGTCTGGTTCCTTGACTCCACTAAAGATAAAATGGATCAATTTATAGATGCTGAAAAATTGTAAGGTAAGGGAACCAGTCTAGCTGGCCTGCACCTGTTCATGAACATGTAACCAATAGCAAACAAAATTTGGACTGAAAAAAAAGTAAATTTGGAGCAGTATATAGTTAAAAATAGTTAGGTTTTCCCAACGGTGGTTGGCCGACCACCATTGGCAATGTATACAAAAATATTATTTTCTTGAAAATGACTTCACACCAGGTGCCATAATTTTACAGGATGCCTTAGACTGTCATTTACCAATATCCTAGTAAAGTATTTGGTAAAAAATTTGGTAGTTTTATTTTTCGATGTTTGCAAATGTTGTATATTCTCTTTAAATCTGTTTTCTGCAAACAATATATGGCTGACCAACCTGTGCAATGTCTTTGCGGACGTTGTGGAAGGAGTGTGAGTAGGTGCTATTGGCCTCGTCCAGGTTCAGTAGTATGTCGCTGGCTACCGGCGACTCTAGCTGGGAAACGATGGACTGGAGCTGGATCTGACGAGCTTGCCACATGGTCACCTCGTCTAGGGGTAAAGGTCGTAGGCCAAAGCATTGTCGTAGGTCACTCAGCGGCTCGTGCTTCAAAAGCAGCTGTGAAACAAGCAAAGAGGTTCATTTTTTTTTCAGAGATGAAACTGGCCTTGGCCAAAAAAAAATTTGAAATTGAACTTGGGTCCGAGCTGCCACAGCATCGCGCAGTGCAGTGCATCAACGTGGGACCCAGTGAATTTTTTCTATGTCACAGGTCAGAATTTAACTTTTTGTCCAGCCGGAAAAGGTTCTGATTTTTTCGATGCCATAGGTCAGTATTTAACCTTTTCTCCAGCCGGAAAAGGATCGGATCAGTGTTGGCCTAGGTGTGTTTCTACCGTAGAATCACTCCATTCATGAAAGAGATTAAAACTACTACTTGTACACTTTTAAAATTTGTATGTGCACTTTTCATCAACTTTCATGAACTTGTTTTGGAAATGATAATGAAAAAAAAATAATAATTTGTGGACAAATCTTTAAATAATCATTTTTGTGGGATCGTTAAAAAATCTGAAACTTCATTGGAAAAGTTAAAAAAAATCTGATTTCAGATTAAAATTTGAAAAGTTTCATCTCTGTTTGTTTCAGTGAGTGTCCCATTAATCCCTGTACCGCCACAAACCACCCTGCCTATTACTCCCTGTGCACAGAACCCATCCCTGTGCAAAGTACAACAGGAGCTAAAGATTTAAGGGCGGTGCTTCCAACTTGAGTCTGGGCCAAAAACTGAAGCACACATGTATTGGCATATCCTTAGGGTTCTATATTGCAAATGTCGTTTTTAACTTTTTGAATTTGATTTACATACTGAGATGTGTTTACGATGCAGATCTGAGGTCGGCGTTTATCTCCGGTTTCAGTAGCATGAAATGACTGAGACTATTTCTACTCCCCCTGGATGGGATGCTAGTCCATCGCAGGTTACTCCCCAGCTAATGCCGGTACCCATTTATACTCCTGGGTGGAGAGGGGCAAGTGGGGGTGAAGTGGCTTGCCCAAGGACACAACATAAAACCAGCAGCTGGATTCGAACCCCTGACCCTCTGATCATGAGTCACGAACCCTAACCACTAGGCCACACTTCCCCGATTTGAGGACTGAGGTATTATTGTTATTAATAATCATTTCTGGCAATGACAAGGATTCCTCAAAAGCGCCCTAAGGCACTATAGCTCGCAAGCCTGAAGAAACCTGAAGAGAGAAGACAGTGAGAAGAAATTACAGTTTTAGAGGCGTAGGAAAACCCCAGGAGAATATTCTGGGAAAACCCCACGGAATCAGGTAGGGACTGAAAACCAATCCACATGCTGGCCCAGGCAGGAATCGAACCCAGGTCGCAGTTCTGGAAGGCGAAGGAAGTGCCACTATCGATAAGGCCAAAAAAAAAATATATTCGGTCTCTGGTCAGACCAAAGTTCCGGAATTGATGCGGCCACGCGGCTTCTTTTTTTTTTTTTGCTTTTTTTTTTTTTCTTCAAGCTTGGATTGTACAGACAAGGTGGGTACTATCATGGAGCTATAAAAAGTACTATTTTGCTTTTTTGGTGTCCTCATGTACATTGGTGTCCTCCAAAATTTGCCTTGGTGCTTTCGATCATTTGCCTTGGTGCAATTTCCCATTCCTTGGTGCTCTTTGGTAAAAAAAAATTGAGGAGGTGCGGAAATAGAGGGCGCTGTTGGAGCTACCGCGGAACATTTTGGAAAAAAAAAAGATCGACGCGCATGATTAAAATCGACACGCGCGCTGACCAGAGACCGACTTATTTTTTTTTTTGGCCTAACACTATCTATTCATAAACTGCATGTATCCACTAGCTCTAGACAAAAGACTTTGACACAGCCTAAGACTGTCAATCGACTGACCTTTATTTGTTTGATCCAGCCAATGACAGAGGATTCCAGTACATGGATGACAGCTGTTCTCCTTGTAGGTAAGGCAGCAGCCTCCGCTAGGACCTCAATGGATGGGAGGGGTAAGATGATATCACCCTGGTTGGGATGGGAAGAGATGGGTCACGATGAGTTAGGTTTAGGTATCGTTTCGGTTTGCGGTAACACCATGTGGTAATAACTACTGCTTAGAAGATATTAGTTCTGAAAAGAACTTGTCCTGCTTATTATCAACTTTTGTTAAGTAGTTTTTTTTGTTCTGATAAGAACAGTCCTGCTTTAAGTTCTAAAAGAACTTGTCTTTGGTCTCAACGTTTCGACTAGCCTGCTCTAGTCATCGTCAGGAGACTTAAGAGAGTTGGAGATGCTACTCCTTAAGTAGGCTGTGTTAGGATTGGAAGTGCTTGTATTGGTGGATTCTGATTGGTTGTCTGTTGGGCATTGTGTTAGAGTGGGTTGCCCTGCGCGCTCGAGTGTGTCAGTTGGCTGTGAGCCCTAGGCATTGTGTTGAACTGCGATGCCCGCTGAGTGTCCTGCTCGCTCAGGTGTGTCAGTTGTTAGGTTTGAGTTAGGTTTATTCAAAATACTTGAGCAGATATGCCAGAAAAAAATTGACATGATCGCAATTCACCATACACATTCACATCACAATGCCATGCAAGTGTTGAAAGGCTGAGTATACTCTTTGTAATGCATGCGAACATGTATTTAGTGAAAAAGTTCTCTCATGTTTCATTTTTATTCAGTTTCAAGACGTTTCCTTACGGGGACAAAAAGGGGAGAAACAATTCTTAATCAGCCAAAGAAAACAGAAAACTAGTAGTTTTTTCACATTTATAATAAACATTATGTTTACCGATAGGCAAAGATTAGGGTATTACCTCAACATGACCTTCAGTGACCTCCACATTTCCCATCATCCTGTGCAGTATGTCCATCAGCTTATCAGCGCTGACTCCTCCGTATGTCATCAAGCCATCTGTGCACAAGAGGGGCAGGTAAACCTAGCGGGGAGAGTGGTTTCACAAAGAAAGTTAGTTTCACAGCTGTTGAGGGAAACAGAGGTTACATTCAAACACTGTGGCCCGGTGTCACATGAAATTTGGACTCCTATGAAATCTGGAAGTCTTTTACCTCATATGGACTGTAACCCTCACAACTGACCTTTCACTGTCCCAATTATCTTCACTTGGGCATTTAGTGGAGTGTCATGGCCTAGCAGTTAAGAGAACCGGACTCATGCTCTGGTGTTTCAGAGGCAACAGTGGCGTGGGTTCGAGCCCGGGCCCGGACACTTGTGCCCTTGAGCAAGGCACTTAACCATTATTGCTTCGTCCTTCGGATGGGACGTAAAGCCGTAGGTCCCGTGTGTTGTGTAATGCACGTTAAAGAACCCAGTAACACTTATCGCTAAGACAAGGGGTTTGCCCCGGTGTTTCTGGCAGTGGCTGCAATATGCGCCGCAGCACCTTGTAACCCTTAAAGGTGCTACATAATGGGTCTCATATCTCTCATATTGAGGGCCTCCATGGAAAGCAGTGCCCTGCACTGATCGGAGTTACCCTCACTAAAGATGACGTAAATAAAATAAAATAAATAAATAAAAATGAGAAATATAACCCAAAATTGCACCTAAACCTGTCTCGAGAGAGAGGGAAACCTTGTGTGGACCTGGCTTAGTCCACAGAAAGTTCACACAACCTCCACTGCATGGAAGTGTTTTGTTTTCAGGTGTTTCAACCTCCACACAAAAGTGGGAATATTTGAACACCATAGCCTTTCAGTCAGTCAATGGACACAACTGGCACAGATGGAACAACACACACATACGCCAAACTAGGGAAAACCTTTCTGAGTCACTGTCAAATTCCCTGAGTTTTCCCCAATTGTTGGTGTTTTTTGTCCAATCCTTGTGAGTTTCCCCTGACTGGAAACTCATTTTCAGGGTTTTCCTTGATTTCCAGAATGGCTGGGAACCCTAATTTATTCATAAGATGGAATTTTGCGTCGGGATGCTATAAATCAAATTAGGTTTTGCCCTTCACCGACGTTTAAACACTGTATACTCAGTGTGTTACCTCCCGAGTGAAACTACGACCTCCTGCTTTCTAGTGCAGATGTCTTACCACTCGACCACCGAGCTATTGATCGGTTGGCTGGTCCCCTAATTTAGGGAAACAAAATCCAAAACCCATTCTTGTACCAAGGACTATAGAATTAGATGATTGAAGACAAAACCCGAAACTGAAACTTTGCATACCTCTTTTGCCAGCAGATCCAGCTGTGTCAGGGCAGTAGTGTCGCAGTCCGTGTATACCACATCTGTCTTGATGTTCTCTTTCGTCAGCTTGGAGGCTTGATTTGTCTTGAGAAAGAAGACAGCCTTGGTGCGCACCCCTGTGGGGGGAGACAGGGAAGCCACCAGGGTGTTCTTGGGCTCTCGGGTGAAGACAAAGAGGCGACGGACGTCTTCATTGTTGCAAAACTCCAGAAAGGCGTGGCTGTGCGAGACAGAAAAAGAAGTCAATTCAAGGGCAATATACAGGGTGGTGCTTTTCTGGAGAAGCCATGCGAATCAACACGGTTTTGTGCATTCGAGATGCATCGTTGTGATGGCCATTTATATTTCCGTGTTGGTTTTGTCATCTGGGCAATTCCACGGTAACGGAAGGACGTTTTCACTCATTAAACAAAATTTCAAATGTGTGTATCACAGACACTGTTCATAGTTACAGTAAACAAATGTCACAATTGTATTGCTATAATGCTACTTTCATTTTCCACACTTTTGGGGGGCATGAATGCCTCCCGTTTATGAATTATGAATATTAATGAGGTCGGTAACGGAAGGACGGTAAAACGGACAAGGGTTTTCCAACTTACTCGCGTTTTGCGTAAACTCTGTGAATTTTATGGGGCAATTATATTTTAAAGGTAGGAAATGGAATCCCTGAAGCTTTATCTATACTATACCGCCTTTCATTTGACTTTAAGTGTTTCGGTAATATAATTACAACGTTTTAAGCAGATTATAATTTGGTAACGGAAGGACGGTAACGGAAGGACAAAAGGTTTACTCAATTATAGCATGAACAAAATGTGAATTTACACTAATTATACAAGTGAAACAAATTGCTGAAATGTGTAACTGAATGTGAAATCAACAATATGCAGACCTGGCATAAATAATTATACCCAAGAAACTATTGAGATAAAGATAAAAGCCTGCTAATTAATGATAACAAAAGAAAAACGAAAACAACCCAAAACACATAATTCACGAACACAGGACTACTACAGAAATAGACTTCAAACCCATCACCTCAATCCTTAAAAGTTGAAATACACAGTATTTGAACTCTTGAGTATATTGGTTACATGTTCACCAACAACTTTTAATAATAATACCAGTAGGTTCAAAGGTTTACCTAAAGGGTGGGGGGGCGACCAGCCTACATGTACATTTAAGGTAAAAACATCTACCGATAGAACTGATGGCTTCAGTTAGGTGTTGCTTTTAATTGAACTCTAAAATCAATGTTTGAAATCAAATTACAATGATTTAGAGTAGTAACAGTTAATTTTTAAACATCCAAACTGAAATTGTTAACTTGGGCATAATTTGTCAAAGATTGCACCTCACATGTCTTACACATGTAAATTGAATGAAAGTGCCCCAAAGTACCGGTACTTTCTGCCATCTCATTTTTGACTTAATTTGCTTCTGGAATGGCTTCACAGAATTCGTATCTTTCTCTATTGTCCATGAATGCTGATGGCAGCAACTTTATGATTTGATTTTCTGCAACAACTCCATACATGTACAAGTACTGGTACATCGGCATATATGTACATGTACATTGTACATGTTGTACATGCCTGTGCCTTCCTTTGTAATAAACACCTTGCCCTGCTTATCCCGCTTTTGTGAAGGTGGGTCACATGAATGTCCTTTCAATGCTCATTATACATGCATGTATTTGCAGTGATTTTCATTTTTCAAACATGAGCGCAAATGTCGTAACATTTGATAAAAATACGATTTGTCCTTCCGTTACCGTCCTTCCGTTACCAATTTGGTAACGGAAGGACGTGATTTAATTAATTGTAATTAAAAAACGAGAAGTACAGCAGTGTCAGTTATAATGTCATATTGAAGGCCTACCTAAACTTGCTTTGCACAATAACTTTCAATGCATTCATACTGCAAGTTTTAAAAATAAATTAAAAATATGTATTTTTTCAGTAACGGAAGGACATTTTCGAAGGCTGAAATATTAGAAGTCACTGAAGCGAAACAAATTACGCAAAATGCTAAAAACAAGTTTTAGTCGGTTTTTCAAGACCAATACATTCTCATGACAGAAACTGATGGCATTAGTACATATTTTTGTGTGTCTATTGGTAGAATACTTTCATATCACTATTAATCACATTTTTAGGCTTAAAACAGGATTATTACATAATCCTATTTTTTGGTACCGAAATGTATAAAAAATAAAATTCCGACTTCAAATCTTGAAAATATAGACTTTTACCTTTCATTTGATGCCAAATTTGTTTAAGTCACATGTATTTGAATTTTTTGGTGTCATGTCCACTTTGGTGTGGAATTGCCCATCTTCATCCTCATTTTACTCCAAAACTTCCCTCAAAAACAAATCAAACTCCCCACCCGGAACTACACAATCGTCCATGTTTTGAGTCACTTGTTCCAAGACAAGCATAGTGACCGTTTTAGCCGATTTTTGGCTAACTTTGACAGATTTTTTGTTAAAAACACGAGTTTGACAGAAAATTTGACAGAATGGATTTTTTTGGGCAGATTTCTGGCAGAATTCTGCAAAAATGGTTATTTGACAGATAAACATAGGAAATTGGAAAAAAGGTAGATTTGTTTAAAAAAGCCAAAATCTTAAATAAGCTTAAATCGTTTCAAACAATCGCTTGCAAAATAGGACAGGTTGCCTTGTCTATGTGCTGAGGTTCACTGGGAATCGGATTTCGTCGTGACGCAACCAGTCGTTTGACTGAAATTGACGCAATTTCATAACACCTTCATATGACTATAGATTGTTTATAATGTAATTTGAACCTTAATTAAGGCAATATTACAACATTTGCATTTGATTTTAAGTGTTTATAGTGTATTTCCAGTAATTCATGGGAATTTGGCAGATTTTTGATAAATCTGACAGATTTTTGATAAATCTGACAGATTTTTGATAAATCTGACAGATTTTTGATAAATCTGACAGATTTTTGAAGTGCATATATAGCAGAATTTGGCCATGATGTTACAGTCACCCTGAAGACAAGCCACATTAAGTTTTGGAGTCCAAGTTAAAGCCTTAAAACAATAATGAACAGTTACACAGGAAAAAGGGATAAAACTGACCGGTTTTCATCACTGGCAAAGAGTGCCTTGAGGTCGTCATTGCGAGGCCTCAGGCTGGACGTGATACGTGTCTCCAGGAATCGTAATCTCTCGTCTACTTCCATACTGCGGGCCAGTGAGCAGCTCACTTCTTTAGCAGGCTATTCAGCTGACTTAAGATTTGGCATTTCTGAAAAGCAAAGAACAAATATAACTGTTAAACTTAAAGTGTTATTATTCTCTTATATGGTGGGGTTATTAATTGGTGGAAGCATATAATGACGGCGTTATTTGGAGTGTGCAAACTGCTTAGCATTTACCCACTCTCGCTCTGAATAATGCCATCATGTTCATTCGTTCTTCTCAGTGATCCGTGGTTTTGGAGGTGTTTTTTTTAAAGGAAATGAAGTCTGAAAAAAACGTTCTGTTGATAGTCTGGTTCTGAGAGTCAAGGATCCTGACATCGAATATTGACGGGTCTGACTGTCGAAACGATAGCCACTGCGTTGAAATAAAAATGTGTTTCACGTCTGACCACTTTTTTCTCCAAATTCCAACCTTCTTTGACCATGGTGACGGGTTGGGCTTTACCAGTCGTTAGACCTATCAAGTATCATGTCTATCAAAATAAAGTTTTATGTAGGACTAACAATACTACAGACCAAATTAGTATAAACAGACCAAACAAATTATCCAAATCCTAAATAAATAAGGAACTTAGGAAGTGTATATTTAGCTGGCTTTCTTTCAGTAAACTATATTTAGCCGGCTAGATTGTACAGCGCCCTCTTTGACACGTATGCATGTACGAGTAGGCCTACAATATATAAAGTATTGAATTACCACTATCGTTTGTGCAGCACCTGTGGCCGAGTGGATAACGTGTGTATATCATGAGTGAGAGATCAACAAATGATAACCCCGGTTCAACTCCCCAGGGTTGCCAACTTTGAGTAAGAGGTATTAGAGTGAGAATTTGGTGATGGAGCTTGATCAAAACTAATCATGCTAATGTGAGCGCGAAGCCCTAATGGCGTAAGGGTCGAGCGCGAAGCCCTATAATAGTAATGGCTCTGTGGTGCGATCTATTAAGGCAATTTCTAACCACTTTGACAATTTTCGTCATTTAAACATCATTATTGGAATATTGAGTTTAGAGTCAATTATTTATTTACTTTTTTTTGTGCTTGAGAAATCCTGTGTGACGTGAGAGCATGAGAATTACATGAGATTCTTGAGTCTTATGCTCAATATATGAGAATTGGCAGGCCCGACTCCCGGCTAGTGACATTAAAAAAAAAATTAGAATAGGCCTAAGGCTAAGCCTATACATGTTTAATAAGGCCTATTTTACATGTTTTAAATTGACTCCAACATTTAATTAGAGTTTTACATTTTCTTTTTTTAAGGGGAACTGAAAGTCCAAAATTGTAAAATGGTCTGATTCCTGTCTCGTGAATACGAAGTCACAAAGACATGAAAGACAGTGTGTGTCTGCGGAACCAGACTAAGATTTGTCAGGGTAAACATTAATTTTTAAGTCCCCAAAAAAGTAAAGTTTTATGTGTAAGAATAGGCCCTACTAGTACTACAGACCAAAAAATGAATCCAAATAAATTTAAAAAATAAAAATCATAAAAAAAGTTTAAACAAACTTGATATGTTTGATACCCAATCGTCAACTAGGCGTTCTGCTGTATTTGCCAATGACAGGTACCAGACTAAGTAAGTCTTTCTGCTCAACAGATGAGCGGACACCGTCGTGAAAACACAAATGATTATGGGAATATGGGGTTCGATCATCAACAGTTACACATACGACCAAATTTAACAATCCATTACCTCTTTATTTCGTTCAATCGATCAATTTGTACCTCATCCGTTTAAGTATTCCAATAATTACAAGGTTTTTCTCAAGTTTTGTAACTTTCCGATGCTCCAAAAACCGCCATGTTGTTGATTTCACGGTTGCCAGTGACACTAATTTGCATATGTAATTTGATTCAATTAGTCCAACATAATAAAAACAAAACAATCAAATATTAGTTTATTTTTTATTTTATTGATCAAATTATATCTAAATAACTATATTTTAATAAAAATATATTATTATAGGTACCTTTGTTTAAATCTGTGCTAAAAATAGAATATACACTCATACAATATTGAAATATATTTTGAGTGAGGTTGTTATTGGAGTAGGGAATTCACCACAAACAAATATACAAACTTAAAAATGGCGGCGCGCACGAAAAAAAATAAATAATGAAAATTTGTGGTGAAAGATGTGACTGTTATTGAGAAACTATATAATATGGATACGCTTTTCTTTAAAACAAGGCAAGGGTAAGAGTATTTGTAGATGCTTCAACTATTGTAATCCTAAAAGCAACATTATCCAGGTTTCCAAAACGAAAATTCGGTCGCTGAATAAAAACCAATAAAACACTGCGCCAGTGTAGCTGGAGTTACCCAGCCCTGAGTTTTATCATTGGGTTGTCTATTAGGGCTGGAGCGCATTTTTCTCAAAACTTGTAGTATTTGCAAAAAAAAATTGGAAAATGTTCAATTTTGTCCCCGTTACACATTAATTGCAACTGCAACTCACCCCAAACTTGCCTGGAATAACCATTACACAGGTCCTTGAAGTAAAAAACGATCCACGATGAAGATTCAGCCTACAATTGCAGTGAAAACAGGAGGAATAACCGCTAACTTGACAACCTTGCTGGATTGGCCAGGACCGCTATTGGTTTGTGCACAAACAAATTGTGTACAATGAATGGCGGTCGATTAACAGGCACAGAGAGCGATCGCTGTCAACTAATCGTTTTGCCGGCTGCGCTGGCTGTTGGCGCGTGACGTCACGCGGAAGCGTAACACCCGATGACTGTTTCATGCACTAGTATAAGGTTTACCACTCGCATCACAGCTTTGGTACTGGAACCGCAACCAATAGTGCATGAAACAGTCATCGGGTGTTACGCTTCCGCGTGACGTCACGCGCCAACAGCCAGCGCAGCCGGCAAAACGATTAGTTGACAGCGATCGCTCTCTGTGCCTGTTAATCGACCGCCATTCATTGTACACAATTTGTTTGTGCACAAACCAATAGCGGTCCTGGCCAATCCAGCAAGGTTGTCAAGTTAGCGGTTATTCCTCCTGTTTTCACTGCAATTGTAGGCTGAATCTTCATCGTGGATCGTTTTTTACTTCAAGGACCTGTGTAATGGTTATTCCAGGCAAGTTTGGGGTGAGTTGCCATGGTTGCAGTTGCAATTAATGTGTAACGGGGACAAAATTGAACATTTTCCAATTTTTTTTTGCAAATACTACAAGTTTTGAGAAAAATGCGCTCCAGCCCTAATAGACAACCCAATGATAAAACTCAGGGCTGGGTAACTCCAGCTAGCGCCAGTGGCGGCAGTGCGCGTTTAATATTGTCGAGCGCAATTTGAGTCCCCCCGCGCAAGTTTAAACTTGCGCACGCAAGTTTAAACTTGCGCGAGGGACTCCCGAAGCACGCAAATTACACCGCGCCATTTTAATTTGCGTGCGCACGTTACAACTTGCGCAAACATGGCAAAGGCGATCGCAATTCGAGAACCTTGCGGGCGGGATTTTCGTTGATGGAGAAAAATAAATGTTCGAAACACAACTTCACAAGTACATGGAGAAATAAATTAATAAATAATGGAATAAATTAATGAACAAAGAAATAAATAAAAAGTGGAATTCGATTAGCGTCAACATGGTCAATGAAAACATTGAGATTTAGCAGTGCTTACAAACATGTATCAGAGAAGTTTTTAGGGGGCGGGGGCGGGAAGGGGACCAGGCAAGCAATCAGTAAGCACGGTGATTGCTTGGAGAGAGTACTGAAGTTGTTCGAAAATGGAGAAAAGCTTCAAGGTTTTTTGCCTTGCATATAGTAAAACTAATTAGCATTTTATTTATATTCTTAAATGTAAATAAATCATAATTTCCTAGGGGTAACCCGTTGTTAACGTAAAAGAATGATTATCATCCCTTCAATTGTTCAAAATTTTTGACGTTATAGTAATCATTTACATTATTTTTTAAATGCTTTAAATTATATTACATGTACTGTACAATTATTCTTTAAAAAAATACTAATTTTATTAATTTAGCAATTTAATAATTAATTGAATTTTTTTTAATACTTTGCATAACATTTCGAGCGCTGTGTAGGCCTACACTTCAAAAATGCATAATTTGAAAAAAAAATTAATGAACTCATTACTAGTTTAATTAATTAATTAAATTTATTACTTTAAACAATTATTTTACTTGCAGGCTCAATAATTCATACTAATGTTTACATGCTTTAACTTTAAAACGCTATGCATATAAAATGGTAAAAAAAAATTAAAAGTAAATACATTTATTAATGATTTAATTAATTAATTTAATTTATTAATTTAATTAATAAATTCGAATTATTGAATAAATATGTTGCTTATTTAACAAAAATCCTAATGAGCCATAAACAATAATACACATCATGAAAGTTGCCAAAATTGCTCATAACTCATTTTAATAACTGTAAAATTATCACTGGTTTTGTCAGTTTGTTAATTAATTGTTCGGTATGCACCATTGATTGGCAATTGAAAACGAACAAACCTCTAAATTGATTTAAAAATTAATGCATTGTACTTTTTAAACTATTTTTTTAGGTCAAATCCCTTTGAAGATGAGCCTCTGCCAGCAGCCCACTACCATCCTAGTCTACAGAAACACATTTCAGATACTGAGAAAAAGGTAACAATGTCTAATTCTATCATTATTTTCACATTAAAAGTGTACAGGTGCCTTGATTGAGTGAAGCGATGAATGATAAGGGGCCAGATGGGCCTGCAGTTGCACAGAATTATAATAATGTGTATTTACAAAGCGCACGTATCCACCAGTATTGGTGTTCAAGGCGCTATATTATTATTACCCTGCTCATTTGGTCAATGAAACATTCCACAGACAATCTCAACTCCTGGAAACATCAACCTGTTAAAACCACTTACGTTTCAGGTGTACATTCTGTTAACGGCAAAATATTTGAAGCGTAAAATAGATAAAATGTAATGCATATATAGCGCTTTCCATCCTTTCAACAATCTAAAGCGCTTTACAATTATTCCCCCGTTCATCAGGCCATGAGACCACACGGCAGCCGATATCAGCGCTCAATCGGTCCTCTACCCTCACAGGTACCCATTCATACTCCTGGGTGGAGAGAGGCATTGTAGTTAAGTGTCTTAAGTGCTAAGTGTACAAGGACTCAAACACCAACTTCCTGGCAGGGTTCGAACCCACGTACCATCGTACATGAGTCAAACACCGTAACCACTGGACCATGGCGTTCTATCAAGAAACTGGCCATGTTAACATGGTTAAGTTTCAGACATGTCCAGGTGACTGACAGGCCAGTTTCTTGGAAGGCCTACGTTTCAATTATTTTGAGGTGAACAGGATGTTTGAAACATAAGTGGCTTTGACAATTTGCTTAAAATGTCTAAAACATAATGGCCATTGTTCACGTTTCAGACTTTTCGTTTGGAACAAGAGCTTTTCAGACATTTCTGATTCATAGTGCCTGTGAATTGACTTGTGATTTACTTTTGACCCAACTTGTGGTGTACTTGTGATGAACTGGACTATGAAAACACTGGAACAAATATGCATGTTGTCAACTTCGTAAAAAAAAAAGTCTCACCAAAATCTTGTCGCCCGTTTCAAGAAGATTTCAGCATAACTATCAATTTCACATTTTGCCTGAATTTTCTAAATTAAATGATTAAACGTTGTTTTATTACTCTTAAATATAACTCTTATGTACTCAATGCATGTTTAAATTTTAAAGAAAAGAGTAACCAAATGTCTCACTGAATTTGTCTTGCAGATAAACCTAAGCCCAGAGAGATTGTCCAAGCATGATGTCATCGGGTCATCAGCCTCTCAAGGAAAAGATAAACCCTTTGAAAAACCCAGCCCAGCGGAGAGAGAATTCCTTGCGAGGGCCAACACCATGTTAGCCAAGGAGCTGCCCACCCATGACACCCCTAGCCCTGGTAACGCCTCCTCCAAATTTGACGAGTCTTGGCCCACCAGTGAGCGGCCGTCGACCATTGAGAGCCCTGGAGAGTACAGACCACCTTCTCAAGGGACGACTGTATCTTTGAGAAGCACAGCACGTGAAGGTAACTTGGAAGATTTCACTCTCATACCCGACCACTTATGGTCAGAAATCGGGTAGGAGAAATTGTAAATTTCAAAATGTGGTTCTCCAATCGTTTTTTTTTTTTTTCCATTCTATAACATATCTGGTTCGTAAGTGTGAGGTCATCTCAACTTATCACACTTACTGCACGCGGTGTAGCATTGCGCTAGGAACCGGAAGTTTACGCAACTTGAATGTTTATCCGATGGGCGCTTGCTCGTGTACGATAAAGTCACTTACAAACTGGTAATGATTTCAGTGGAAGTTCCCATGAATTTCACAACTAGGGATGTAGTCGAGTCCTTCAGAAGTCCATTCACAAGTCCAGTCACAAGTAAGAGTGGATGAACAACAACAAAGGAATGCCTTTGTCAAAGCTCGTTTGAATAGTTTGTGAGCTGAATTGGGACTGGAGGACTTGTGATGGACTTGCGATGGACTCGACTATACATCCCTGCTAACAGCCACACCAACAAAAGTGACCATTGAGGTACTACAAGGACCTCCACCAAGTGGGTTTCAATGCGAGACTCTTAAAGCTAATCACAACCAAAAGATTTCACTGATAGTATTTTAGCAACCTGCTTTGACGTTTTAATGATATATTAATGTACTGAACAGAGCCATGAAACTTGGTGCTGGGATTTCAAATCTATCATTTTGTAAAATAAAATTATCTGCATGGTGTCTTTCAAAAAGTTTACGAAAGTATTTTTCAGTCATGCACAATTTTTCAGCACAGCCTTTTGATATTTTATCTCAAGAACCAGGAGCCACAGTGAAAACACAGCTGTCCGAGTCCAGTGCTTCTACATCAGGGACTGACTACCTAGCCCAGTGGAGAAATAGGTACAACAAGGGAGGGAGGCAGCCGCAACAAAAGCAACCAGCTGAGGGGTCAACTCTTGCCAAGTGAGTCATGGCCGTTTGCTTCTCATTCTCTGCTAAAGGCCACATCCTTATTACTCGGCTATGGCTGCAAATAACACACAGGTCTATGGAAGTGGCTGCAGCCGCTTCCATAAACATGCACATAATTTTCAGCCATAGCCATGTCATACTGACACAGCCTAACTAGTCATATTTTGACCAAAATGAGGGCGCTGTACTGCCGCCATTATCTAGGTACAAACAGTAGAAATATTAAACCTTAAAGATTGAAAAAGAATATAATTTTGTGTTTGTTCCCCCAATATGAAGTCTTTCCAGCACCCTAAAAAAAATATGGCCTATTTCAGCAGCGACATGATACCTTTCAACTTTATACCTTTTGTATGTATTTGATTGAATTCTTTTTGGTAATAAAAATCAAGTGATACTCAGAGTACACAGGCAATGAAGTTGTAAAGGCTAACAAAATCTTGAGAAAGAAGATGTTGAAGAAATGACCAGTTTTGGAGGTTGGTAGAAAAAAAACAGACGAGTATTCCATGGAACAAAAACAAATCACCATGTACCACAGAAGGCTCTGGAAGGCCTAGATGGGAATCAAACCTAGGTTACAGAGAGTTGGAAGGCAGGGAACGCACCATTGCACAAACCTCACTCACTTATCTTTTACCTTTTTTTTTTTGTGTTCAGATACATTCAGCGCTTCCGCTACAGCGAACCAAGAAGCCGTCTGGAACGGGAACGGGAAAAACAGGCAGCAAGAGGCAATGACTTCTGGTGGCTGGCCCCACCCTCCCGCACCTCAACCCCGTCAGAGGACGACGCAAGAACCCCACCCCAACTCCCCACGCAAGGGGTGGGGACTCGCAGAAGGGGAAGGGGTGGTCTGGTGAGTCCAGGCAGGAGGGATTCAGCTGGGAGTTACGGGAGGAGTCTGTCATCCGTTTCACCCTCCGAGAGGATGGACACGGACACGGACGACCTGCAGACAAGAGCAGAAAGGCTCCTTGAAAGAAGGTGGGCATATCTTAAGTAACGCCAATATATGCGACTAGCTCTTACAAAACTAGGATCTAAAATAAAACAGGAGGCGATGTCTGGAAATTGGGCATGAACTGTATTTTACATACCTACATGTGTAACTGAGATGCGGCACAGATTTCAGACACAGATTTTTGTTAGGCCTATTTTCCGATTGTTTTTCCCATAAGCCGGTCTCATCTCTGTAGGCTGGCCCTCTGGGACCAGCACAAAGGATAGAAGTCATCATTCAAATCCAGATCACAAATGACTTGTTATGCTGTGATGTTAACCTCTTTCAGTGAATCGACAATACTAAGTGAGCCTGCTGTCAGCTCTAATGGAGTCGGGGTGTCATCGACCACAGCAAACTATCAGGAACCAGACTACTTTATCGGGGACGTGCCGAGATCCGCAGCCCAGACGCGGAGCTTCCAGATGCCTCCCCCAATGGGGGAGGGGCAATTGCCAGGAAAGAAGGCGGGGCTTCGTCCGGAGGATGACATCCTGCATCAGTGGAGGGTAAGGAGGCGATTGGAGGAAGCGCGGAGGCAGACCGTCAGGAGGGGACCGTTGACTGATGCATCAAGAGGCGCCAGCTTGGACGTGAGTTTTTGTCAGTAGCCTGGTTTTGTGCTTAACCCTCCTATGCAAACATGCATTCTGTGCCAAGTAGTCCTTCCAGTCAAACTCAAACAAGTGTCTCAAACAGTTAAGAATTCCCAGCGTGCGTAAAGCACGATTGACGGCCTGGAACTGTTTAACTCTTTCGCTACGGCGAGCCGCTGACAGCGGCACACAAAAATTGTACATGTCGTACGGCAAGCCGCTGGCAGTGGCTCGGTGACTTTGCTGTGAATAAACGGGGTATCCCCATGACGTGTGCCTTATCTACATAATTTATATCGTATAACCTCTGACCCTAGTTTGAGCCGCTGCCAGCGGCTCTCCGTCTGGCCGGGGTCTGCTGCAGGTTATTGTGAGCAGTTTGTTTACAGAGATACATTTAAAGATGGCGGCGTCCACATCGACACACGGCGGAATTTCCTGCGGTTTATTACGTCCAAACGGGGGAAAATCGGTAAATTAAATTCCGAAGCGAAAGAGTTAAGTAAATTGATACAGCTACATGTATGCGTGGACTCCCGGTGAGTGGTAAAACAGCTGTGACCACAACTTGCCTGCTTTGTCTGATGACCCAGTTTGACTAGTCACAGTGCTTGCTTGACATGTGATGTGACTGCTGGTGACTAGCCTGCGTTAAAAGTATAGCAGGGGAAGTAATGCCAATTAGTGTCAGTGGAGGTATGAATTGAAATTTTCTTGGGGGGGGGTCCAAACTTCTGGTTGTATATTTAGACTGTTGTCAGATACGACCCAAGTTCAGGATTTTATCCCCAATTTGTTTTTGGACATTAAAGGGAAGGTCCCTTTTGGGTGTGGCACCCTAGAGAAACCAAGTGAAATATATACAAAGTGCTCTTGTAAAGGAATCATTCCCTTTAAATGCAAAAGAACAGTTTAGAAATTCCTTCAAGCACATCATATTCTTTGAAAAATTTGAATAATTTGAAATTTAGAAAACTCATTAGGATACTTACTGAAAGGCTTCTTAATTATTCTGCAGCCTATTTCACGAAACATTACGCAATGGCACAGCTCCACTTACACCACAATTTACTGCGTAAGTTGCTCATCATTTCATGCTGCGCAACATTTCAGTTATAATATATGTGACCTACTGTGGCAAAATGAGGAATGTCCCCCATAACCATGTTTTGAGTAATCAACACCTGAAGTTGGATACACTAGAAAAATCATGTCCAAATCAATATTTTTTTTTCATTTTTTTTGAGTAGCCAAGATATCCAAGATTAACACTGCATTTTTGTTGAAAAAATATATCCCCAAAGCTGAAAACGGAAGAACGCTTTTCACTGCCGTTGGCGGCGCACTGCATATTTATTTATTTCAAAGCCATTTTTCTCGAAATGAGGTTGACGAAGTTCGGCAGAACACTGTTGGATTTCCAGTGGCATAACTTTGGAATAAATTAAGCTACATAAATAAATTTGGTATCCTTGGAAAGCCAATGATTTGCACTTTAACATGATGCATGTAATGTAAAAAGTCAAAGGTGGGGGTTATTTCTCATTATGATATGACAGGTCACATATTTCGCGAAAGGTTCATAGTGTGCAAGTCCAAACTGTTTTTATTTCTTGAAATCTGTTGCTGGAGCCAGAGATGATGCCCAACACGCGGTACCAAAGTTTGGAGCTCCCTCGATCCCCCAACAACAACAAAAACAGGTTTAAGCTCTGAGGTTTCTTTTGTTTCTTTGCACTCTGACAAGGCTATGTTCCCTGTGTTTCGTTTAAATCACAGAAACAGACTGTTGAGGGTTCCTGTCTCAATGACTTTAGGAAACGATTGAGGCAGCACGAGCTTCTTTCACATTCCAGGCTCGATACCCTGCAGACCGAACAATCAAAGCCACTGACCAAAACAACAGGCACCAGTCCGATGCCTCAAACCATTGCAACCCAGACCAACGGTGTGCTGCCCTCTGTTGGTGAAGATGTGCCAGTCAGGGACAAGGGAACCAGGAAAACGTCTCATGATCATGTGCGCAGGGAACCAGCGGTGACCTCAAGGTCACACGTTCACGACCTCCATGATATCTATGCAAGGCCCGTACAGGCTGCGGATTACCAGTCAGGTAAAAAATATAAAGAGCGCCCTCATGCATCAGAAATGGACGAGAACGAGAGAAGGGTTGAGCCAATCATAGCAAGCCCCAGCGTACGACCAACCGCCGGTCCCATTGTTCCTCATTTGCATATGGCCTGTGACATCATACCTTGCCCCGATGATCGCAACCCAGACGAAGCATTGCATCGCAACAGTGAGCGAATCAGAAGTGACACTGCAGATGCCCCTGAGCGCCTAGCAACAGGAGTGTCAAGGGCATCGGTAACCCGGCAACAAGCATCTCTGCATCCCGCTTCTTCGGGAGGAGACCTCCCTCCTAGAGACGATGCTCAAGATCATCAGAAGCATCTCAGGGAGCAACCTGCTCCTTACTTGTCCACTATCCCAGATCTCTCCCAACCTACAAAACCAACAATCAAAAACAAAAGTGATGATGACAACAGGATTCCCCAAAGAGGACACTCCAAAGACGATTCTCCTCGACAGAGACTTGACTTTGAAGAGCAGGCAAGGCACAAAATGGGACAGCGGCTTAGAGATTCAGATGGCGAATTTGAGGGAGAGGTGGAACAGGAAATTAGAAGCGAGGGTATGCAAACTCCTCCAACTAGAGGCCGGGAAAGCGGGCGCGTCCATGCCTCATCACCCATCGGTGCAGCAGTCGGCCAGGTAGGGGCAAGATCATTTTCTAAAATCAAAATACCAGTTGGTTATTTGGGATGTATAACATTGGTTTTTGCAGTCCATCAACATAATTTGTTTATGAACACTGTATATTCAGTATTGTGTTGAGAACAAATTTCACAAGTTTCTCGGGTAGGACACGAACCCACGACCTACTTACCCGAGTTTGCCGGGTATGGCTAGTTGGTTCCAATCTGATTCAGCAGTGAGTACCACAACCAATCATAAAAACAGTGATTATTTGGAATTATTCAGTTACATGTTTGCATTTTTTTAACCTAATCCCGCTCCCCCTACCCCTACCCTTGTACTAGATTCGAATCCTGTTAAGGGTCTTCCCAAGATTTTAAATGCTTCGTCAGTCCTTGCATTAGTCTGAGAGACCTAAATTTCAGAAACGCTTTTAAACAATTTTTTGTTGTTGCAATTTTTGCCTCTCCTGCCCTCAGCAGATGTCCTCTAACATCCTTATGGCAAATTTGAGGTTATGAGTATGTTGACTATCCAACTTTACATTAATTAATCTTGAAACTTCACGAGTGAAACCAAACTTAAACCTAACCTGGCACATGTCCAACTTTTTGAAGAGGAGGACCACTTAATGGTGTAGTGAGCGGCATGTATAGAACAGAAGAGTCTCTGCGCCAGGGGGCAATGTTATGGGGCTCAGGTCAACTTGGTCCCAAGTCAACTCAATTCCAGGTCAACACAGTCCTAGGTCAACTCAGTGTCAGGTCAACTCAGTCCCAAGTCTACTCAGTTCCTGGTTCCAGGTCAACACGGTTCCAGGTCAATTCAGTCCCAGGTCAACTCGGTCCCAAGTCAACTTGATTCTAGGCTTCCAGGTCAACATTGTCGCGGGTCAACTCAGTCCCAGGTCAACTCAGTCCCAGGTCAACTCGGTCCCAAGTCAACTCGATTCTAGGGGTCCAGGTCAACATGGTTCCAGGTCAACTCAGTCCCAGGTCAACTCAGTCCCAAGTCAACTCAGTTCCAGGGTTCCAGGTCAACATGGTCGCAGGTCAACTCAGTCCCAGGTCAACTCAGTCCCAAGTCAATTCAATTCTAGGGTTCCAGGTCAACATGGTCACAGGTCAACTCGGTCCCAGGTCAACTCGGTCCCAGGTCAACTCGGTCCCAAGTCAACTCGGTTCCAGGTCAACTCGGTCCCAAGTCTACTCAGTTCCTGGTTCCAGGTCAACACGGTTCCAGGTCAACTCAGTCCCAGGGTTCCAGGTCAACATGGTCGCAGGTCAACTCGGTTCCAAGTCAACTCGGTCCCAACTCAACTCAGTTTTAGTATAAATAGAAAAATCAGGTTTAAACTGACAAATATCAGAATTAAAAAGAACTTCAAGCGCTGTCTTTTAAACAACCCAGGTCATTTCCGATCGTCTCTTCACAACACCTGATCAGTCAGTGTGGACACCCAAGTCAAGCATTGACAGCCTTCCCAGCATGCACTCCTCTATGATGTCACATACGTCTCAGAGTTCTGCTCCATTCCAAGGTGAGTGTTATAATGTATGGCTCGTACCCACAATTCACTGGTTTCTGTTCAATTGTGTTTGAGGTGCTGGATGTTTTCTGACGTTCTTTTTTTTTTGACAGAGGTTCAGCTCCTTTCAAGGTGAATTGTGCCTATTTGAATATTTTACAATAAAAAAGTGTACATATAAATAGATTCACTGTTCAAAATGCAATCACGGATTGATGCATTTTGTAACAAGGCAAATAAAAATGCATTGTATTCCACGTAAAACTAACTCATAATAATCATTTGTAAATCCCGTTCTTGACAATAAAGCACACTTCCAAAGTCTCACTGTGTTCAGGTTTAAAACCTCTATGATATTATTCATCTTTGCTGATTGTCGGATTTCCTGAAACAATTCGCCAACCTTCCGGTAATAATGAATGCTGCACGAGTAATATCTAATCACAACTGTCTTTATTACTTTATAAATTGTAGCAGTAGTCACTCACACAAGATCAGTTCTGAGGAGACTCTCAATATGAAACCAATTATACAATTGAATTAATCCCCATCATCTGATTGGTGGTTCGTTGATCACATGTCTTTGATAATTTATTTGTCCCAACCCATGGCCCAGCCACACCACAAAAATAGAAGTTCTATTCCAAGGTTAATAAAAGTTCCATTGCACGGTCACACTATGCTCTGACCAATCAGATAACGAGGATTTATTCAGCTAAACAAATAATGAATGTTTTACATTTGTGCAATGGAAAAAAGAATATTCATGAGGTGACAGATGAAAGGTTCCATTCCCCTTGGCTTCGCCTCGTGGAATGGAGCATTCCATCTGACACCTCATGAAATTATTCTTACCTTTGCACTCATAAACATTCGTTATTTGTATACTAACTAATCTTTCAAATCCGTACATAAAGGTTATGTAAACATACAATAATTTCACATTCTCTCCAAACCACAACTTTAAAATTCGCATTAAAAAATATGGTTAAGGTTCATGTATAATCCTCACCCATTAATAGTCACTTAGCAGCTCTCAGATTTGTTTTCACTATGTTTATCTTCATCTAAATGTTTATGTTTATCTTCATCAACATCAGCATTAAAGCAATTTCATCCCACTCAAGGCCCCCACCCCCCTTGAAAAAAAACGTAAATCCACTCAAAAATCCAACTTGTTGATTAAGATAACCCCCTGTGGCGTCACAATCGTTATTTCAGCACTTGTCCTATTTGTGATTGAAACGATCTGGCGGTGGGTGATCTCTGTAAGAACTTAGTTTATATTAAAGGATAGGTTACTAATCCCACGCCTAGGGCAGTTGGAAAGGGTTGCTCGGGAACGGTGCGCTGAAGGTGAAAGGGATTAGCGTGGGCCTAGTGACCCCCTCCCCTGCTCAAGCCGCTGCCAGTCAGCAGTGGGCTGCAGGGCAGTGGGAGAAGGAAAAATGTGGGATGATTGTTAGAGTTTGTGTATAGTTGTTGCTGTATTTTGTAATTCTGTGTAGCTACTTGATTTATTTAACTCCCTATCCCTTAACTTCTCAATTTCTCATACCAAGAGCAGGATATCCCCACCCCAATTTTTGAACGGTGGGGTGGGGGGGGGGGGCATTTTCGCCCTCCCCCAACCCTATTTTTGTGGTGAGAAATGTAACGTTTTGACAAGATTGCATCTAAGATGTGCAATTGTATCTTGAACCGGGCCTTCTAGTGTCATTTAGTTTCCAGCCCCCCCCCCCCCCCCTCGAATTTTCACAGGCGGGCAATTTAGGATTTTGGGTCAACCCTCCCCCCACTCACTGCCATGGATTTATGCCACTACCAGGCATCCAAACTGCGTGCCAGTGTATGCTTTTTTTAATTCTCCAAGGAAATGGTACATGTATGTTCCATTCCTCGAAAGATGTAGTTTGTGGCTAATTGTAAAAAGAACAGGGAAGGCAACTTAAACAACGAAGATCAGAATACACACAAGTTTTAATTAGGAAACAATAAATGGTTAGATTAGCAAGATGGGGAGGCGTAATGAAGAGAAATTGTTTAAAACAGACTTCTGGTGAGCCAAGTAGAGTTAGGAAGCCCCCAAAAAAACATGTTCAGCTCTGTCCATATCCTGATTTGTTGTTTAGATTAGAAAAATGACTCGACAATTTTCCATGTATGCTTTGATGGCTACACATATAGTGCCACAATGCCAAGGGGTTTTGTTCCTGTATAGTTATCTCAAAGTGTTGTGGCAGGGATGCAGTGTTTTAGGGATGTTTAGAAAAGAAAACACATCTACCATCACTAGCCAAACATCAGATTGCCGCTGGCAGCTGTTACATTTTTACCCAACTCCTGGAAGTGGCTACTTATTTATACTCATCCATTACATGTGGACGGCCGCCTGACTCGTTAGGGTCTCATGGATGCCGGCAAGTTTTGCCTGCCAGTCCTACATGATATAAAACTGTAAATTTGTTGCCATGCATTCATTCTAATCCAGCATCCACAGGGTGCAAAGTTCATAGAGCAGCACAAATACAGTGAAATCTCGATAAGTCAAACCTCAAGGGAACAGGTTCAAAATTTGACATAGGCAGAGTTTTGAGCTAAGCAGGGTTGTATATCATTGTTATACTACTGAAGGCAATGGATTCTTTGTTTGACTTAACAGTTGTTTTGAGTTATCAGAGTTTGACTTATCGAGATTTCACTGGTATGTATCACCCATGTTGCTAAACATAAAAGTCCAGCCCTGCTTTATAGCAAAAGCAGGTTACCAACCAAAATGCCATGCAGTACAACTGCTTGAAACTGGTCCTCATCAACTTTTTTTCTCTTAGCGCTTCAACTTGACCCTGCTCCCTCAAAGTGGCCTTTTTTATAGACAGATGTTACCATCTGTAGAGCTAGCTCAATAATTACACCTCGCCTTGACCATTTTACACTCGAACCAGTCCAATCACTTCCTGATCTGGTCTCCTTACTGCAACCTCTTGTCCCTTGCCCAGGTCGTCTGGACGGTGAAGAGGTCATGTCCTCGGCATCGTCGTCGTCGGACGGCGAGGAGTTTGCGGACGATGAGCTGCTGCAGCTGCTGCGGCGTCGCCGGGCACAGTATGAGAACCAACTACAGAACCTGGATAGGCTGATAGAGATGCAGACAGCGGGGACGTGATGTAGTCTTGGTTGAAGACTCGATTTCGATTCCAAGACTTGATCTTGATTTTTCTCCTAGTACAGCCTGTCCCTTTCAATCCTGGTGAAACCGCAGCGGTAGAGGGCATTATCAACAGGATGAATCAATTCAATGTCTTAGGAACTTTGGCACTCAAACCCAAGACATTCTGAGCATTGCTCGTGTGCATTATATTCAAGCTACATTTTGTAAAGCGTTCTCTACTGCCGTGGGGCAGGTCTTGGCGCAAGACATTCTTAGCAGGGTAATTCTCGATTCAGCCTTTGGACGGCGCAGCAGCGTGCATGTTCCTGGTCCCAAAGGGCCATCCATGATCTTGACTCGGTTGATGAACCGCACCCAAAGAACGCCTTGGGAATCTTGCAAAGCTATAAGGCGTGATTTAATATGCAAAATAACGTCGCGTGCGCAGTGGTTGAAACAAAAGAGCTGTTCTGAAAACTGTTAGTCAGGTGACGCAACGTACAAAAACTGTAGCTGTATGTACAGAAACCAGATATGCAAATGCCAATCAGTTCTGCTTGGAGTTTCACTAGCAGAAAAACAAGATTCCCAAGATATCCTTTGTGGCTTTTAAGCATGTGTGCAGTGCTGCTTCGGTGAATAGCTGCACAGTCCAATAACCTGTGCGCACTGTAAGATCACACTGCTTAGGACGTCTTGGAACCAAGACTACCGTGGGGCTTGAAGGCCTTTGCAAGGGATGGGGACAGGCTGCATTAGGGGAACAAAAACAATTCCAAATCCAATTTTGGTCAAGAATACAGGAAATGAGGGCATTACATGTATGCTGCAAGCATGAATGCAATGTGGGCAGGAGGGACACCTACTTAGGTGTACAACATGTAGGGCAGGCACACAGTAATTGGGGAATTGACAATGGGATGCAAGCATACTAGTCAAGTATATAACAAGTCCAGTCACAGGTAAATCACAAGCAAATTCACAAAATCTTGTCACTGGCTTTGTAGTAGACTTGTGATGACTTGGAATTCTGATGGACTCACCTACAACACTGATACAGATGTGAGGGACTCGCACCTACTGAGGTGGGGACAACATGTGGCACTTAAGGTGTCGTGAAGGCTTTCAGGGAGTAATACAGGAAAGAGGGACACCTACTCAGGTGCTGGGTGACGACACACTCAGTGGGGGATAACATGCAGCATTGAAGATGTGATGCAGGCAGGGATGACTGGATGCAAGGAGTGACATCCGAAGACTGCATGGACACCTACCGAGGTGTATAGTAGTGACATCCACAGGTGTCAAGGAGCAGCAAAGATTAAGGCGTTCAGAATAGGAGGGACACCTACTCAGGTGTAACAGAGTAATAACACACACCAGTACGGATACAGGGTTTTCCTTGGCTGAAGTTCTAAAAGTTTTTCCTCTTGAAACTAAAACTAAGAGTTTCTTCCTCTTTTCTCTTAATAAACTATTCAGTGACTTATAATTTCATTGAGCTGCTGCTTAGCATAACCCAATAAAATGGCCGGTAAAATTTTCCACGAACTATTGTCTGTGTTTATCATATCCAAGATCTTGCTTTACTTGAGGCCTCCTAGGGGAAGTAAAGAAATGAATATAATGAATAATTTATACATACCTCTCAGGACATGTGTGTATACAGATATGCTGACTCTTTTTTAAATTGACTGTTAAAATATTTGAACCTTGAAGTTGAAATAAAACAAAAATATGTACATTGGTATCTGAATGTGGTTTAATTATCAAAAAAAGATTGAGCTTGTTTTCAAAACAGGAGTACATGCATTCATCGCATAGACTTATATTGGATTATAGTCACAGCAGTTATAAACTCAGAGGGTGTTTTTGGTAATTTTAATTTAGTAACAATGCACAACAGGTTTGACCATGCCTGTCCAAGCGATGCAAAACCTCTATCCAGCTTCCCCACGACAATTCCAGACGATGTAATTGTCTTGTAAACAAAAGACAGTCTAATTGGATTGGAACATAGCGGTGATCCCGTTACAGCAGCAAACTCTTGCGTAAAGCAGTCTGGCAAAACAATCATTTACGTATGAGGTCACGTCTGGTGGGTCAATGGCTGGCTAATTTGCATATTTTTCCTGCGAATTGCGAGACACCAAGATCGTATATTTGGAATATAGAATATCGTGTTTCTGCAGTTATTGCAAAAGTGGCTTCATATCTTAACGCTTGTCTACAATTGAAGTTATTACAGTTGCTCATTGTTAATGTACCAGGAGCTATTTTTTTCAGCGGCAGCATATATTTTTTTGTTAAAGTTGGACAAGCAGACACACTCAGATACGTTTTCACTTCGGGCGGATGGATACTGGAGGTGTTTTGAATGTGAAAAGGTCTATCTGTCCTTGAAATTAGGTCGTCTGCATTTAAACCGAGTCATCATGTGCGCACGTCCTTGTTTGAAAAAAAGGTCATCCCCGTGACGATGTTACGTTAGGTCCTTGGACAAACCAGTACATCAAGTTCGACTCTGGAGGAGTCTTCTAGAAATCTGAGTGACGTGTTCAGGCCAAGTTCGCGATGTCTTTGAAGTCATGCGTGGCTTGCCACGAGTGGGCTAATTTCTAAACTCTGTCAAGCGGTCTGTCTGCGTTTAAGCCCGACCTTCACTCATTTTTGTTATCGTCGACAACTTTTTTTTCGGTGGAGAGTGTGTCAGACCCCAGCCACACAAGTTGACAGGTTAACGGGTCAAGACTGAACCGCCGCCACGTCCAAAGGGGGAGAAGATGACTTCTCAATCGCTGTGCCTCGTGGTCGACAGATGCGGGAATATAAAAGGAACTGGGCGGCCGATCGCTTAACTTGTCATCGTCTTAAACTTGGACTTAGACATTAGATTGTTACCGTGCTCGTAAAGAGGTTCTCGTGCCTTTCGAACTGCTCGAAATCAAGGTTTAGAAAATTAAGGCGGCTTTAATCATCAAAACGCCTTGTGAAACGATGGAGTTCGTTCACGCCATAGGACGCCCAGTATTACCGGACTTCACTGCTGGGATCCATGCCGGGAAAGGATCCATTTTACCGGCGCCGCTGCAGCCAACGCACGGTGCGACGCCTTTCTTGATCGAGGACATTCTCAATCGCCGCACTCCAAACTTCCCACCAGTTCTACCGACCCGAGCCCCGCCGTGCAAACCCGCACAATCCCCCACGAGCTCGGCTCCGCAGACCGGTGCGACCACCTCACCGAAACCGGCAGATTGTGACGATTCTGTGAGTGAAAACAAGCAGAAAATGCCGTCATCGGAGAGTTGTTTTTCGTTCACCGCTATTCCCACTGTTCCGAAATGTTTGGGGTTCGCCACGTGCACGGCCGCCGTGTGTGTCTGCAGGGAGCGCGGGAGCCTAGCCGACGGCGACCCGGACCGATGGCCGTTCCTTATTCGTACCTCCGGTAAGTTGGAATTATCATTGGAAAATTGTGTGTGAAGTTGCCATAACTTCAATTTATTTATTCTCTATCGTCCACTTTAAATGGTAAAGCAAATTGTTTCATTTATACATGTTTTAAAGGCCCGTTTGTGAAAGTTAGGCCTATTTGAAGTTTAAAAGAAATCACGTTAAGAAATTTGTGAAATATCCGGAGAATTTGCTCGGCAAAAAAAGATTACCAGTCTGTTCTATGTTCTTTGACAAATTTCTGGAAAATTTTCAACTTGAATAGCTCCGGGAAAATGAAGACAATTCCTCCATTCAAACAGCTTGTCAAGCATTACCCCTGACATTGTTAACGTTTGATTAAACGTTATTGCTTTCGTGGATTCATGGGGGCGAGTCAAAAAGAAAGTGGCCTAATCAGAAGAAAATGTGTTAAAAATATGTGGCTGGCTCCATTTGTTAAAAACAACACGGGGATAAAGTACATATTATTGACTAGTGACTGAAAATTTCACGTCACATGGGCTTACTCCATTCGCAATTTATGTCTGTTTTAATACAAACTGCACAAAATGTAGCTGTCCACCGCTGATCGTTCACCATTCTACGCAAAATTGATGAGTACCCTTTAAATCCAATGAAACATAACGTTTTCCTACCTCCATGAATAAAGAAAAATTTGCACAGGAAAACAGACACAAATCATCATTATTTCAGGAAAAAACCTTAATTTTTTTCCTCATATTAAAAATCCAAAATCTGACAGTAAAAATAATGTTTCAGTCTTGACTCAAATGTTAAAAGTCTAATTTGTATTTGAATGCCTTTGTGTAATCTCACTCAGTTAATATCTTCAAATGGCATTCCATGGACATCTTTAGAAATGGGTTATTTTCTTTTAATATGCATAGCTTCTCATAGCATGGATCAATTTCAGTAATTCTTTTTTTTAATGAGCGGAATAACATGCTCATTTATATATGCTTCGTTGGCGCGTCAAATTTAATTGCTTTTTTTTAGCGGAAAAATCATTAATTCAGGTAAATTTCTTTTTGACTCGCCATCCAGCCCATGCCGTAAGGGTCTCTCGAATGATTGTTTACTGATTACATGATCAGCGTGTTGTATTCTATTCTTGAGTTCTCTTACACCGAAGCCCTTCCGACCGACAAAATTTGTGTATATACCTTGCAACAACAAAAATGTATTCAAGGTTCGAAGAAAACGTAGTGATTTGTTGTTTTGTAAACCTGTCACGACTTGATACATTATAATAATTAATATTTATTAATGATTAAATACCCGCAGAAGCGTTTAAGCGTTACAGCAGAACTTGCCACAATATTTATAATGCTGATAAGGCAGTGATACGGTTGAAAGTTTAAAATAAACATTCAAGTTTGGCAAGGACGAACACGCAATAACTAAACGGACCAAAAAAATGGAAAATTTTTCAGCCTAAGATATCGCAAAACAATTATCCTCTGATTTGTGGACATGCAGAACTTGTATTTTAATGTGAGAGCAAAGAAAACGTCTTGAAGGAATTCCCATAATTCTTTCCTTAACAATGGATGTTTACTAACCTAATGTGTGGAGATTTATTGTTTTGTGGAAACGGTGCTTCAATTAATTAAGATCGAAATAAAAAATATTTTCATTGAATAATTTTTTGTCAACGGTTACTCTATAGGCCTAATGGCCTTTCCTAAAATGTTTTATAGCTACGATGGAGTATTGACAATATACAGAGATAACAAAATTCTAAAAGCACACAATGTTTGTTTGTTCCCGTTACCATAAAAGCGGTTTTTCTGTCAAACAAAGTATCAATTTCGTAAGAGTTTCCGGCGTCAGAATTTCAGCATGCGCGTGGCAGAACAGCGACCGCCTTGGAAGATGTCACAAGTCGACCCATGCGAACCGTGGCGACCCTCGCTTCACTTAAAAAGCACTGGCCGTAAATGGGTTGTCAATGAGGGTGGCCCAGGAAAATGGAAGAGGTTTTTTTTTGGGGGGGGGGGTTCTATCTTGTGGACCGATTATAAAATGTCTGAGCTATAATGTTTATTGTATTTGGGAGACTTTTTTCAAGTAAAATTGAGATTTGATGGTCTTTACATTTGACGTGTTTATGGGCTGGATAAAGACTGTCTGATTTTAATCGCATGCCTATAGGGCCTATGAGGCTAAACACAGAATTACCGCAGTGGGCATTGTAATGTAATGTGGTAATAAAACCAAATCTCATCGGTGGTTTTCGCCTTAACAAATATTATTTCCTGCCATTTAATTTTCAAACACAAATATGCAAACTCTTCTACTTTGGCGTATTCTTCTCGAGGAGTTATAAATTAACGATTCGTTTAACGCCTTTCAAATGTTGATTTTCCCCTTTTGCGAATTCTCCCCAACAATTTCTCTCGAAGAAGGCCTACATTGAGAAAAGTTTCATTTAGAAAATTGTCGGTTATTATAACATACTTCCCAATATTTTCTCCAATTTTGTGATAGGCATACAGGTGTAAGCCACAAGACAAATAGATTTGTGGCTGGATCCAAGGGCGGATCTAGGGAAACAATTTGGGGGGGGGGTGCAAACACAAATTTGCTTCCCCAAAAAGTGGGTCCCAAAAATTACGGCAGGGATTTTTTGGATTCTAGATTAAGAAAAAAAAATGGATTCTAGATGCTCTGTGGTGCGTTCTGAGGCAATTTCTGACCACTTTAACCATTTTTTTTTGTGAGGAAAAGATGGTGGTGTACGCAGTGCCAGTTTTTTTTGCGACGTCACTTAATAAAAAAAAAATTGGGTCCTTTTTTTTGGGGGGGGGGGAAGTATGGCCCCCGTTGCCCCCCCCCCCACCACCCCCCCCCCCCCCCCCCGGATCCGCAACATCTTGGCTGGATCTAAGAAAAAAATTCTCCCGGACCGACAGAACCCAAAAGAATAGATTTTGTTTTGAAATTGCCCAATTTTTTTAGCAATACAAAAGTCATTCACTGTCGATTGAAGCATCGAATATGGAAAGAAACGCCCACACATAGTTAAAATTAATAATTATTTTCCAAAACAAAACACGAGGTTTTTTTACCCAACAATAATTTACTTGTCGCAGAGTATGGTTCCCGACCCCTTTTTAGGACCGATAACATTGGAAACGGGCTGGAAGCAGTCTACTCGCAGGGCGGATCTGAAGTAACCCGAAACAAAACCCTTGCATTCACTCCAAATATACAAAAAGGCAGTTATTTTCGGTAAAGTAAAACAATCAGCAATAATACAACCACGCCGAATGCTAATTTAACTCATGACTAAAAACGTTCTGTGTCTTTTTTTTCTGTGACAGCCGGCTACTGTATCCCCTCGCTTTTTCCATCCGAGACGACCAGCGGCACCCTCCGAAGTAGGAGACGCAAGGCACGCACCGTGTTCGTCGACTCCCAGCTACGGGGGCTGGAGGCGCGATTCCAGGCGCAGAAATACCTGTCCACCCCGGAGAGGATCGAGCTGGCCGTGGGCCTCGGACTGTCTGAAACACAGGTAGGGAGGTCGCATTTGTGAGGGGGTGAGGGGGATCGACAACGCCATTGCCCAGAAATTATTAAGGGGGCATGTCCTCCCCCCCCCCCCCGATCGCCGGCCATGCTTAAGTACTTCTCGATCAACCCTTTTAGTCTTGAGAAATTGAGCTAAAATAACTTTACAAGAGAGAATTGACTTGTACACGTCTGTTTTCATCAGCGTCTTGCAATTACCGTGTCTGTCTCCCGAGCAACGGGGCGCTAATGATCCACTGACCCGTTATAATCGAGCAAAACACGGGGCCGTTATCTAGTCTGGCCCGGTCAGTGGTCCGTTACCTCACGGACTTGCTGGGTCTGAGTATGGCATGTTGGCCACAGTTCTATGTGCACAATAGACATACTAATTGTTCGCACATTAGAAAGAACTTCATGTGGATGTGTAATTGAAATACAATCTACGAAACATTGGATTGTTGTAGTCTTCAGCCAGGCCACGTGTCCATTTTGATACAAGCTTAGCTTACCACCATTCAAGAACGAACATTATAATCGGTTCATTTCCGCAGGAATGTCTATTTTCGAATCAGCCTGAAAAATTGTTTAAGTGCGACTTCTCGGTTTGGCTGTCAATTAATCCTCAATTCCTGTTGCTTATTTTCTAACTTCTCCTGAATTTATGGTATTTTTATTTAAGTTATTTAAATAAGCTCGTGCTTGATGGAAGGTAATGCTCAAGACATAAAGTATAATAATCCTGGGCTGCTGTAAGGACACAACATAATCTCCTTTAACACAGAAAACACAAATGTAGAAGCAAAAACTGATTTCTGTACTAATTTCCCGTGTTTTGGGGTTGATGTTTTGGCTTGAACTATTTTTGTTTAGTTGCCCCATAGAACTCGGTTCAGGATTTTGTTTCCAGCTTTCTGAAGTCACAACAATAATATTTCAAGAAATATAAAGTTTGGCTGTTTTCCCGTTCAGGTAAAAACATGGTTTCAGAACCGCCGCATGAAGCAAAAGAAAGACACCGCAGGACCCCGGGAGCCCCACCACACCAAGCCAGCCGGCACACGGGACGGACGGACGGTTGGGACGGGGACGAGGGACCAGGCGACAGCTGGTGAGACCGTGGGGGAGTAAGCAGCTCTGCGCCCATGAGCTGCCATACTGATGATGGACCCTTCTTTCAGCCGGGACGGACAATTTGGAACCCTCAATTCGTGCTTTTGGGCTGAATAGCAGTGTCATGCCAATATGAAAATGTTATTGACTATTTTCGTAACTTATAAACGATGTTTAGACGGAGAAGTCCCAATAAACATTTTGATGCCGACTCATCTTTTCTACAGGCTTTGCTACAAAGGAAATAAAGAGAAATATGTTAAACATTGGACAAAACAAGCATAAGTTCATTAAGTGTGTTCTGAATGTATACATTCAAAAGTTGACAATAATTATGATTGTCTATAATTTTAGTCTCTAAAAATATAACGATGTGTGCGTCTGCGCCTATAAACAGTTGGCGAAATGACGGAAACGGTACTAAGTAGATGAAAGGTTCAGAGTGTTTCACTGTCTGTAAATAAGTGTAAATAATACCTAAAACTTAATGCTAGAAATAGAAGTTAAGTCTCGTTATAGCTTTTACATATTTGAAATAAATTTTGCCACGTTTGAGCAATGTGGAAGCAATAATTTTAGGCTCTATAAAAAGACGTAAATTATAGTTGGCATAGTTTCTTTTGTCGCCAATTCCCAACATTCGGCAGTCGATGATAACAAATTCAACCACTAGTTGTGACAAATCCTTAGGCTGTAAATTGATGGCAAGTCGTCTACGAACTAATTGAATAAAAAAGAAAATTGTCCTCGGCCTCAAGTTGCTTTGGCTGCATTATCAAGGACACATTTTTAAAATGTTAAAAGTCTACAATATTCACTGTCGGGTTATTTTTAGGTCAAGTTTTACTCGCACGTTTGAAAAAAATAATAATTTCATGAAATTGAAAACGATGTCGTCCCACAGGTGCACGGTCTCAAGACTCAATGCAAGTAATTACCAACTTCCGTGCCGACCGACAGATCGTCATATTTTCCTCGGCTCTTCATAATTGTTTCCTTACAGATTCTCAGAAGAAAAGTGTGAAGTTTGGGTTAAGGTCATCCATCTCTTGACGGTGGGAAGTAATTTTGAAGCCGCCGTAGTTTTTCTTTCTCCTCGGAGTGGAATGGTCTTCATTTATTAACATTTTTAACAGACCCAGAGAGGTTTGTAGACGACTGAATTTAGCCGTACGGTTTTGGTGTACATTGGTTCTGTTGTTGATGTTCAAAAGCGCCCACTTGTTTGTCAAAAGAAAGATGTTTTTATCGCTGCTATAATTATTGACTTTAAAGATCGTTCCCCGTGCTATTTCGAGTTTCACCGTCTCCGAAACTAGATTCGTTTTTTTAATCGCTATTTTCCCAATCTCTAAATTCTAAAGAGTGAGAATTCACTCCATTCGAGTGAAGATTCACTCCCACAGTCGAAAACTAGGGACTAGACGTTTTAGAGTGAAATTTCTTCCATCGTAAAGATCGAGTTTTCACACGAGCTTCGACTGAAGTGGTTCATTTTTCAGACTATGTCAATCGAAAATGAGAGTGATTTTCACTCTAACACGTCTAGTCCCTAATTTCACTCTTTGGAATTTAGAGAGTAATATTGACTTTGAAGATCGTTCCCCGTGCTATTTTCGAGTTTCACCTCGGAATTTAAATTCGTTTGTTTTTTCAATCGCTATTTTCCTAGCAATAACATAAAAGTTATTCACTTTAGAATAAGACCTCGAACAAAATATTCCACCGTGGTTTAGTTACTGAATTATTTCTTCACAAATATCGAGTTGGCCTGCAAGACACTAACTAACTCGGCAATCGCAGGGCGGTTCTTTTTATTTACCAAAATGAAAGCCCTATTTTCAGAGGGTTGCAGACGCCCAAAATCCGAATAAAGTAGGTTTGTTTTCGTTAAAACAAAAAAAAAGGCAAATTGAAAATTCGTTAGTAGAAAAAAAATCCATATTTTGCAGAGCATAGGGTATACATCTGTAATACTTTGTATTGACAATAATCTCACTGAAAGTGGATTTCGTTTTCATGTCTTTCTTAAAAAAAAATGTGAGCGACTCTTTCACTATTGATTGACCGGCGTAACCGTACATGACTTTGTGCAAAACCGTATTAATGAGTGAACTAACTCTCACATGTTGAGTTTTGGTGCCGGTACATAAAATCGTGACTTTCGTGTGTCGTTTTCCTGAGGCAAACATTTATAAATTATAAGACCCATTAAAATGCCCTTTCTCATTGAATTTGAATAATGACTTGATTTCGAGATAAATCATCTGCTGTTAATCAATGAAAAGGTGAATTGACAAAAATAAGTGGGGGAAAATCACATGTTGTACCTAAAGGCACAAATTTAGGATCCCAAAAGTAACTACGGAATTATTATCAAAACGCTTACTTGGAATAAAGATGGTACTAAGCACCCTGTCATTTTAAATCAGGAAATGTAGGCTAGATGATTGCCAACGATAAAGAGTATTATTAACGAAATCGTGTTTCGTGATCAAAAGGTTGTGCATGCATGTTTTTTTACTTTTGTCAATCAGTGTAATATCCACTGAGCTAAATCTTCAACAGATTAGGTTTTGGACATTCTTCTTTGGATTTTGATTGGAGTTATTATTGGAAACGAACAAAATGCACGAAGAAAAAAATATCCTATATGCCTTCCGTCGACCTGGATCGCTTATTTAGGTCTACCTCCACAAAACTCGAAAGTTGTTCTGAAATTTATACTTAAAAAAGGGCCTTTTTTCATTAGTTGATGAAAATGCTCCAACTTCGCGAGCTTTTCCTGTCCGAGATGTTCTTTTCGTTGGCTTCCTGGCTTTCCACATACCCAGGCACGCCACTGTCCCCATCTACCTATCTATTGTATTGAGTGAAAACACTCCATCTCTCTGGAACCGACGAATGAAGCGCGCGATAACAAAAAACTGAAGTTGTGTAAGTGACAAAAAGCCATCAAACGATTACGAAAAAAAGGCAAATTTCTTTTCATCATTGAATACTCAACGACAGCTCACAAAATGAGTTATAGCCTTATTGTGTTCACTTCGGTTTCACGGACTCTTGGCCTTGGGAGCGTTATATTAAATCACAGAGGTTTTCAGTTTTATACTCCCTCTTACTGCTTGGTATAGAATTTCTCATTTTATTTACAGTTCGTGTAGATTTCACGATGACGGGGCTTAACCCCGAATTCCGCCTCTAATCCCATAATCCGTTGAGCGGTGCGGAGTTGCGTAATGTGCTGCCGCAATGCACGAAACACATGTTGCCCCAACCCAAGAATCGTACAGCGGTCTCGGATTCCCCCCCCCCCCCCCCTCGCCATGTGGTTTAGGAACAGTTGAGTCTGCTGTTTATTCTTGTCTTATGCATTTCACCTGAATTACTCACCAAGACAAGCCCGTTCTTCATTTCCAGGCCGATTTGCTTATATTTACCTCTGCCAAGGAGGTTATGTTTTCATCGGATTAGGTTTGTTGGTTGGTTGGTTGGTTGGTCGGTCTGTTAACAAGATAACTCAAAAAGTTATGGACGGATTTGCATGATTTATTTTGGGTGTAATGACAAGCATGTCAATAGATGGCGCCCTTCAACACTCGCTGTCATCGCGCCTTGGTCATTTCCCACCCGGGTATTTCTCACGCCCCACCGAAGGGTAAAGCATTGGGGTTTTTAAAACGGACAGGCAATATAGCGCAAACGTCTCACTTCAACTTTTCAAACGTCGTACTTCAACTTTCAAAACGGTCGTGGTTCAACATTTTAAGCGTCGTGCCCACAAACCAAAATGCGACATAATTAATTTGGTTTCTCACCACAACAAAATGGGGGGTTGGGGTGGAATGATCTAATGGCCCATTCCCCCTGGTCAAAACATTTTTTTTTGGTGGGGGGGGGGGGGTATCCTCCCCATCCTGCCCATCACCCCGGATTTACGCCCCTGTGATAAGCTGTTTTGAGAGCTGAAGTATCACTATAGGATTGCTATAATAGTACATTCATAATGCGTTTGCAATGATGTCAACCCACCAATGCGTGTGCCAGTACAGACGTTTACATTTCGCAAACTTTGTTAAATTACTTTTAAAATTCTTATTGTTACAACATCTTGTAACTGGCAAAATCGTGCTCCCGTCGGCAAAAATGCGCATGGAATAACGCGGCCTTTTTTCCCAATAGTGTCGAAGACCATCCACTTCGAACAGCGCCCCCATTGGCCACTTGGCTTGCAACTTCCCTTCCCTAAAATTTTGCGGCAGCCGGGCGGCGAATTTTTTCTCCCAAAACGACATCCACATATGGGTGTACGTTATGGAGTTTTGGACTTTACTTTTCTAAAAACATGAGAAGAAGATATAAAATTAGAACAAATAAATGATTTCGAACGTTATGAAATTCGGACTTTATTTCCCTTTTAAAAAAAATCCTCCGAAGCTTCAGATTAGAAAAGACAAAAATTCGGGCGCAAAATCACGACTCTGTATCGACTGAGCTACCGCACTGATCGAAAAGTGTGTTGAAAATAATAATCATATACCTGCGTACGTATCATTAAAGTATCGTAGAGGGCGCTAAACAACAGATGTTGTTTCGGAAAAGAACATTTGCAGCCGGCGGACCGGAAAAAAAATCCTGGACTACTCCGCTTGGCACATTTGTTGTGTCTCCCCCCCCCCCCCCCAAGAAAAAAAAGGGGACGAAAATGAAATTGCATGGTCTAATGAGGTCCGTGTACTTCAGAGTCCATTGCAGATCGGGATGGGGGGGGGGGCGGGGATGTCTGAAACCCTCCCCCTTCCTCCATGATGTTGATTGATTACCCCCCCCCCCTCCACCCACCCGGCCCTCACGTACGTATGCCAAAACTGTGGTTTCAGAATACTGGAAGTGATTAAGCTGAACGTCGTGACAAGTAATCCCCCCATTTCTGGACCCCCCCCCCCCCCCCCCCCGTCTTGTGTAATTAACCAAGGGCCATTGCAACTCTATGTTTAGATTTTGGCTTGATGTGAAATCAGTTTGCAACGACCACGTATTCATTAGGGATATTATTTTCTGAGAACACGACCACGTTCCAGTTGTGAATAGCGGCGATGTAGCGGTTTCAGTTTCTGAGAAAGTCTATAACAGCATGTTAATTAATACTGACATTGGACAAAGACCATTACGTAAATACTCAACTAACCGCAATCGTTTGATAAGAGTAGCTACGGGAGAAATTGATGGTTGTCGTATCATCAACGATATCACTGTGTACGTTATTTTTTTTAAGACACTCAAGATGGGTACAAGCATTACATCCAATGCGTGGACTTCCCAACAAAAGAGGTCCACATAAACCAGGTACAGGCGACGTTGTGTGGACTTGCCCACGTCCACACAAGGTTTCCCCCTTTCTAGAACACATGTTTAGAGGCATTTTGGGGTTAGGTTTATCCGTGGCAAAAGGAAGAGAAACACTAAAGGGAAACAATTGGGTTGAAAAAGTTTTCACAGTTTGAGAAAACGAGTTTTTTTCACTTGTTTTTCTTAACTACACGAAACAAAGGAATGTCCACACTAGGTATGTAAAACAAACGTGTATGTGGTTGTGTGCACAATTCGTTCACAACCGATTTATATATTTAGAACCCGTAAGAAAAACCAAAATTCTACAGAGATGTTTTAGAAAATGGAATCTTTCACAAGTTTATTTTAAATGCAAAAATAGATTTTTCTGATTATATTCTTCATATTCGTCAGAGTGCTGGGAAACGCGTTGATTCTAGTCTTGATGTGGACTTGACGATTCTGGATTTCAAAAAATCACGAATTGCAGTCACATTTCACCTTTTAACGTTTAAAAACGAGGGAACCAGCAAATGGTAATACAACCGCACTGCTGCGGACAGAGTTCTTCATTTTATGATGATCAGCGGTGTTAAACTGAACTTGGAAGTAGGATTGTTGTTCATACAGAGTCGGAATTTTGGATTTGGAGGTTAATTGTGTGTGTCGGTAACAATAAACAATGTACAGTTCATTTCAGTTTACGATAAAATCTTATCAGTCTAACTGCAGAACGTATTTCTCCTGTATAAATTGCTTCCGTTTTGCTGAGGGAGATTTTGGTTATGATTATGAAGCCGACGCGCAACAAATTGCTAAGAATCACCCACAAGAGGGCGTTATATTGTGAAGTTGGTCCATTGTTCTTTCACTGTAGGAAAAATATCTCACTTCCGATTCTGACAAGCGTTAATAGTTGAATAAACAAAAAAATCACGGAAGGCTAAAGTTAGAGCCGACATATTCTGATCGAAAAAAAATATCAGACCAAGTTAAGGCATAATAGTATCCTTTGCCTTTCATGCATTTTGTTCGGTTCCATAACGCCACTCAAAATCCAAAAGAAGAATGTTCAAAACCTGACCTGTTGAAGTCTCAGCTCAGTGGATATGAACTTTTTGAGACAACCATGCACCTTTTGATCACGAAACACGACTTGTCCATAACACTCTTTGACTGATCGTTGGAAATCACCTACAAAATGACAGCAAGATAGACCGAATAATTTCACTCGGTGTTTAGTATCAGTGCGATCTTTAATCTAAGTAAGCTGGTTGAAACCATTCATGATAAATGCAAATAATCCTATAGTTTCTTTAAAATCATAGCTTGACTTTTCAAATACACACAGTGGGAAAAACATAACTTTTTTTCCAACTTTGCAACTGTCGCGTGCCAAATTGGCTTTGATGTTTGTCGAACTTTTGTCTGCTTTCTGTTTGAATTGGGAATAAAAGTTGAAAGCTTACGAGAACGAATGAATGAATTTGTAATTCTGCCAGTCATTTTACGGGCCTGGTTTGGAATACCCCCTCAAAGACCGTCAACAAAAGGTGTTTACACCGTTCCCTGTTGTGTACTTCAAAGCGTCCTCGCAGGCACGGTAAGCGACCACTACGGTTGAATGGTATCTCCTTTGCGATGCAATGAGTCAGGTGTAAAAAGCCAACACTTTGGACGAAGTTATTCATCACAGTGGGTGTGTTTTGGTAGCAAGTCTGCCGTGAATGGACCGAATTAACCTAACCTCCCAGGGTTATTTTTCCAGTCCTTTTTTTTCGTTAGAAAGTTTGTCTCAGTGTGGTTGACTTGCAGCTACCTGTCTTACGTGTGGGACACGCTTCTCGGTGACAGAAAAAAAATGACTTAAAAGTAAAAAGGATTTACTGTTGAAATTCCCTGTCAACTAATTAATCTTGCATTTGGTAACTAACGTAAAATGAGTGGTAAGAGTAAGTTGGTTTTCGGGAATTTTTGCAGTCTCTGAAACCGAGAAATGAAAAAAAATAAAAACAGGATAAAAATCAGATGGACAGAAAAACACCGGCATGAGCACTGATTAATTTTTGATTCTTTGAACGTGACTCTTTTCGTCTTCCCTTTACCGCTCTAAATTCCACCATTGTCAAACTTAACCTACCAAGGGGCGGATCCAGATATCGGATGGAGGGTTTGACTTAAGAAACAAGCTCAACAAGACATTTAGCCACATCGAGTCACATTCTGAAACCACAACAGGGGGGGGGGGAGCTTTACAAATCAAAATCAGTGAGGAAGTGTTTTAATTCTCTCAGCAATTTGTTCTGTTTTGCAAAGTCCATCACAAGCCCCACGTCTAGTCCTAATTTAAACCCTGACAAAGGCATTACTTTGTCATAGTTCATCCACTGGTAGGCCTACTTGTGTCCGGTCTTGTGAAACAACTAGCATTTTTATATTTGGCGGCCGGACGTTGTGATGGACTTGACATAGGCTCGGCCACTCTTTTGCTTTTGGTGGCCAGTTCAGTGACCATTTTATTCGCGTGGAAAGCACTATTGTTTTTTCGGGGCAAGTTTTCCATCTTAAGAAGTTATTGTATTATTGCGAAAGGGATATTTGTATTTTGGAGGGGCAGTTTTGCACTGCAAGAGAGGAGAATTTTATTGGTAGCGCGGTCATATGCTTTCATACGTGTGCGTTTGAGGGACAGTTTTGGGTTTTTTTTGGCACATTTATAACCGCGAGAGGGGTACTTTTGTTGGCCGGGGAAAATGGGGGGGGGGGGGGGGGAGTTCCCCCTGCCCCCGGTTCCGCCGCCCCTGTCTCTCAGTAACTGTCTGGCTCCGCCATAGACTCTTAGAGCACAGCAGCCGTCTGGGAGGGTTTTCCCGGTGATTTGGATTCGATAACAATGAATGGGCCTACACAAGAGATCCACCTATGCATCTCCTATCAGAACGAAAGCATGCACGTCAAGGATGACTGCGATACCATGGAGGAATACTAAGCTTCAATGGTACCAAATCGTGAGAAATAGAAGAGTTTGGCAAAAAAAAAAATTGGTGACATTATTATTAAGCTTGCCGCGCAGAAACAAGTTTTATTTTCCTTCTCTGTCTGCGGAAGTGTTACGCGGTGAGAATAACGAACGGTTAACCGTGGCTTTGTGCACGCATGACTGCACCCATTGACTGGTAAATGCCCCGCTGTCTCACTGCACGCATTGTCATCACACACTACCCTGAAATCACCCGCACGAGCACAAACATTATTAGCGAGGAGCGATTATTATACACAAGTTGGATTGATGAGCCCCTGGTGCTAATTCCACTGGTGAATTGAGGTGACCGAGACGCCAAGTCGACGCTCGTGGGAGATGCTCCGGTGGCTTCTTCGACAATTCTCGGTCTTGGAGAAAGGGACAAAGTTCCGATGACAACTATGACTTGGAGTTTAGAGATACTTATGAAACTGTGATCAAATAGGGACTGTAGGTCAAACACTTCTTTCAAGTAGATTTTTTTCTGACGTGAATGGAGTGAGGTGCCAGGGATTCCTTCAATGATACTTTTTCAATGCCATTGGTTGGGAGGACCAGCTAAAATCATTTCTTGGAAGTCCGGAGTACAGCTGACGGACAGTCATGCCAGCGAGTTCTACAGCAACTCTGAGCCCGCCGGCCAGCAACCCCTCAGCGGCCGGGCTCTGCTGGGATAGCCCCGGCCCAGCAGCGGCGCTGGACCCGGACTCACCCGTCTTGTCCAACAGATTGCCAGACTTGGAACGGATGAAAATAGGTGAGGAATCCTTTTCATGGGATCATTAATCATAATTTGTGCTTCTTTTGCAGGAGATGGTTTTTAAAGGGACGAACTCGGAAATACCTGAGTTTACTTCTCAACGCGATTCATATTTTAACAATATCTATTATTTTCCGAGTAGCCTCGAGACGCCTACAGAGCCAAAAGAGGAAGACTTAAAGAGTTTGTCTCGTTGATATTTTATTTGCTATTTTCCGAGTTGTCATTGACTGCGCTACATTTCATAAGTCCAAATTACATATCAATACAATGAACAATATATTGATCTGACATTCGGTAAGGCCAGGCAGCCATCCACTGCAATTTCTGCGATTGAAGTAACTTTTTGTATAAGACTTTAAAAAAATGACTTGTATTATCCTTGCCACATTTTCATCGACAATTTAATAATGGTAAGGCTGAGAATATGCTGTAAACATCCGAGCTCAGAAAACGGCTTGATGAAGGCTCACCTGTTGTATCTAACAATTAAGATTAATGTCATCTGTTGGTATCAAACACGTAATATCCTGACAAATTACCGTGGAAATTCTGATTGATAAAATCCTTCGACTACAGAAGTTTGCTTTGGAACTGAACTCAAACCATAAAACTCAAACTTTGAAAGATTCGAAAAAAAATCAGCGAGATTTTTTGAGACATATTTAGATATTTAGCGTTATGGTCTGACGTTGTATGGACCGGACCTGGTTGCTCTGAACGGAAGAAGATAATGAGTAATACCTATTAACATTTGAATTGTGGTCTATGTAGTTGATAATTCTACCAGCAGCCCAGCCATCCTACAGAAAGACACTCGTTATATCATCCATCCCTTGATTCATCTTTTCTTGGAATTGCGGTTTTTGCCTTCCGCTATTGTGTCGGCCAAACCTTGCGTGCATGGCCTTGTAATTAAAATGTGTCTCGCCATGTCTTCTGTCTGAGAAAGCAGGCTTTGGGCTCGTTGACTTATCGACCGCTACGGTGAGCGTGGTTACTTTTCTTAAATAAGTCGGCCTGAATTACCGTCAATTCCAAAACCATGACGTTCTATATATCACCTTAATCGTAATCAATAACCTTGCTATAGGCCTGACTAAGATGCCGTTTGCTGCCTCGGTCGATCTCTCATAACATGATGGTGCCCCCCCCCCCCCGAAAAAAATCCTGCTACTGCTCGTGCGAGCCTCACGGTTGCCACCTCAGAAAATGGCTGTCGCCGAATAAGTCCATTGGCTTCTTCACCAAAAACGCGCAATGCTCGAGAACTTTTCTCAAGCATGAGGAAACTAACCAAAAATGCCTTCTTGTTAGAAAAACGACCAACATCCCTGACTAGTTTGTAAATCTCCTCAAACATTCTCGTGAGACCATCTTATAAATCCTTTTTAGCACACTGCTTCACCACTTCTTGGAAACTATAGATCTGCCGTTATTATTTCTGATTATTCTTCCTTCAAGATGAAACGAATCTCAAGTACAATCACAAGTGGTATGTACTAGGTTGATGGATAGTCCGAGGCAAGAATTGGTAGCTAATTATCCTCTCAAAGCAATGCTATAGGGTTTTGATGCACAAACTTAGTTCGGAGTTGTGTTTCCGTTGAACTTTTTGCAGATCATTAAATTGTTTCCTTGCCAAGTTGCCAGCCAAATCTTGGCAATTCGCCAGTCCACTGACGTACCTGAATATTTACATTGTATGCTACTATAGGAGTCAACACACATCAAACACATCAAAAGACAAGAAGAGTATAGAAATGACCCTGCAAACAAAACCTTTGCACTTGCAGCGTCTTATACAGAGTTAATTAATTGTCTGTTGTTTGCTCGTTGGATCCACCGCATTTTGCCATGCACATGCAAAAATGGTAGATAAGTGATGTATGGCACGGTATACTATAATTCTTGGCACGGTATACTATACCATTCTTCAACAAGCATGGTATACCATTGTAGAACAAACCATTCTACGGACAATAACTGTTTTGTGTATCCATTTTGGGGATTATCGCCTCTTGGTTAAACTGTACCACCCGTCGCATCAAGCCATGTACAGGGCTTGTTAGAAAGCCCTTGTAATCAGCTGCAGTCAACGGAACAGTTATCAACTAAACCCACGGGAGAATAATGGGACTTAGAACAGCTGGGAACAGCGGAAAACCGCTCCAACGGTCTGCCGCTTTAGCAGCTTGGGGATTAGAGAGGGGGGGGGGGGGGGATGTTAAGACGCTGGCAAACGCGGTTGTCGCTGGCAATAGCAACGAGCGATATTCAATTAATTGTTGTTACTTTTGATGGCCAACTCAATGACCATTTTAATCGCGTGAGGAGGAGCACTATAGTATTATTGTTTAAGGCCAGTTTTGCATGAGAGGGGCACAATATTAATGTTGCGAGCGGGGCACGAATAAAATTGTGCTTTCGAGGGGCAGTTTTCCATCTGGTGAGAGGGGCACTTTTGTTTGCCTGGGAAAATCTGGGGGCAAGTGCCCCTGCCCCCCCCCCCCCCCATTCCGCAGCCCCTGTTTTATGCGTGGTTTTTCATTCGCGAAAGACTCTGTAAACTTCACGTCCCCCAATGATTTTTTTTCAGAGAGAATACGTTCTCCTTTTGAATCACAGATTGCATTAACTACTTCGTTCACGGCTTGTTTAACATTTAAGCCAAGTGCAGCGTATGAATGAATTGTCCATAAAAAGTGCATAGAACAGAACTTGCGAGCAGACGCAAGAACGAAGGCCCAAAATGTCAAACGTTGACCTGATGTTGGCCCCCAAAAATGCCAAATACGGCACAGAATTATGGTCGGATGATCCGTCGTTTTGCCGGTTTGGTAAGGTGTGCTGGATGGACGGAAATCTAGAATCGGACCAATTTGAAGTTTTCGTGATCCCTAAATTAAGTAACGACTACCTTTTAAAACCCAGCAAAGTAGACATCACAATAATAACACACTGTGATCATTCTTGTTATGGAACTTTATTTGCTGCATCATCATGGAGCTCATGCATATTGTATACCATGTATACAATGAACATGTTCCTCTATAGTTTTGTAAGTCAGTAAATCCCCAGTTAACATGCAGCGCTGATACAAGTTTCCCATTCACGCACTTCTAATAGCCAGCCTTGCATATCATTAGCACGTTTTACGAAATGAGCGTCCAGTCGATACAATAAGTCCAAGCCCTTTTAGCGAGTGGGGCTTAATACCCCCCCCCCCCAATAACTGGTCCTGTGATACATTACTACCGTTACTATAGAAATCCTAGAGTTCAAAGGTTAGATGCGATTGTAACAGTTCTTTTATGACTATAGGTTAATCAGAGGTGTTTGTGAATGGTGCAAGCCGCAATGCCAGTGTGGTTTTTCCTGATAATTACGAGAGCGGTACCTCTTTTCCATCTCGTTTTTCTATACATGTACATCATGTACTCCATTTTGCTGTTATGTAAGCCTACATACCATTTCCAAGAAATATGATTGACCAACGGAAGACAACCTGGGACGGGGGGGGGGGGGGGGGGGGGGGGCTTGGGATAGGGGGAGGGGTGATAAACAGCTCGTCCTATCCACTCCCTGTGCCAAAAAAGAGAGTTTTTTTTAACCACTTTTGAAAGCCCTGTGGAAGGAACACAACGCCTGTGCGTACACTGGTTTGCGCAAAATACGCACGACTCATTATATTCTGATTGTGCACAAAGCAACAGCGTCTTCGCGTGAGCGTCAGGCGTCGTCATGCGGCAGTGTGTTCGAATGTCTCTCCCAGTGGTCCCCCCCCCCCCAAACTCTCTCGTTCTTGCCGATGAGGGGTACAGGTGCATGGAGCCTTATGCGCGAATTACCTCACGGAGGAATGGGAATTATGAAGAAAAAAAATTATCTGTGCGTGCTTTGCTTTGGGAGTTCTATTGATTTCTTTTATGCTGTTTGGAAAAACAAGCAAATGATTTAATCCCAACCTAGTTTTGTTGACCAGTGTAACTTAAGGTAGTATTTTCTCTTGTGAGATATTCCATGTGCGCTCCTTATCTTAACCTTATCGTTACAATTATGGACTATTTTAATACCAACTTGTTGGGGAGGGAGGATGTCCCCCAATACTCGGGTCCGCCTTTGCACAAGCTTAGCCCTTAAGGGGCCGGGTTTATAATTTGACGATCTCACAGTCGGGGGGGGGGGCGGATCCCGCCCCGCCCTTCAGTTCTCAGAAAATCGGTGCATGCATAGAACAGCTTAATATAAACACACCCAAGAAATGTCATGACTATAGGTTAAATGGTTTTGGAATTATGGCTAATTCATATGCACCAATAGTAATTCTGCTTTTTTTTTTATGTACATGGGATTCAGTTTTCACGGCGCGTAGCACCGAAAAAAATTCGCTGCGCAGCAGCCCATGGTCGGAATTTTATGTTTTTGGTATCAAAAGATGCTCGAGGTTAAAAAGTCAGGAAAGCTCTTATCGGGAATTTTTTTTTGCAAGGGTATCACAAAAAAAGTTGAGAGGAAATGGTTAAACATTAATGGGAGTCACAAGTTTTCACATTTCTCCATGCTCCGTGAGCCAATCCTTGTACAGAATAATGCCAGTCCCCTCTGCCAGGCTTCTGCGCGCACAATCTCCGCCTGCATCCTTATCTTCCTCGGTATCTAGTCAATTAGCACCTCACGATTATCCTGTAGACTCGCCGGGTGTATTCGAGGTCATTTACCTCAACTCCATTCATTACGGTCAGCTGTATTACGGCTCTGCTGTGTTTACTGCCGCTGATTGTTCAGTTACGTAACATTTCCCGGTAGAGCTTGGCCGCAATTTTATTGTCACAAACACACACAAATAATTCCCGCAGAACGTGAATAATTACCCGGAAAGCGAGGTCTCATTCATTGTGTGGATTGTATGACCTGCTGGTAAATAACTTATGAAGGGCTGACCTTTTTGAAAAATTTTTTTTTTTTAATTTACAGCTTGATTATAATTTATTTTA